TTTCCTCCCACATTCGTAGACATCATGCATCCAAAACTGGAGTCTGGATTAAACACACAGCTAGATTCTGGACAATTACTTCCTCAGCCCATCCTTGAGCAGCATAAAAAGAAATCAAGAGCAGGGAAAGAGAAGTCTGCCAGAGCTCAGAGATGTCTCAGTAGCTCAGAGACAGGGCTGTGATTTGGAACGTTGATTATCACACTTGTGCTTCCACACTGAATAGAGAACTCATAATTGAAGAGATTACCTTGTAGATGATGATAAGAGCACATTTTCTTCCTCTGCAGACAACATTTGTGCTGTGGCGGCCATTATGGCTGCTGCTTTTATCAGTGATTTAGAATGGAGCTGTCAAAAACTTTAAAATGCTTCTATTAAAGTAATATGGTTTTATCTATATAAAACCTGTGAGATTTCTCAGGGAAGCCAGGTTTGGCCTCCTTTTCTAATAAGAGTATACAGCTGTGCCACAGGGCAGGGAGTTTCCCAGCCTTCGAGGAAGTCAGGCATCTGATCAGTACCAGATTGAGAATCCCTGGAGAGCTCTTTCTTGAGAGCAGAGCTGTGGATGTGTGGAAACCAGTCCTCAATTGCCATTCATGGGGATAAAGCAGTTGCTGGTTTGCAGTGAGGCGGTTTGGAGTAGCACAAGGAAGGCAAGACCCCTGCTTCTATTCCCCTGCTACATGCAGATGTGTGGATTTGATTGCAGTGTTTGCAAATGTGGCTGGATATTAAACATTGAAAGGAAGTAGTTAGTTTTACTGTGTCGTCTTCCAGTTTATTGGCACTGGGGTTGTTATATGGAATTGGTAGTTTCAATGTTCTGCTTTTGTTGTCTCTTTTAATATAATTTCAGTGTATGACACTGAAACTTCCTTTTATCCAGCTGGGCATTTTCAAGCAATGTATTGATTCCTGCTATGAAAGCAGTGTTGGCTGATACTGGCTGGAAGCGATAGCTTTGAAGCGTGAGAGGAGGAGAGCCCCAGGAGATCTGCTTTACTGCCTACCTGGTAGCCAGAATAAGAGCTAATAGAATAGCTTGGATACCTCCTCTGTATTTCCATTGCCTCTTTTCTTCCTTGCATTTAGCTCTTCTTTTTGGGAAAGCACTCCTTTTTTCCCTGCTTATAATCACAATGCTGTGTATTGCAAAACTGTTGGTCTTAACAAGCTGCAAATGGTTGACTCTGCTCCACATCCCAACAGAAGTGTGGCTGCAGCTGGATGCCTCTGCAGGCCAAAAGGGCAGGTCATGCTCACAGAGTTTATTTTGAGCGAGTGCCTGACTGCAATCTTTGGGGTCACAATGCATCGTGGAATGTTATCACTTCTTGAGAAAACTGGAATTACTTTTACTCTTTTGAGAATTTCTGTAGTAATGCAGACAACCTGGCCATAATTGTGATGAGTAATTGCATGCTTGCTATCCAGAATTCCCACATGGATTTCATTTGGTTGCAGGATCACTGGCTTTCCACTGCCAGTGGAAGGGCAAGCAGGAGGGAGATGTGATGCTGATGGAAGCGGAGTTGGAAGCTCTTGATGTGCTTCATAGCACCTTGTTATTTAGAGCAGAGAAGCTGATTCCTGAGAATGTCCTGAAGGCAGTTCAGGAAAATTCTGCTCCTAAGTAAAAATAAGACATTCAAAACTCTTTCAAGGAGACCTTTCAATGGCCTTTCAATGTTCGAAGGGGAACTATACGAAGGAAAGGGACAGACTGTTTCCGGGGTCTGCTGGGATAGGACAAGGAGAAATAGTTTCAAGCTAAAAGAGGAGAGATGCAGGTTGGATATAAGGAAGAAGTTTTTTACACTAAAGGCAGTGAGGCAGTGGCACAGGTTGCCCAGAGAGGTCAGGGCACTGGGGATCTGAGCACTGATGGAGCTGTGGGTGTCTCTTTTCATTGCCTTTAAAGATCCCTTCTAACTCAAACATTTCTGTGGTTCTAAGAGGAAAAGTAACCTGGAAAAGAAAAATACATCAAGGAAGAAGAAATAAGAAAATGAAATTGTGAGCCTTTTTTTAGTTAGGGGTGAACTGTGTAAATCTGGCATTTCTAGAGGGACCAGATCAAAATATCCGAATCAAAAAATGAGATCCAGAGTAATGATTTGGCAGGAAAACAATTTCCCAGAGTGATAATCTTCAGTCCAGAGTGATCCTTGAGAGTGGCTGCTCTCTTGGCCACTTGGTCGACACCTGTGAGAGCGGCCACTTGACCACTAGGCAATAACAGAGAGCCTAAGGAAAGAGTGAGGCTGAATGATGAAGGTCACTGAGTTGAGCAGGTACGGCAGAAAGAGGTGCCAGCACTGTGTCAGTTGGTGAGAGCCAGGGCACAAAGGGAAGAACTCAAAGTAATGCCATCTGTAACTCATTCTGTGTTTTGCCAGGGAGTAGTTTTTTTAGACAAAGGGAATAATGACAGCAATGCTGGCTCAAATACTTGTTTCAAAGGAAAAGGTGACAGTATTTGAATAGATCAGTGGTGTTTTAACTTGCACACAAATGGGACATCTATTAAATTTCAGCTGAATGCTCATGAAGGAGCCATTGTGCTTCCAGAGACATCTGAAAAGATTCCAAAAGAATAAACATAAAAAATAAGTTGAAATTTCAGGTTGTAAAATGGAAGAGCTACCCCCAGGGTAGGAAGAAGTATGTATTAATGGCCAAGGCAGAAAGCTGTAATGTAAAAGATTGCAAGCAAAAGAGTATCTGTTACAAGGTTCTATATGCATCAGAGGAGTTGCTCGTGATGAACATGAGTGCATATGGTAATGCAGTGGGTGTGAGAGCAGCCACGGGAGAAACTGAGCATGTCTTCAAAGGTAACTAAGTTCTCTGATTACAGAAGCAGTTTAATTACCTGGCCATTAATGTTCCTGGTAACTTCCCCTTCTAAACCAGACAGGTCTGTGGGCTCTCTGCTTGCATGTGGCATAATGAAGAGAATGAGGTTGTCCTTTCAACACAGCAAGTATGGGAGAGAAGAAGAGGGAACCTGTGGCCCCTATGGACTGAAAGGAGAATTAGATATGTGTGTGTGTAATGATTTGTGTGTGTATATAAAGGAAACATTTTCTAAAACCAGCAGAAACAGGCGAATAGGATTATATGCAGCAGGAAACAAACAATTTTTTGGTTAGAAAGCATATGACAAATGCCCATAGAAATGTTCATCACAATTTGGAGTACTTCTGTCAGCAAACAAAAGCTTCCTTTTATTTTTGTCAGCAATGTGGATTATTATTGGCAACCTGAAGGGTCAGAATAAGACTCTGCATATAGTCTGTTAATGAGCAGTGTCCCAGAAGGCAAACTGCTACTCTACAGCTGAGCTGAGCTTGAGGTTGAAGTTACACACACTTTTGCTTAAAGCTACCACTAAATCCTCAATGGTGAGTCCTTGTTGCTGGGAAATGTGTTTATCGTCTTAGAAATCAGCAAATACTAGAGAAGATTAAAATATTCTATGAAAACCTCCAATGAACAGTAGGATTGAGGAGAGTCTTCCAAAGTGCTGCGGGGACGTCATTGAAGGCTGTGTCCATATGTCTGGGTGCTCCTGCTCCATTAGCAAATGTGAATACCATCCTGCATAAGGACAGCTTAATAGCAAGCAGTTCATCCATGGGTCATATTGGTAACGATGATTTGCCTTTGGGCCTGGCAGTGGGAGCTGCCCTGCTGTGCTGATTGCTTCACTCTCAGCACTGAGCACGCCAAGTACCTGCAGCCCTGAAGTAGCAATGCATTCCGAAACATGAACTAGGTTTTGTTTTGCCTCCTGCCTGTGGAAGGTGCCAGAACTTTGCTCCCCGCAGAAGCGCTGATGAACCATTGCTATGCGAGATAATTTCCAGTGCAGCCTTTCTGCAGAAATGAGCCTGCAAAAGCAGGGACGCGGATCTGCTGCTGGCTGCCTCCGGTCTTCTAATCGATCTCCCCTGTCCAAGTAAACAAAGGAGCAGCCTGACACAGGCAGGTGAGGGCAGCGCTGTGAATATCCTGACAAAAAGTGAAATGACTGCAGCGCTATCTCTCTTTGTCAAAGGGGTGAGCGGTGTTAAGCAGGCACTAAACCTGCCACGGCTGTAGCAGCGTTGAACTAAAGGGCTTTGTTAACTGTCTTTGGAAAAGAAAAAAACAACACAGTGTGCATTTGAATGCAACCTCCTTGAGCCTGGAAATAGCAAGCTAGAAATGACAAGGTTGCTATTACATATCATACAAGGCAAAGGCTTAGCATGAATCGAAAAGGATTAGGATTTCATGGAGCTCGAAAGAGTATCGAGAGTTGATTCCTGAAACAAAAGTGAATTGGGAGAGAGATGAAGCCACCTACCCACATATGCTGCTCTGTAAGTCAGCCTTTAAGTGATGCAAGGTAGGAGGAGACTTGCCAGCAAGAATCATGGCCAAAAACTTTTTCATTCCGGGATGTATCACAAAAAGAGATGTGAGGCAGGGCCAAAACTAGGAGCAGTCTTAAAAGTTACGGGAATCTTTTTCGGTCATCTGAACTGGTTCCTGCACCTTGAAACTGTCCAAAACAGAGCCGATAGCATTGCTTTCTGTGGATGCTCCCCTCTGCTACAATCATCCCTTGGCCAAGCGAAGTTTTCATGTTTCACCTTGGTGGCTGGAATGGAGGGAACATTCAGTACATTAAAAATCTGTTACTGATTGGATCTTGTAGTAGGTAACTTCGTTACCCAAAGCGTGGCATGACTGAGCTCTGTTCTGACTTTCCCAAAGGTGTAATCCTGCTAAAGGAATAGAGCAAATGAACCAGCACTTTACCTTCAAAGCAGCTTACAGCAGCCATAGACAGTCATTGATGTGCCAAGAGCTGTTTTGCTGTCTCACCCTAATGTAACAGTGTTTTTGTTACTTTGCTTTGTTCTTTCACTGTTGGAAACACTCTTTATGTTTAAGGATCTTGGGACTCTAGTCTTACCTTCCTCTCTCCCCTCTCCTCACAGTGTCTATCAACTCGTTGTCAAGGAGGAGAAGCTGCAGAAAGCTCGCAGAGCTGCAGACATCATTGAATGCTTCTCCATCCCAGTGAGCTACAAGAACGCCTCCAGCCTTGACTCACCTCACTACTTTGCAGCCGAGCTGAAGCCCATCAACCTGCCTGTCACACAGCCCTTCACCGTGGGCGACAACAAGACCTACAATGGCTACTGGAATGCTCCTCTTTCTCCCCTGAAAAGCTACAGCATATACTTTCAGGCTCTTAGCAAGGCAAACGGCGTAAGTGCAGAGAATATTGTCTGTATCTGTACACATGACAACCTCCAGCCTCCCTGTCTTTCTCCTTCCTTCTCCATCAGATGCCAGTTTAATTGCCGATTATCACTTTCTTGCAGAAATTTGAGGGAAGTTATACATGCCACTACTTGTCCTTCACTCAACTTTCTCTGCAGATGCAATGGAAAGCCTGTAGGAGTGCCAAGTGATGGAAAGGGCATATGTTGGCACATGATGTATGAAGTGGATTGTTTATGATCTTTTTCCTTGCGTTAATGTCAGAGTAGAGGTTGTTGTCCTTTTAAGATGTAGCTGCTACATCCTTGCAGTCGTCAGTTCACAGTAATTTTAGAGGAGAGATGAGAGCTACCAAAAGCTATTAAATTGGATTACTTTGTAGCCTCCTTTTGCTCATGCCGTAGTTTAGCAGTTATTGTTGAGGTTTTCACCTTGAACAAAATGTAAGTTTTACCGTAAAGGGAACTTTGTGCCTGTCTTTCTTACTCCTTTTGGGTATCATAGACTTTATTTTTAACTTATAGTTATTTTGTAATATTAAGTGTGTGATATTAAGACTGTGTGGGAAACATAGTCTGCCCCTTTTTGAGAGTCAAATGTCACACACATCATGCCCAACAGATCCATTCATAGGAAACTGAAGGCCTCTTTTCCCTCATAAATTCTTCTGGAAAGTGGTTTGTGACCTATGACCTCATGCTGCAGATGTGTTCAGCTAACAGCATGCAGGCCAGATCCAATCTAAGCAGTCATTCAGCTGCATCCCCTCTGGCTCCCCCAGTAGCTTTTGGTTATCACAGACATGTTACAGGTTACCAGTCCAGCCTCCTGAGGAGACTTATAGCATTAATACACAGTGAAGAAGTTGGGCAGCCAGGGATGTTTTTAGTGCATTTACCAATGCTTTCCTGAATCCAACTTTTACATGGGTAAGCTCTCTAATACATCACCTCTGAAAGAACAAAATTAGAAAAATCAATCAAAGATGAATGGTAAAGGCTTTGGTCTCCACTTGGGATAATGACTTTGATACCCAAAACACAGGCGTGCATCACAAAGGACTGTGCGTCCTTTAACAGGCTGGCAATGCCAGTGAAGGTTCTCAACATGTCATGCTGTTTTACTGCCTTCATTTATCACCATTCTGCAGAGTATCAGCTGTGTGGCTGACAAGCACAAATCTCTTCGGTACTGTGCTGCTTTTCACCTTGATTTCCCTTCTAGTTGGTACAGTTTCCATTCAGCACTCATCAATTAATTCAATTTTAGATTCACTTCTATGAAGGAAATTGTAAAATATATGTATCTGTCTCTTTGTTTCTAGTTAGTTCCCCCTTATGTGATAGTTAATTGCTAGCGAATGGATCCCTAAGGATGAAAAAAACTTTTATTTGCTCGAGTACAATCTAATGTGCCATAACTGGGTAATAAGAATGGAAATGTAGGCTTCCCTTGGCATTCTGGAGTGAGGCAGCAGTAATGTACAGCTCCTGCTTTTTCTAGAATTCTGTAGCTGACAGGTTGCTCCACACTCAAAAAAGTCCATAATACTTGGGCTGCTCAGATAGGAAACTAAAAGACCTTTCAGGAAGAAGTAATCCAAAAAGTCTGTATGCAGCTTGTGAAGGCATGAGAAGCATCAAGTTCATGTCTGAGCAAGCAAATGCCTCTTGTGTTAATAATTTACATCAGTACATTATATGGTGATGTATCCTCAAAGTGCAGTGCTGCTGGAAAAAGACATAGGTGAATTGTCCAAGAGCGGAATATGGATCTTAAGTGAGTAGCTGTGGAACTTGTTTTGCCTTGATAGAGTCCTTGAGGCACTCATTTAAAATGTTAGGATCTGATTTGCGTCTGATGTTTTGCAGCTGTAAATGTTTTCTTTCATACCCAGAACTGTTTGCAAGTATAATTTGTTTTTAAGAGTTCTGGGTGTTCACTTTTATCAACAGCCTGAGGCAGTTTGGTGGTCTACATAAAGCCTACCAAAAATTATGGCTGCAGGAAGGCATTTTTAGATAACGCACATCTGCAAAATATCTGAGACAGTAACAATTTAGCACAGTTAAAATCCAGCCTTATGTTCCTTTGCACATGAAAAACTTAACAGAGCATCGCAGCTCATTTTTTAATTAGGATATTCTATAGTTTCATTAATCACTGACAGATCTGGAACGATGAAACTTCTCTTGCACACCTGGAACTTGCAATGAGAAGCCGTCGTGCAGTGAACCGTAACATCTTCCTTTGGAAATGGAGGGCTCCAGGGGGAGCTTAATTTGAGGAAACATTCTGTGTTTGGTCAAAAAGCTTGATTAGGAGGAGATGGTGGTGGTAGAGGAATTCTGCATTGTTATTTTACATCTCCTCTGTGTGTGGAGGGTTGTGCTCATTTGGTGTTCTTGTCGGCTCTGTAACCATTAGCCATGATTGTTGCATTGAAAGGGACATAATTAACAGCTGGATGCAAAACAAGTGCAGCAAATTGCTGCAAAATCAGATCTCGAGCTTTGCTGCCTTCTTGCGTGCAGTGTGGTGCTTGTTTTTTGACAGCTGTCGCTCTCTGAGTTCTGTGGGCAGTTGTGTGAAGCTTGGGCAGCCTGTTGCTGCTTCCAGACAAGGGTCTGAACAGAACATTTTGTTGTGCAAAACGCTTCCAAACTGTGTGGGTTTTCCTCCTAGGAACAATTGAAAGCCAGATGCTGAACTGAAAGGTGTCGAAGTTCAAAAGGGGTTGGGGGGGAAGAGAGAAAAAGAAAACAGAAACTCTAGGCTTTATAACAGGGCACTTGAGAAACACAATTAGCTACTGATCATTTGTTAGGGACAGTTAGTGCAAGAACTGACACAGAGGGAAGAGCAGACAACTGGCTTTGCTGTGTTCTGGCAGGAGCTGCGTGCCTGCCATCCCAGCCTGGTAGCTAAGTGATGTTTGCTGGTTGTGCTGGTGCCACCTGCTACAGATGGCTGCTGGCAGAGCACAATGCTTTCCCGGCCTGTAAAACCACCCTGAGCTCAGCCTCTGTGATGCACAGCCCTGTGGTGCTTCTTCTGAAAGGTACGGCCTGGGCAGCGATATTATGCAGAATTAATAATCAGAGTTAAATGTCACAGATTTTGCTGTCCCCAGGTTCTTTGTCTGAGCCATGGATGGTGTTGGTGCCCAGTTAGAGATCCAGCAAACACGCTCAGGTGGGGAGAATTCCTTGGCTCCCGGGGTGCTGCTGCCTGAACTTTTGAGCAGCTCAGGAAACAGAGCTTCCTAGAAATCTTTCCTGTAGCTCCGGTGCTTTACGTCATGGAGTTAAAATGAAATCTGTATTGGCACAGTTGCAATCAATAACCCTTGGCCATTTTTCCTCTAAATGGGAGATGAGGCAGGAGGCTTTGTAGCACAGCTGGAGATGATGTGGGGGATGCTGCCAGCTGCTCCTGCAGCCTGGTGGTCCAACAGGTGAATGATGTGTTCATGCCAGCTTTGTGAAAAGTGGCAGCACAGGAATCAATGAGAATATTATTTTTGAAGGAATGATGGACTCTACAGAGTTTTTCATTGATTTTTTTTCCACTCTAATGACTTGTACTACATGCACAATCGGGCAGCTTATCATTATCAGGGGATTTCAGGCTGGATTCCTGGTTGCTAACAGGTCTACTCACATACTTAAGGAAGATTTTGGAGGTATGGGCAGAGCTGCCAGTAGGAAAATAACCTTCATCCTTGTGGAGATGGCTCACAAAGAGCCAGCGAGGTACTTCACTTCAGCACAAGGCCTATTCTGAAAACCAGTATGCTACTAAGTCTGCCTGCATTGGTTTTGCAAACAGACAGCTGTGGGGACTCAGTGTTCTGTGATTTCAGCTGTACCATTTTGTCCAGTGATGTTTACTGCCTCTTACTGTCATGCTGGAGCTCCTGGGGCAGCAGTAAAGCAGCTGTGGATACACTTCACTCTTTGTAAGTCCTTGTTTCCACATTTGTCTGGCCTTCCTGAGCCAGAAGACACGAAGCTGAGTGTTGGTAGTCTTATTCATTGTATGAATAAGATTGTCTAGTCATCCTTGAGTTTGGGAGATGTGGATACTGAATAAACTAAATATCCTTGAAATCACTTTCTGTTGGAAATAATAAAAGCCCAAACCACTTTGTTAAAGCTCACTTCTCCAGATAACACAGATACTAAAAATAACTGATAATTGGAAAGTCAATACGGGGTTTAGCTGAGCCTCCTGGAGAACTAGCAGTTTCCTTGAGCTGGCAGTAGAAATTATAGGGGAGTCCATAGACTCTGCACACTCTGTGCATGTGATTAATTTTAAGGACAGCAAACAATTGGTCTCAGTGGAATAAGAAAGAGACACATGGGAAAAACTGAAGAACAACAACGGAAAGTTCAGAGGATGGAAGGGCAGTGCCTGTCCCATGGGATCAAGCTGCCTACAAGCGTGCTCGATACAGGCTTGGGACATGGAGTGCTGTGGCTGAGGCCAAGTAGGAGGTTGGTAATTACCTGTCTGTGCAGCAGCAGGAGTTAAAACTGCCTGTCCCCAGGTGGGGCTGTCTGGAGACCTGTGGCAGGGTGGCACCTGGGGGCAACAGGTATATGCAGGTGCTGGCAGGGACTGCTTCAGCCAAGGAATGCACTGTTGAGCTAATGCAGGGTCATAATCAGAGCCAAGGAAAGGAAAAGGAAAAAAAACGGTGTGAAAACAGATGGATGAAAAAGCTCTGCTTATCTTATTGTTCATAGTCTGTAAACAGCAAGCTGTCATTTTAAAATAAAAGGAAAAAAAATCATTTGGCCTTTTAGGTTGTGAAGATGCAGCTGTCACATAAACATATGTCCTTCTGCCCTCATAGATCTTTCCTGCAGAAAGTTGTTCCCATCCAAGTACTAAAACAAAGGCAGAACTTGTCTTGTTATCATCCTGTGCACTTCAGTGAAATGCATATTTTGGAGTCTAAATAATTAGTAAATGGCATCAGCTCTCCTTCTTTGAAAAGGAAAGAAACAAACCATATTGAAAAGAATGAGAATTCAGTGTGATGCCAGAATAAGCTCCTGGCATGTGGATGTGGGTCTGAAATGAAACAGTTGTCCAGTTCCAGGATCTAGGTTAAAACATCCCTACATTGTTCCCTTACTGCTTGCACGTATCCTGTCTGTGATAGCATAGCCTGGCAGTGCCCAGAGCACAAAGCAGCAGTGGTTCTGGGACCTTACATTGGGTTATTTGTGTGCCTGCAGCCGCAGCACAAAGCAAGCATCTTACTGCAGCTGGTGGGAGCAGGGTCTTGGCTGTGGTTGGGTTTGGGAAAGTTCTGTGAGAACGAATGGGATTAGAGTATCAGAGTACTTGAAAGAGCCTATGGATACAATCAGGAGACTGAAATTTAGGAAACTATTTTTATAAAAGTTTTTTGCTATTCCTTTTTTTCATTATTTTTCTTGTAATGCTTTCAAGCCATCTGTGTATGTTATTTACTCCTCTTTTGCCATTGGTTAAGCAGAAGCATCTTTACTCTGGTGAGCACCTCATCTAAATCCAGGAGAGTTTTTTCAGAAAGCAGATGTGATTATAGGCAAATGGTTTCACTGTTTTGAGAAGAAAAAAAATTGTTCTGTGTATTGACAAAGGAGTTCAGACAAACAATTCTCAGTATTAATCAAAGAAAAATACAGTAAGTGGAAGGAGGTCTCATTTTTTGTGAGACATGAAAGAGAGGAGCAGTGGGTTGATCAATGAGGTGCTCAATGGAAATCAAAGCAATAATCAGCCCTCATCAGGAGTACGGACTGAGAACAGACTTCAGGCTCCAACATCTCTAGTAGCTGATGCCTGGTGGCTGTGCAGGTTTCTTTTATGTTTTTCTCCTTAGAAGACACCATTTGAAATTAAGTCCAGATGTCTTGTTCCTCTGGTGATTGATTGCCCTTGCTTTTGGCAGTGCCTGATCACTGTCTTCTAATAACTACAATTGTCTGGGCTAAATAAGTAGATGTAAATGCAAACAGAACACACTGCATCCTGTCTTCTCAAATTACCCCGTGGGAGGGCAACGTGCAGGAATATGCACATGCTCAAATGAGATCAATTACAGCATTGTTAACAAGGTTTTGGGTTTTGTTTTGTCACCTCTTCTCAGCACTGACTAATTTCTCCAGCCTTTTGTTGCACTTTGAAGCTAGCAGAAAGCAACAGACGCACAAGAAAATTTTCCACAAGTGTGTGCAATGTGTGCCAGTGTCCACCTACTTTTAGCCTGCAGCAGTACTATCTTGATATCAATTATATTTCATTCGTCATTGCTGATTTTCCAGGCCATCTTTGCGTAGATTGTGAAGTGCATCAGATGTCTTCTGACTCCCTGCATTATCTGCTGAGGCTGTGCTCTGAAAATAAGACTATGTTTTTCCTGCTTTATATAACATCACTAGTAATAGAGATTGTTGGTTTCCAGAATAGCTGGCAATTCAGGCTGATTATACAGGAGGCAGTGATGGCTGTGCAGCAGTGCTCTGCAGCTCTGTTGGCTTTGCAGTGCCAGCAGTTGTACAAGATGTGCAGAGCCGCTCTGTGAGCGAGAGAAGTTTGTGAACCAAAGAGAGATACCTTGGGTTTACTGGAATAAGGAATAGTTTAGTCAATGAGTGCATGATAAGGGAGCAGGGGGAGCTGGTGCTGCATTTCCCTGTGCAGTGTCTGCAGTTTTCCTCTTCCTGTTTGCAGTTGAGGGTCGGTTGCAGATTTTCTTTACAGCCTCTGTTGAACTGCTTGAGGATGGAGCAAGGTGCTCAGCAGTGTATTTGTTGTTTCCAGAGCCAGGCAGCATCCATATTAATGTGGCATTATCACATGCAGTAATTTATGCAGTATTCATTACACCCGAGACATGCACAAGAGCATGTAAAGTCATAAAGTGCTAAGAACACCCTGCAGCAGATTACTGCCTGACAAAGTTGTTTAACCAAAGGAACACAGAAGATTTGGATGATGATCACGCATTGTTCAGAAGCAACCCCTGCCAGTAAGAGCTGCAGAATGAAAACGTGGGGATACCAGAAAGGGTTTGTTTTCAGTGGAAGTGGCCTGAGGAGGATGCCTTTAGCTAAGCCAAATAACACAACGCTGCTGCTCAGCTCCAAACTCCTGTTTACACAGATCTGGGGACTCTGAGGTGCACTGAACAAAAGCGTTGGGTTTTATCCCAGCTCTGCAATGAAAAGCCGTGGTGCTCAGGGTTGTGTTTGAATGGCTCATTTGGCAGAAGTAGCCATACAACATGCTGTTCTGCTTCACATACATATCAGAGGGCTGAAATATTCAAATGACTGCTTAGGTGTCTGTTTGCCATGTGTTTAAATAAATACCCAATTTGCAAAATTTGTGGTAATGGTGCGTGAAAATTGGATGTACAGTTGCGTGTACTTTTGACCCAATGCTTGTCTGCCTACTACAGATCAGGCCATTTAGCTGGTAAATTCTATTAGTAAATCAGGCCGTTACGTGGTGCTCATTCCTCACATTGAGTATGGAAAAACATCCAACTTCCCAGCAGTCAGGCAAGCAGCTGCATGCAAACCCATTAGTATGGAGTGTTCTATGCCATTCAAACGGTTGGTGGTACTTTCAGTGATGAAGTGTAAGAAAAATGCTTATGTGTTTTAGTGACTCTTGATGAGAAATATGTTTAATATGTTTATTGCAGATAGGCCAATGACACACCTTGATGTTTTCTTTTTCTCTCTCTCTTTTTTTTTTTTGGTTGATTTTCAGGAAACAAAAATCAACTGCGTCCGGCTGGCAACTAAAGGTACGTGGGTTTCCTTTCCCTGCAAAGCACAGCACCAGTACTATGAAAGCTGCAGTGGTGACACAACTAGATTACAGCTACTACTCAGGGAAGAAGCTTCTTTTCAAAAAGTTTTATATTTTAAGGAAAATATCGAAGGCAGAATGTCAGTTTCCAGAACCACTTCACTATATGTGTAGGCCCTGTTATTTCTCAAGACAGGGTCTCTCTCTCTTTGTGGTTCCTGTTTTCACTTGTTCTATCAACTGCTTTCCTGCCCTGAGGACTGCTCTTGTTATTGGCAGAATGTGATTGAAAAAGCTTCCTGCTAAGTTCATTCTCTCTGTAACTACACAGTGCAGATAAGTTAAAGGGGATCTCATGCAAACCTGACTTTTAAATGGGTTTTGAAAAACCTGACCTTCAACACATTGGGGCACAATTCCTACATCACACCATTTTCATGGTATGATGCAGTGAACTCGTGGAGAATATTTCTTATTTTCATCGCATTAAGTTCAGAATAGACCTAGCATCATCACGAGCAAACCCAATACAAATGATTCAGCAATACGTTCAGACGCATTGCTTTGATCCCCAGGTTGTTTCACAAGATGTAGCTCTTGGGGAACCAATGGTGACAATGTCTGGGTTACTTCTTGGAGTTTAGAGTTGCTTTTAACAACTCTTCGAAGGACTTCGAAGTCACCCCAGAGGATACTTTGCCAACAAATGTGTCAGTAAAGCAATTTACTCCTAACACAAACCGAGTAGCTGTAAAAAGGCTTCCTCAACAGGTATCTGGTCTCAAAATGAGTTCTAAGGAAATGCTAAGGTAATTGCTGTGGGCCATGCTGGAGGTAACTCTCCTTTTCTAACCCTCAGGAATGCATCCTGTGCCCTTGCTGCTTTGTTGTAACGTGGAATAACTCCATTACTGCCTATGGAGTCTTCCTGAAGTTGAAAAGAAATGGGTAGAAACTCATGGCTCTTTTTCTTTAAGAAGCATCACCCTGTTTTGTTTTGTTTTTCTTTTTTTCCCATTCTTTTTAGTCCTTTCTGTTTTGCAGCAGTAGCAGAAATTAATTCCTTCTAGGTAATTTTTCATGTGCGCTTCTGCTATAGCACTTACTGAGGAGCTGGGGGGATGAAAGAAGCCCCAACTAGCAGTTACTAGGTAGCAGCAGAGGACTCTTTTTGCCCTTATGTGAAGACATCTGCAGAAGTGTTACTGTCAGCAGGGTGTGAGGTGCAGGTGCTGCACTGCCTGCAGCTGCCGTCAGAGAGCTGGTGCTGCAGGCTGGCAGGGCTGTAAGCAGTTGTGTCACCACTGACAGCCAAGGATGAGCCATTTGTCCCCTCTCCCCTTCATCTGTGGCTCTGGTGGACCCTATATCCTCCCGTTGTTTCCTCTTTAAGTGTTCCTTGTAATATCTTCGTTTAATTCGTTGCTCTGGGTTGCAAACATTCTGTGTCAGTCTCCCGTCTGTTCCCCTGCAGTTTTCCTGGCCCATGGGTAGTGGAGTGACCATTGCAAATTTATCTTCCTTTGGCCTTCTGGTGGTAGAAAGATATAAAGAGCAGGAGTGGGTGAAATTTGGGTGAAATGATTCTCCTCTGGGTCTTCCCAGAGCGTGACTGGAGGGCTCTTCATCAGCTCGGAGAAATTAGATTGATTCATTTCTGGAGTCCTATAGTGTCTTCTACTTTAGTGGTTCCTATTTCTGGAGATAGTGGAGGAATGTGAGTTAGTTGTTGTTCTAACTAAAAATATATTTGCTCTGTGATTATTGTTCGAATAAAAACACCTGTATAGCTCGAAAAGTCCTATTCTTCTGTGTTCTCTTGATTTGCACTGCCTAATTTGAGTACTGCTGGAAAGACTCACATAAGTGTTTGACCCCGAGCTGCCTTCTGCAAATGGATTTAATTTTTGTTAACCTGTTGGGTCACCAAGAAGAAGTGACAGGCTGCCTTTACTCTGATGTTCTGAACTCCAGCTCCTTTTAAAAAGTGACCTTTTCCTAATACTAAATTTGACAAGAGAAATCAGAGAGATGGGTAAAGCCTGGGGATGCTTAGAGCTTTTTGGTGATCTTATAGTTTAGGATTTTTCTTGAATGATGTGAATGGGAAAGGGAAAAAAAAAAACAAAAAAAAAAACCACAGTAGCACTAGTGTTTATTACTGTTTTGATGGATATTGCTTTTGATTTATAAGTATGTCTTGTTTCTGTATACATGGAGTCTGGAAATCCTGTTTTTCTTCTTTTTTTTTTTTTTTTTTTTTCCTTGTCCTTACTCTGTGATTTGCTGTTTCGTATTTCTCAATGCCTGACCATTGACAGGGACACTGGAATGTGGCTGTGGCTAGCTTCATGCCAATTTTGGCTTTTTAATTGTACAGTATTGGCTGCAGCACACAAGCAGCGTAGCACCACAAGTGAATTTACAGTCTTAATAGTTTAACAGTCCATTAACAGTCCATTGCTGGCACCTGTGATGTATGGGCAGCTGAACCAAAGCTAAACAGTGGTTCTGTGGTTTGGAAATTTTCCATAGTTGAAGATCTCTCTTTGTCGTAGGGCTGAATTCCATCCACATTAACTCCACGTGGACAGAAGGACTCAGCCACTCTACATCCATCTGAGCACCTGTAGAGGGGTTTCTTATCTGCCCCATCTCTGCTGGGGTGGAAATAGATGGAGACAGTCACAAATCTGTAATAATGTTGTGATGTGGCCAACAACTGATTGTTGGGATGTTCTGTCTGACCTATTGTGTCTGTGTCATCTTCTGTCTACTCATTAGATTGATTATCTTTAGTGGCATTGCCATGTATTTGTCTTTATTTGCATCGTTGTCTTTCTGAGGATAGAAAGAGCAAGGCTGCAGTGTGCCTCCAACAGAATGTTCCGAGCTGCTAGCAGGGATAACAGTGTGGTGTCCTCCATAACAAGCAAGGAGAATGAATGTCTTGGAGTTAGGCTGAAGTTAGCTAGGCTGATCTGAGCATTGACAGCTCTCAAGCTGCAGTTTGTACTAGAGAGAAAGTGCATTTTGTTTCGCAGATTGATGCAAAAAAAAGTGAATGCATACTGCTAGTGCCAGAGAAAAAGTTCATTTCTGGCTATTGGTGTAATTTTGTTCCATTCCTGGATACATGACACTTCAGTAGCTCCGTTAATGTCAGTGAAATGAGTTCTGATTTACGCCAGTAGCAGGGAGATTAGAATTGAGGAATGTTTAAGCAAGGCAAGTGTTCTCTTCAAGTACCGGATTAACAAGGGCAGTAAACGTGAGTGTGGGAGTAATTAAGCAATAAAATGTGTTAGGCAGTGTGGTACTGGGGGATTATAGCACATCTTGGGTGTTGCTGCAAGGCACCTGCTCAGAAGCTGCGTAGCTCTAATTACTTGTCACTGCTTCAGCAGGCTGGGAGGCAATTTGTTTTGTATGTCCCATTGCCTGAAAACCAATAAAGTGAACTCAGATAACTCTTTTAAAAGTGTTCTAGTCCATTAAGAGTTTTGGACATTTCTCAGCTTGCTCTCCTCCCCTTTTGTGTTGCTGAGACCTCAGCTTCATTATGAAGTAGACTTCAGATAACCCCTTGTCATTTCAGCTTCCCTCCATTCAGAAGCTGCATCTCATCTGCCACGTGCACTTTTCTGCACGTTTCTCCTGCCTGCTGCTCCTGCTCAGGTTACTTTGGTCCTTTTGGTCCCAAGAGAGACCTTTGTCAACGGTTTGCCTCTCTGATGTTCATCTTTTGGCTGAAATGTCAGGGGTGGGTTTCAGCATCTCAGAACAGAAGGTCATGACACCAAGTACAGCAGCCTTCAGAGCAGAGCTAGTAGATACTCACGTGGGCAAGTGCATCTGCTGAGCACATTTCCTTCCTTCTGGCACCTCAGTAGGGGGCTTGACTAATGTCCATGGGCCAACGGCAAGGACTTGGCACCAGCATTTGCTGAGGTCACGTTTTGCAATCCATCAGAAAGCAGTCTGCCTTTGTCCAGTCTGTGTAGCCATTCCCTCTTTTGCCAGCATGTTTCATATCCACATTATTAACCTTTTGTATCGACGTGTGTATTTATTTCCAGTTTTGTTGGTCTCAGATTTCCGACCATTCCCAGTCATAACCACCTCTCCTCGGATGCTCTGCTTCTCTTCTTAAGTTACAGAAGTAATGTCATCTTTCATAGCATTAGTTGCTTGGATGCATATCATAGCATTAGGCATTCTTTAAAAATAAGTGTATTATTCTGTTTATCAGCTCTCTGCCATACAGTTTTCACTCAGCCAGTTCGTTTGTTAATTTTGCCATTTGGTTTCCATGATGGCATTTGCTTTAATGTGTCCCATTCTTTCTGAAGTAACTTGGTTGTTCTCCTTGTTTTAAAGCAACGTATTTATATTGACACTTTATTAGAGAAAATTGCAACCTCTTACTAGAGAGAGCAATTACCTCTTGTATTCTTAAAGTGCATTAAATTATTTTCACGGTGTAATTGAAACCGAGGCAGAGGGCTCATTAATGCTTCCTTATCTCTTGATATTTATTTCTTCTTTTTCTAAAAAATGTGAGTTCTTGCAAATGAAAGAATGGAACTTTAATAACCATTACGAGGTACATTTTTATTTTTTTTTCCTTTTGTTTTTCTTGTGCATGCTGCCTGGAAACGGTTTTGCTTGTTCTTAGCAGTGCTGGGTAGGCAACAGGCGACCACACGAAACCCACCCGGCCTCCTGAGCACAGGTGATTATCAGCTCAGGACCAGGAAGACTGCTGCCACTTCCAGAAGTCTGAGCAGCTTCATGACTTCTCTTTTTGTGTTTTGCTTGCGTGGGAAAATGCTTTTACAGCTGTTCAAACTGCAATATAGAGGGGACTTTCACGTAGCAATTGCTTTGCACTGACGTAAAATGTACAGCTTAGCAGAGGGTTGTCCGGAGACCTAAGGAGCACTTTAATCTCCATATGAGCCTCTGAGCGTGACTGAAGAGGCCCGTGGATTCCTTGTTGGCCCTCTGTAGAGGCTGAACATCCGAGCACGCATGGAGATGCTCCTGCATTTTCACGTTACAGTAACTACTGCATTTTCCTGGGGTTGGTGATTACACTTTGGCTCCAACAGCTGAGTGGTACTGTTGAGGATATGATGACAGGCAAATGAAGACTTGATTCTGTAAGTCGTTTTTGCGCAAAGTTCTGCAGTAATCAGAGACTTTGCAGAATCAAATGATGTAAAGCTCCTTTACAGGTCACTAATGGAGGAGCTCAGAGCTTCTCAAGTGTTTTGCAGTTTGAACATGAAAGCCTTTGTGTTGTAAACTTGCATAATACTGCAACTGGCACCTCTGCACCGCTCCAGAAGATTTCAGTCTAGAAGAGAAATACATCATCTTGTGGAAATAGTTTCCACTGCTTTAATTTGATGTGCATAGGATGACCTACTGGGATATTACAGAGTGGTGTGTGATGAATGCAAATGGGTGGGAAGAGGGAGTTGGGTTTTCAGTTTTGGAGTGGGTTACATTTTTGTAGGAATGCGCCTCCTCTCATACTACGTGATTATCCCCGTATAGATAAGACTTTCCTTACTCAGCAATTATTAACCACACGCAAGGACAGCTGTGGTGATACTGGGCAGAAAAGTACTGAGATTTCTCTGAAGTTCAAATGCTTTTAAGATTGAAAAAGACAGTCCTGCTTTTTGCAGAGGATTAACAGCGGAAAAGGGAACTGCCTTGAAGATGAATATGTGATAATATAGAGACCTCAAAAATGGATCTGGGTCTGAAAGGGGACCGATGAAATTATACATGCAAAAGAAATGGGAAAGTTTAGGGGGAAAAAAGTTCTTACCATAAACAGTTTTGCTGCAAGTGAAAGCTGTTTCTTTAATAGCTTTTGTTCCCTCAAATTCATATAAGACAGTTCAATTTTTGTCTGAAATATATTCTAGTTTCGTAGACAGGTAATGTATTTTTTAAACAGATTTAATCCCACTTCAAATCTGTTTGTTATTGCATTTTGTCTTTTGATACACTGGAATATTACTCCTTTGACAGGTTTATTCTGTTTTGTGCTATTTATTTCAGAAGGTTGCATCGCATTTTTAAGTTAGAAGCATGAACGTGCTTTTTTTTCTTTCCCTTGATGAAGTCTCAGCCTTCAAAAAGTTATTATTTTAGCACAAATTTATGTATCATTCTAATTAATTGTTAATAACAGACACACTCATATTGCTCTTACTGAAGAACACTCCTGGCTGGGAAGAGAAATCAAAGCTTCCTAGCATTTGGATGCATGTTCAACTAGTGAGCTGCTTTATTTTCTTTCAGTTTGGTGTCAAGATTGACTTAGAGGGATTTAAGGTGTCCTGAGGGCATCCTTACCCCAGATTGCTAATGAAGCAACTCTGAGTTAGGGAAGAACATCGAGAGCGATGAAGCCAGAGGTGAGCAGGGCCTGGTAGCCTGAGCCTGGAGGCCATGGCGTGTTGCAGAGCCCAAAGGTCTGACATAGCTTTCTCCATGAGCCCATACTCAGAACAAGGTAGGGTTACTAATGCAGGACCTGCTCAGTTGCCTTGAAGAACTGGACGTGTAAGAGATAGTATGAGAGATGGCAGTGGCACAAGAGAGGTAGGCATGGAACAGACCACTTCTTAATTGAAGAGTATTCATAATAGAAGAATAGAAATAGAGGGGGAAAATAAAAAAAACAACCTTTCTTCAAGACACATCAGAAAGTGCTGCTTCAACTTAGCAAAGCACAGGAAGCTTCCTAAGATCTCATGCAGCCCACATAGAGCATGTGTATGCAGACGGACTCCCTCATGCATTGACTACGTGGATCCCTTTTACTGGAAAGCAGTGAGCTTCCTCCTCAGCTTGCAGGTGAGGTCTTAGCCATAGGTTCTGTAGGCCACCAGGGTGCTTAGACCACCCTTGTCAGCCAGGCTTGGGGGTGCCCTGGTTTCACATTTTGTTATATCCACACTTCTGGACTTTGCTCGCTGCTTTTGTAATTTCTGCAGCTGCTCTGGCTGTGGGGTTTTAATGATAACCATGAGGAGAGCAGAGTAACGGGCACTGGCTGGTGAGAAGGTTAATTAGTTGTTATTCAGAGTGTGAGTTCTGTTCTACATCCATGCCATCATCCTGCGCTGAAATGCTTTTGGCTGCATCAGTCAAAAGATTGATCCCACTCCACATACCTGAGACCGCACAAAAATTAAGTCGCATCTGTAAATTTGGACTTTCAGAAATTTTGCTCTTTTTTTTTCTTTTTTTTTTTTTTTAATAATTGAAAGTCAGTTTTTAAATAGCTCTGCATAAGTGGAGAGTTAAAATGGAAATGTGCTTTCACCTTCTGAACCATCACATCGCTCGTAGACATCACAACGGCTGCTCTTTATCCGAGCTCTTCTTTCAAGCAAATGTAATAACCTTTCTCATTCCTGGGGCCGTATATCTGCTGTTAGCACAAATTAAGTGCTTCTGCTCCAAAGAGAGAGGAAGAAAAACATGAGGAGAGAAGAAAAGCCTTTGTGGCGGATTTACCTGGAATCTCCGGAATCAATTATTCTTTTACTGCTATTTTTTAATTCTCATTCAGTTCAGTAACACTAATCTTGATTCCTTGCTGTTTACCCTCATCCTCCTGCTGATTCAACCTGTATGCCTGATAATCTCTCATATAAATTCTGCTCAGTCTCTCTGTCCAGGACTGCTTTGCTTTGCTGCTCTTTTCACTTAGAATATGGTTGAAAGCTTTTGGCTTTCATCATTCTTTCCACTCCTTTTGAGCTCTTTTAAAGAAATGAGAATGTCTCGTGCTCTGAAGCCAGAGCAAGTAATCCTGTGCTGTTTGCAGACCTCAGTAACTGGGGGTGGAAAATTGGCACAGCAAATTGATGTGTAGTGAGAGTGGTGGTGGTGGTGCTCCTTTCTGCTGAAATGCAGCAACCAAAGGCATAGCCAAGGTGAAGTGTTGTCGTTAGAGGCCTGCCCTTGTGTCTGGTTATCTAAGATTGAGTTTCAGAGGTGTAGATATAATCTGAAAATACAGGGGAAAATAATTCTAGATGCAAAGTTACTTTGAATATTTTAAGGTTACTTGTGAAGGAGGTGCTGTAAAAGGAAAGGGAAAAAAATAGGAAATATTGTTTACTAGTGAAAGGAGAATAATTGTCTTTTGAAATCAGCCTGCAGGTCTGTTACGTTCAGCACACTGCCTAGCCATTATATGCTGCAAAGAAATTACTCTGATTAATTGAGCAGCTTCTTTGAACTCCTAAAGACTTTTAACCCATTATTTTTCCTTAATTTTTCTGGGTTAATTGTTACTTTAAGGTAATTTTTCTGATTAGTTTTTGTTACAAAAGTGATTTTCTCCCCATAGGAATAATTATTTGGTGTTACAATTTTAAGACCAAGCCTAGTCTTCACCAGGTAATTATCTGTGCATCCCTGACACTGACACTGCTCATTTTTAGGTGCATCAGTCTCTGAATTGCCAGATGTAAGACTGCCATCTTCCACTCAGATGCTACCTCTGTTTCTCCCTTTCCCCCATTTACAAAAGGTGCTGTGTTCTGATGGCTGTTGGTCTCAAAATGGCAGTGCTCAGCTCTGCTGTCTGGTACCCAAGGCATCCTCTTAAGTCTTTCTGGATCTGTAAAGGAGATAGCATCATTTATTACTTACCTTGCATGAGCATTTAGAGGATTTAAAGTAGGTACGGATATCAGTCTAGAAATGTCTAATGCTGCGAATGAATACTGGCTGGTATTTTTCACTTTCCCAGTATTTTGAGGAAGGCTTTGTCTCCTTTTCAAGAACTCGATTCTGGCTGTTGGAATCACTTGCAAGCCATCTCCCAGGAAGAGCAGCAGTCAGCTCTTCCTCATGGGCAGAAATTCTTTCAGCTGAAGAAATCATCTGGCACATCTAACTCTGGAATACAAGTGGCAGCCCTCTCTGCTGGGATTCATTTGGAATTTCAGAATTCCCATCCTTAAGTTATCAGCCAGGGCAGTGCCAGCTTTAACCAGGATCTGGAGCAGCGGGAAGATCAGAAGGCTGTGAAAGCCTGAGGATCTGGTGCAGCACCAAACCATTTTGTCAGTAGTCAGATATCGCAGCAGTCTGGGATTCAGGTGTCTGCGCCCACAACGGGATGGCTGGGGTAGATGTCAGGTGCCTGTGAGCAAATTACTGAAGCCATTGCTGCTCACTGAGCCATAAGCCCAACTCCTCCTGCCTGGTGAGATGAGTGAGTGGCTGCAAAGAACACATTTGCTCTGATGTCTGCAGTGACACGGGAGCAGCATCTCCCAAGAGCACATATCTTGGGCCGTGTCCTGTCTGCAAGGTGCCACATCTCACTCTGGGAATCGTGAAAGGCTGAAACAACAAAGCAGACCAGGTCAGTGGGGAAGGACTGCAGTCTTCAAAAACAGATATGAACATGTAATGGAGTGCTGGGTGAATGACAGTGCCTGTGGAAGTCAGATCCGTGCCCTGGCTGCACTTATAGGACAGTGCATTTTGTACAGTACATAAATACAAAACATACATACACATGTATCCCTGAAAGCTGCAACTTGTCTAGTAGATAAAACACAGGCAGGGAGTCAAGGGAGCTGTGGTATTCTCTTTTTGGGATCTGTTGTTTGTCGTTTAGCTTCCCTATTAAGAAAGTAAGCTTAGGGCAGGAAATTGTCCTGCTCGTGTTAGTGCACTGTAATGGAGTCCTGCCTTCAGTGGGGGTCTCTGGATGCCACTGAAATACACACAGCAATAACAGCAGTGACCTGTGCTGCACCCAGCTGTATCGGCATCCAGACTGCAGTTACAAGGAACAATTTATCCTAGGAAATGTGGTGGAAGTCACTGCTAGGAACTGGTTATAGTAGTTTTGTTTTTCCCTTTTGATGTAAACAGAATATAAACATTGTTTTCCAGAAGAAAAAGCGTTTTTAAAGGTATTCTTATGAAATGAAACAGCCAGTTTTTATGGGCTTCTGTGCCCAGAAGATTTCAGGTCCACATGTGTGACAGAGAGAAGCAGAACTGAATTCTAAACTGTTTCTGTCAGGAGCAGCAAAAGCCATCTTCTGCAACTGCACAAGAGCCCATGGACCTCCTGCTCCCAGCAATGATATGGTCTCCTTGCCTCCAAATGGTGGTGGCGCAGCCATAGCAGGTTTAGGCATCTACAGGAAAATTACAATGGAGTGGCAAGAGAACAGTGCACTTCTGTGGGATTGCTTCATTGCAAAGATTTAAGAATGCGAGGCTCAGGAAATTACTGGCACTGTCATATTATCAATTCCTCGGCGCTATCAGCTAAGACAACTTCCAAATGGTTGGACTAGTAGCCTAAAGGAATCGTTGGCCTTTGCCAAGACAGATAGGAAGAGTTGCACAGAAGATCCGAGTGAATCAGTCACTACAGCGTGTAGGTGTCAGGATGGATAATGAGGCTTTAGTCTCTTTCTAGAGCTGCACTAGTCTACAATGGGAAGAGAAATATCAAATAAAAATACACTCCGCACACATTGCCCGTAGTAATAAGCAACAGCCTGGCAGAATCAATCCAATCCAGAGAATCAGAGGATGGAGCTGACAGCACATTCTGATTTTTTTTTTATTTTATTTTTTAACATGGCTCACAATTGGTGAGGGCACTCGGATGGAACAGAAATGGGTGGGTCTGACTGCACCATCCGTGGCTGTAAGCGATTCTCCAACACCTATCATTTAGGGTCATAGGAGTAACTGCAATGCAAGTGAAGGGTAATTTGGAATGCTACTTATTTGCACATCAAACAAACAGAGTTTCAGACATTTTCAAGGTGAAATTGTACCTTTATAATTTATTTTGTTATACAATAGCATCAGGATTGCCTGTGCAATGACATACAGCTTGCTTCTTGGACAGATTTGTTCTATGAGATGTTGTCAAACAATGATGGTAATATGCAGCTGATATGCTATTTTATTTCCTGCTCAGGAGTCCCTTCAGTGTATTTTAGATGTGTACACAGAAGTTACTGCTGAGCTCTTAAGTGAATGGGAAAATTGGTGGACGCTGCAGAGCAGTGCAATTGTCAGGGACAGAAAGCTGAAAATTACATGTGTGCCTCAAACAGCAAAGAACGTTCTTGCTTGGTAAATATTGGATTTTCCTGTGGCAAACTAGATTAACAGCTTAGCTTTAGGAAAGCTGAAATCATACCTTTATCACTGCATGTGGTGAGTTTTCGTGTTTTGCATTTATTGTGTCATTGTTCTGTGTTTACCCTTCAAGATAAGATGAGAAAAGCATGTAATACTTTATTCAAGATCTGATCCTCGTCCCAGGAGGTCCATTGGCTTGGGCCTTACTCAGAACATACTCACAAGCCTGTATTACATGGTGTGGTTGTGGTCATGGGACTCATCTTTCAGACCTCACACATACTAACAAGTGGCAAAGGGGCAGAAGAGCAACACAGTGAGGCTTTCTACTGTCTCACCAATATATGGGCTCAATTGAATATCCTTGCCACGAGCAGCTGCTGCATGAGCAGAAGTAGTTCAGCTTTTCCAGGAGGTCAGCAATAGAGTTGTGAAAAGAGCAGAGCATTACTGTCTTCTCATGACAGCACTGCTTTCACATCTTATTGCCTGTTCCGTGTCTGATCTGTAGGGGAAGACCTGCTGATGCCAGCAGCAAAGGTGAAGCCCAAGACAGAATTGTGATCTCAAGCAACATGAATTCACTTAACTCCACCAAATGCAAATATGTTATTCTTAGTGGTAGTTACATAGATTAAGAATATAATAAGAATAGGCTGACTTAGTCTTCAGATTACCCACAACTTCAATCTTGCAAGGCTTTCAAAATTGAGCTCTGTGCTTTAAGTGTTATTTAGAAAAAATTATGTGCAGCTGTGACAACATTGGCAGAGCTAAGGTATATAATGCATACTACGTTATTGCAGGGCTAAGGACTCTTGAAGTCAGATTATAACAAATAAGTAAAAGAAGAAATGCTTTGTAAATGTCGTTTTTAGGTGTGTAGGATGTGCTGTTTAAAAAAGTTTCCTTGCCTGAGCCACAGAAGAACTCCTGCATGGAATACATGAGGCTATGTGGAGGGGGCTCTGTGAGTTGGGCTGATGCTTGTTAATTCTGTGACTGTCATGATGTGGTCACACGAGCCAGGCTTTCCAAATAGTGAGAAATACAAATTTGTTCTGGTTTAAGAAAAACAAAGTTTCTGCAAGTGGTATTATGGGATATAGAAATGCAAACTTCTACACCCACCATTTTGATGAGTAAGGCTTGCACCTTCACTTAAGCTGCTTGGGATGAAAATTATAACTGCTGTTAATCCTTCTGCTTCTGGGTGTATGCTGAATGCATCACAACATTACATTCCTGAATATAGTGTAATACTGCAAAATATTAGTTCCTTACCCTGGGATTTTGCACCCTAATGCTGCCCTGAAATTTCTGGCTTTGGTCATTCTAAAAGGCAGAAAGTAAATGAGATGGCCTGCTGCAATATAATTGCAAAGATGTTCTTAGGCTTTCAAGTGAGTATGAAAACTGGATCGTTGCAAGATTTTTCTACAAGTTCTCTCTTTATCTTCTCCCTCCTTTCCCTCCATCTTTTAAGGAGCTTCCACCCAGAATTCCAATGCAGTGGAGCCAGAAAAGCAAGTTGACAGCACAGTGAAAATGGCTGGAGTTATAGCTGGGCTTCTGATGTTTGTTATTATTCTCTTAGGAGCAATGCTTACCATCAAGAGAAGGTAAGTTTCTGCTTTGCTTACATCTTGGACCTCCTGGCTAGAATGCTGCTGTTTCAATAGAACTCTAAATCTGGCAGACATAAATCATTCCATCTGTGTTACCGGGGGCAGCAGTGAATATATATTTATATAATACTACTTAGAAGTTGTGGTCACAGAAGAGATGGCTGTTCTGCTGGATATTTCATGAGCAACAAAAATATGGTTGTTACTCCAGAGAGTTAATGATCTAAGAGAAGGAACAGAAGATGAAAATGTTGCGGAGGCTTAGTATTCTTTGCAAGAATTAGATTTAGTTTATAGGAGGATAAAACTTAAAAAAATAAAACGTGTCTGATAACAACATTTGTTCAAAGAGTTCATTTTATGTGATTTTCTGTGGACCATTTGCACTTCTACTTTGAAGAAGGCCATTGTAGCTGCTACTGTTTGAAGAGTGTAATACACTGATTCAGCAAATCACCTAGAGATTTTCATAAGGAGAGGATGTGTTTTGTATGTGGTTTTACCAGTTGTGTTTTTAAAGAGAGCTCTGCTTTTCATGAGTAATTTAATTCCAAAGGAAATGGGAGCTAGCCAGCCTGGCAGCCCCTTGTCTAGGGAGCATGCAGTGGGACCTGTGAGAGCATTGAAGATTCTTCTTGGCCTGCTGTAAGAAGTGAGACTTGGCAAAGTGAAACTGTTCCTTGGATATTTCTTTTTCTCAGCGATAGTTATGTGCTTCAATCACACAGAAATAGGAGGAGCAATTAAACCTAGACATGATCTTCTCTGTAATAAGGCAGAGGGCACATGCACTGACTCTGTGCTACGCATGTGGAGCGGAGGGCTGGGTTTGCAAAGGAACTCAGGAGGCTGGAGAAAAGAGCTGTGGAAACCTTGTGAAGTCTAGCAAAGTCCTGCACTGTGGTATGGAGTAACCCCACTCAACCTACAGGTCTGCAGAAAGGAAGCTGGAGGTCTTGGAGGAGGAATGGAACAGAAATGAGCAGTGTGCACTTGGAGGCAGCTCAGTATGTCCCAGGCATTGCAAGTATGAGGGTAGCCAACAGGTTGAGGCATGTGTTTATTCCCTTGTCACTGTTGAGGTTGCTGTGGATATGTATTGTCCAGTTATTGCAGAATCTCAGCACGGTAACAGAGCTGACACACAGATCAGTCTAGAGGAGGGTTGCCAAAAGGGATTGGAAATTGGAAAATCTTTTTCTTTTAGAAATTCAAAAATTTGCCTTGGATGAATCCCTCAAGGCTGAGGGACTGTCTGTGGGTGGAACTGGTTTACGCAGGAGGTTGGGCTCAACGACTTTGCAGGAGCTTTTCCAAATCACGTCATTCTGTGATTCTGCAAAACTGATCACGTGTGTATTGAGTGCTGTGAATTCCTGTTGACTCAGATGAAGGTTCTGAGTCCGTTTTTTGGTGTGTGTAAACGCATCAGACTTTGTGGACAAATGGGCGTGCGTTTTGTACTCATGCCTACTGCACATGTGCTCATTGTGAAGCCCAAATGGTGCAGCTGTCTCTGATTCCAGCCTCCCTGCAGCTTCTCTGGTCATCAAGAGAAAAAAAATTAAATGTTTTCAATTAAACAAACAAACTGAAAAAGAACTTCAAGAAGAATTGATCTGTGTTTCTGGTCTGTTTAATGTCCAGCTGTCATCCATTCCTGCTACCTTTCTAAATGCTCTTTAAGAAAAGCTGTACAACCTGAAAGGTAAAACTTAGGAGGAAACCCACCATGACGTATGGAGTGGTACCACCTCTGAACATCCTGGTGTGTTCCACAAGCTATTAGGAGTTGATTACATCTTTTGTTTCTGCCCCACACTATGTTATTATTGTAAATTATGTGCATTGCTGGGCAGAAAAGACCCAGAAAAGGATTTTTCATGATGACCAGGAATTTATTACCTGAGGACAGTCTTTGCTGTGGTGCAGTCTGCCAGCAGCTCAGTAAGAAGGGTGAAAATACCCTTATGAGCCTTATACTTCCCTGTTCTGAAAGCAGACAGGCAGAGTCAGCAGGCAGCATCTCTTTGCCAACTCGCTGTTGCTTGCTGACTTACCCACTGGAATATGCACTGTAATAAGAAATAATCAGGCTCATCAACTTTCAAACCTTTTCCCTTTTAGAAGCTGTCACAGTGCATGGAAAGGTTCTGGAGGCGGGTGCTCTCCAGGTCTGTGCACCTGATAGAACTGCTGCTTGTGTCAGCCCTGCTGTCCCCGGGGCAGCACCACTCACATCACACCGAGGTGTGGGGCTGAGCATGGACATGCGCTCCTCGAAGATGAGCTGAAGGCTGTTGGGCTCATTTTGTTTGTAAACCACTGTGGATTGGGAGCAGATTTTATAAAGGGAAAGACTGCTTTGGACCACAGATTAATCTGAAGTTCTGGAGCAGCACAGCTGAAAGCTTGTCTGAGAGAGCAGCTGAACAGCAACTGTGTTCTCTTTGTGTTTTACAAAGAGAAATGTTAGAAACCCAAGCTCTGGAGTTTGGTTTTTGCATTAACCTTACTTCAAAAGAGATCCCCCTTTCAGTTCATGGAGGCTAATGCCTCTGTGTACGAGACAGTTGTCTTGCAAAGCAACAATGCAGAAAAATAATCAGATACATTTGGGGCATTTTCTTCAAATGGAGATGGCAAGTATCACAGTGGTGTTTGTTCGTGGGGCAGGACTTCATAGTTCATTGATAACAGACACAGCCGTGGATTTCCTGACTGAAGCTATGCAGTACAGAGCACTGGAAGGGGCTAGGAGGGGAGGAAGCACTAAGAGCAGGAAACTGGTTGGGCATTAGAGAGTAGACAGATCATCTGTGTTAAATATTTGTTTGTGTATGTGAGGTTCTCTTATAAATATGGCTGTCCTACAGCATTTAAAACCAAAATGACGTTTTCCTGGTTTTGGGGACCTGCTGGCTACACCAGTTATGTTTTTGCAGCTCCAATATCATCATTTTTAAATTGCAATTCCTTTTAGCTTGTTAATTTACAGCATGTGAGCTGGTGGTCATTTGCCTGCATGTATTGCTTTCTTTCATGAACAGCTAGATATAGAATACCTTGAAGTACCTAATTTTTGTTGTATCAAGATATTACTGATAATATAAAGAGTTCATTCATTTGCACTTCATATAGGTTAAACATATTTGTGGGGGAGAGAATCTAGGACCAGTTAATAAAAATGCACTGAAACTAGAAAACCAAGGCATTTGTATATCCTATTTCTGGAGGAAATACCCTTTGACTTTGCACCCCAGAAGGATTAGGTCCTGGTCAATTCTGATTTCATCTGGACAGCTTTAATTCCTCTGTAATCGTGACTTGCATTTCCCTGGAGTAAAGAATGTGACTTTTCAGGCTTGTGCATCTGAGCAGACAAAGCCTCTACTGAACCCTTTAAGTATAAGACTGAATAAATTGGATCAGACAGCCTGTCACGGGTGCACTGTAAATAAGTTCTTTAAAGTGCTGTTGGTAGCAAAAAAGGAGATTTGGGGCTATGTAGAGTGTAGGACTACTGGTTCCTTCTAGGAAACTCCAGTGCTTCATTCTGGATTAGGATTTAGGTTGTTATTTTAAACTAATAAAATACAATTCAAGAGTGTCCTGAGCAGAGTGTACCCATGCTGTAGGATGGAATCAGGATAGGGATATTTGAATGCTCAGGGACCCCAGAACCTCCTGGTTTCTTACTGAAGACAGATGATAGGCAGGATCTTCAGATTGTGTTGTACCTTCTAGGATCAAGTCATGTTTTTAGTGATCCATGGTTCAGATCAATTTTTACAGTTAGTCTTAACATAGTCCTTAGGAAGTCCTTATCTTTGGTTGCATATTGTGGGTGGATTGAAGCCAAAATGGTACGTCCAGTCCCAAAATATAATTGTCATTTTCTTTGCCTTCCTCTGTTTCTTGTCTTTAAGGAATAAATCTCTTCGAGCTTTCCTCTGCATCTTGAGGGATGCACAGCTTTTGAATGAGGACTGAGCCTTGAGTGATCACACGTGTCCAATGGCTGTGGTATGAGAAAAGCAGAAAGTACAGCAAGATGTTCACAAGGGAGATTCCAGTTGGTAGTGCTGCAAGGAGCCTGGCCCTGGTGCAGCAGAACAGTTTAATTAAGGAATATGTCAGGACATGTAGGGGGTTCAGCTGTATGGGCTTTCGTTTGCCACATCCTGTTGGCTTTCCCTTTGTTTGGAGGTTCAGAAGAGCTCAAACTTTCAGTGTAGCTCAGTGGAATCAATACACCACAACTGATGCACTGCTATCACTCATAGGGTTTCTGAGTTTCAGGGGACTCTGGCATTATGTTATAAATGTGTGCTCAGGTGTGATTTGGGCTCAGTCATTCAGATTACTTGGAGTGTATCGGGAATCTGAATGTCAGGTTTATAGCAAGGGCCACCGCCAAACACAACTTGTCATTTTGGAGTAATCCTTTCCTACATCTGTAGTCGGCTGTCTTTGCCCAGAGGGAATCTCTTCATGGGGCAACAGATTGTAAATATGTGAGGAAATGGGGCAAGTTGTATTTTTTAATGAGAGAAGAAATGCCAATTGTGCAAACAGTGGTATGTTCAGGAAGTGCACAGCAAAGAGAGTGGTCGTGGGCAGAGAACAGCCCTGCTGAATCTGGTTTCTGTGTGTACCTAGGGAATTTTACTCAGAACAACCATAAAAGTGAACACTTGAGTGCTGCATCTCTACTTGTCTGTATTTCCTTGTATTCGTAGTATCTTCAAGGATGGTGCTTTAAAGCTGTGTAAAGGGTTGCATTGTTTTTCCTTGCCTTGACCATGATAGCCACTTCTGATGCTGCCTCATGCCTTGCTGTACTAGCAAGGTACTTAGTCTGTACTAGCACACCTGTTGTGCAGCAGCATTTTCTAAGTTCTCCTCCAGTTATAAAAGGGATGACATCACCTCTTCAGTCATGACTGATTGCCAGGACTCATTTTGTCTTGCTGTAGCAAAACGTTCTTTGTAGAAAAACGAACAGAAAAAGCTTAATCACACTGACGCAGAAAGCTAATACATCCCCCCAGTGATCATCTATAAATATGTAGTGATGCTTGAATTGTTAATGAACTATTTGCATTTTAGAGTTTGATGAAGCTTGATTTGTCATTGCACAATTTGTTCATTGTCTAAATATTCTGAAATTGAGATGTTTTTGCACTGCCACTTTCCTACTTGTTGTCATTCATATTGGTAGCTCTTACATAATCCTTCCCATTCCTAAAGTCTCAAAGCACTTCACAGGCAAAGGTAAGTATCATCGTCCATGTTGCTGACATGGTCAAGTTGAGGAAGAAATCGGTGAAGGGATTTGTTCATGGCGATGCAAGTCAGTAGCAGAAGTGAAAACACACCTGTGTTCTATCTCCAGCTCTGCGTCCATTCCCTGTGAACATACAGCTCCTGACAACAGTGCTGGGGGAAAGTAGCTCAGTACCTGTGGTAGCACAAATACTTTGTATTTCCAAAAATAGCATCGAGTTCATATAAATCTAATTATGTGTTTTTCTTTCTTTTTCTCCATTTGGATATTTTGTTCGTCTGGCTGGCTGTCCATATTTAGAAGAAATGCATACTCCTACTCCTATTACTTGTAAGTACCTAGCAGGGGATGGTGCTTCTTGAGACACTCACTGTGGTAATTTTGTGCTTTGTTGTATTCTTTTCTTTTACCACTCTTTTTTTTTTTTTTTTTTTTGTTTTTTAGCCATTGTGTTCAATCATGTCTTTCCAATAGATTGTGTTTTATTTTCTCTTTCACATTTATATATTTTCCCTGTTTCACCATTTCAGCTGTAACTATGCAAACACGTAAATGTCCATAGATCTGTCCATTATAGTTTATAGTTCTTTAAATGTTAATGGATAAATGCAGAAGAACTGCACTTCTTAAAATTGTCCACCATACTCAGCCAGACTGCCAGGAAATTCACACCTCAAAGTCGTTGCTGGGAATTTCTCAAGCTTGCTTTAAGTGTTTTAAAATTGTAAGGTTTCTGGCAATGAGGACTTGAGATTGCCTCCACAAATATCCCTGTCTGTGGAGCTGCCAGGTTCTGAGTGTCAGTTCAGACCAGCGGATGATGAAGGATTTCAGATTTTCAGATCTAAATCACCTATGCCAACCTAATGACAATGCTGCATAATTAGGGCAGTTAAGGCTCTTGAAAATGCTTTGCACACCAGAACTTTCTGGGGCCATCTGTTGTTTAAAGATGGAGGAGCTGGAAAGTAATCAGGGCTGAGCTGGTTCTGCAATGATAACACGTGTCTGAGGATCAGGAGGAGGTGAGGACTGGATCAGTGATCTGAAGAAGGGGGTCTTGAAGTACAGAGCCTGGATGCCTTTGCTGTCACCAGAGAGTTGGAGGAGTTGGAGAAGACAACTTTTACTACCAAGAGAAACATGTCTCCTCTCCACCTCTCACAACCAGCAGCTCTATTGCCCTCACAAGCAGCAGCCTGCCGGACTTTTAGGGCTCTGACATAGACAAAATAGTTGAAAGGGCCACATCTGCTTTGCTAATTCCTCCCAGCCTGCCACCCTTTTCCTTCACCTGTTCCTACTGCTCATCTTTGTGTTATGACTTTGTCCTGTGGACACATCTGAAAGATGTTCAGTAAGTCAGTGGAATGAATGTGTTTAAACTTCATTTTAGTGAAGTTGACTGATTTTCCATGGGAGTTTGAGTTACATCTTAAGATCAGGGCAAAGGATTTAAGAGTAGAATCCCTGTTCAGCTGTAGAGTCATTTTGCTTCTTGATGACCTATCAGAAAATAATGAGTAGAAAAACCTTCATGGCTTGCTATGTTTGCAAGAAACCAAAAGACACCCTGTTGAGACTTGCCTTTACCCAGCTAAATAATTGTAAGTGGAAGATAACTCTATTTTCTCTAGGCTCCACACTAGTTAACCACAAATAGAACTTGACCATTAATGGAAAGATTTCAAGAAAAGCTTAACTTAAAGTCAGGGACAGTTTTAGCAGGTAGATGCTGCCAACTCGTTGCATTTATTGCTACAACCTTTCTTCTTCAGTGCATTTCCCCTGAACATCAGGAAAGTTCCATCTTCACTGCTTTACATTTTTATATTGCCTGAAAAATGCATTCCCTGTTTTACCCATACAATTTCATCTTCTTCCTGCAGGCAGTATGTGGTCAAAATGTTCCCTACTTTTATTGTATTTTGAGATTTACGCATTTAAAAGCATAAATCAACTTCTCAGCCCTAAATGACCCATTTTTGCAGCTGCACCACAGAGTTGTTTTAAGTAGTCAGCTGAGGATTATTCTGTACAGAGAAAATAAGGGTATTGGTAAGCAGTCTCTTTGCTGTCTTTCAGTGGCTTCTGTGAATCAATATACCAGTACTTTTCTTCTTGGGGAACAGGAGAGTGACTTGAGAAAAGTGAAGAGACAGAACTGTGCAGGTCACCAAAGCCTGAGGTTGCAGTGAACTTCAGCAGTAGCAAAAGCAAGTGGTGATGGGCTGCAGAGGTGTAATAAAGCAGTTGTGCACCATGCAGTATATCACAGTAGAGGAGAGCCTGAGGTGTCACCAGGCAAGCTTTTGTGTTTGTAGCAACTCCCTGTAGCACCGAATGGGGATTTGAAGTCAAGATGCAGAAATCATAGAACTCCAATGCACCCTAAACAGAGAGCTTGCTCTTAGCTCGGTGCTTACGCTGTCTAAGGCACCACATCAAGCATGACCTCTGTTAGCTGGAACGTCTCAGTGGTAGAGGTAACGCTCAAATAGTCCTTGCACAATTAGCAATTGTTAGCCAAAGCCAATAGAAATTGCTACAGCCTCTTAGGAACAGAAAGGTTTGATTTCAGTTTATTTGACGTGTTGTGGAAATAAGAGCAGGGATATGTATACATATAGATTTAAAAAATAAAATTGGTTTCTATGCTACGACCTTGTATGAATGTTTTAGTCCTGAAGCAAAATTGAATGGAGTTAGCAGTATTGAAAAACATGTTCTCAAATAGATCTATTGGCACACCTTTAAATACAACCGCACAGACTACACTGTTCTATTTTTGGTTTCAGTTTCTGGGCTTCAAAGCTGTGCTTCCTGGAGTAATTCTCATCTGCTTTCAGATAATTCCTTTCAACTTTTTGTCATCTGCTGTACAGACATTTCTTCTTCTTAGGGACCAAAATCTTCAAACTCAACTCTTATTCTTAATGGGGCATATCTGTTAAAGGCACTGACATTTATACCATGAGAAACTGATTCTTGCAGACATGGGCCATAAGGGCTGTGGCAGTTTCTAGGCTGAGTTCTGCCCAATTAGCTGTGAGGTTTTTTGTATGGCAACACTCCATTTCTAAGCTTCCTGCAATGTGTGGGAACAGGTATTAATCAGGTATTATTGTGGTTGAAAGAGAAGGCCATAAAGATCTTTAAAACACCTGCAGTGGGAGATGCAAAGCCAGCAAAGCCCTATTCCTCACCTGTCATGCAGGATGACAGCATTTTGTGTACTTCACTTTACCCCTCCTTAGAAGTCAGCTGCAGAGAAAGGTCCTTGGGCAGAACCTCCTGTACCAGTGGTGCAAGTTAAGTCCTCCTGGTTTTGTAATGGGTGAGAAGGATGCAGAATTGTGAGTTCTGGACCAGATGTGCCCACTGCAGCCCTGCCACTGTGGTGAGGCGCAGGCCTTTCGGGAGAAGCGTTCTGAAATGCTCTGTATTTACATCAGTACGAGCGTTGCCTAAGTTTTCTGTAGAATTGCCAGCTCTGACACATTGCATGCAAGTTTAATGCACTGTAAGATCCGATGTACTGTGTAAGATAACAACCCATCCACCTCTGAAAGTTTTTGTTTCTTTGCTTAGACGAAGCTGTAAAACATGGGTGGCATTACAGCTGCTTTAAAGGGGATTTTGCATTCAGTGACAGACATCTCTTTTCTCACAGTGTTTTCCCCTGCAACGAGCCTTCTTGAGGCTTTGTTATTTCCTTACCAGGGGAAAAAAAAAAAAAAAAAAAAAAAGTGGAACTCTGTTTTACTTTCTGTGGGTTTTTGTTTTTGCTTTTCAAATTGCTGTTTGGTTGGGGTTTGTTTGCTGTTGTTGTTGTTTTTCCCTTCTGCTACGCTCAGTAATGGTTGCAGGCTGGGATTTAATCAAGAATGCTTTTAGACCAGAAAAGTGTTTCTGGAAATGCAGAGATTCATATACGTGTTACCTGCCCTGCTGATGTTATTTATAAGAAGAGAGTGCTCAGTGGCCAGAGCATTACTTCCCTTCGCCCTCGATCCAGCAAGAGTAGTGAGGGCCCTGCTGCACACATGGAACCCCTTCAGCTCCCATTGTGATTGAAAGCAGACTTTAATTGCTGTGCTATCAAATTGGAGCTTCTCTTCATAGAAGAGATTCCATCCCGATAGTAAAGCTGAATGTATACTTGCATTTTTCTGAACTAACAGAATTTGTGCTGAATTTATTTGCACCACATGTGGGACATTTGAAAGGAAATAAAATAACTCTATTTATGGGCATACTTCTGTATATATAATACCTACATGCCTATATTTCATGTATTTCCTGTGATGGTGGGATCTGCCTGCACAGCTCAGCTTGCCAAATCAGAATGTTTAGGAGAAACTGTTTTTCTCATTAGATACTGGAAGAGCAGTCATAAATCAGTGGCTATGCCAGTTAATTGAGAAAGTATGTGAGAGCTTGTTTAGAACATGTCTATTAGGTGTCTGCAAAGCCATAGAATATATTGGACAGTTTGGACCAATATATAATATGACTGCATGACTCTTATGTGCACCTACCTACTCCAAAATGGATATTGCTGTGACCAAAGATACTCCAGAAAAGTGATTGATTTGCTCAAATAAAGCTTAGAGAGTGTATTCCTGAGTGTTTCCTGGTGCTGAGCTTGTGTATATGAGAGTAAAAAACATTCAGAGCATCCTTTGCCCTGTGCCTGCATTATAGCACTTTCCTCATGCCGGGCAGTGCTTGTTCTGTGAGCTGCAGTGGTGCAGCTGGGCCCTTGTTCATCATACAGCCTTTTCTTTGGGGAATTCTCTTCTGCTTCAGCTATAAACCTTCCCTGAGTTTGGCTTCACTGGCCCTGCTGTCCTCGCTAGCCAGTAAATGTAGGGGTTGCCCTTGGGGAGACTGTGAGAACCAGTGAGCTACACTTAGAGCAGGACCTGCAACTGAGCTCTGGCCAGGGATGCTCATTTAGAGATGGAGATCGCAGTGCAGAGTGCAATCTGCAGAGGGGAGAAGGAGCCACTGTCCAGGCTGTAAAAGGCTGCACTGCTTTACCTCCATCAGCCTGTGGAGCTGCAGCCTCTAGGGAGATCTCCCAGTTCATCTGACTGATGGGCAGCCTCTGCTCTGTTCAGGTTTTCCTGAGTCTCAAATGAACAGCCTTTCCTGTCATTGAGTCCATCACTTTTTTTCACAGTGCTGTAGACCAGGAGAAGAACTTCCTTGTGGTATCCTCTCCTATGTTTGAAGGTGTCAGCTCTTTGTCTTTGCTCTGGGTGAAAGAGCCATACTTCTTTTGGCCTTTTCTTGTAGATGGTGTTTTCCAGATTTACCTTCCTTGTTCTGTTTTGGTGTATGTTCCTTTGGTACACATCCTTTTCAAGTGCAGAACTGGATGCTGTACTGCAGCGGAGCCTTTATCACCACTCAGAGCAAAAGGATTACCTGTGTCCTGCAGACTGCAGAGCCATCTATAATCCCCACCTTCTTTTTGCACAGAGATGGGGCTTCTCCTTCGAGTTGAGCTTATGACCTATTACAGATCTAGGGAGCGAAGATCCTTTTCCATAGATCAGCTGGTTCACCAGTGCTCCCGGTAGGGTGTTGGCATGGTTGATCTCTGCCTTAATTTGTGCAGATTTCATGTTAAATAACGTGTGTACTCCTAGCAGGCTGCTGCACACAAATATCTACTAGGAATTGTGTTTTGTAGCTTTCTTAAATTGCTTATTGGAAATGAGGGCAATATGCAATTTTTGTCTGTAGGAGGAAATTTCATGTTTAAGTTACATGATCTATACCTAATGTCTAAATTACCTGTGCATGCAAATCCACACTATAGTATATATAATCCATCCTTGTGAAACATCTAAAATTAAATCTGTCAACGTACGTGTACAAGAGCTTTTTAGGAGTGGCAGTTACAGATTTAACATTCATGCATGTAAAATTGACATAAAAATTTAAGTAAGAGCTGCTTTTAAAAATATAATCCTTGAAGTTTACCCAAGCCTTTGCAAAACTGGAATCTGATCCTATGAATACTTTGAGCTGAAAATATTCCTTGAGGTTTCTGATTAGTGCTCATGGTAGTGGATGCTTTTGACTTGATACTAAATTTGTATTCCTGGATTGTTAAACTGGAAGTCCCTCAGTTTTAATTTAGCGTTTCAGCATTTTATATTCTCTGATGAGCAGAAGTTTCAAAAATAGCTAAACCAAATCTCCATCGTATTTTTTTTCTGAATTTGCACTTAGTTCAGGTTCACTGCTAACAGCTCTTGTCCTTGCTTTAGTTGGGTTAGCTTCAACTGCCTGATTATGCAGCTGGTTTCATTCTTTTTGTTCTGCTTTGAGCATCTTTCTGTCTCATCACTCCTGTGTGTGTATTGTGCCCATAAACATCATCTCTTCATTTATGAATCCTCTTGAACTGAAAAGGGCAACCCAGTAAACCCCATCCATGGATTCTCATGTTCTTCCTGGCACTTTCTCCTTACACTTGAATGTAAAACCGCCACTAATATCGCCCCATTCACATTTTGACATTTTCATCTCTTCACCCCGTGTTGATTATATCAGACTCTTCTTCCAAGTATCTGCCTAGTCCTTTATTTCTTCCCCTTTTCAACTGCATAATGCATGAGACAGAAAGTGTCTCCTCTGTGCCTGGTGACAGCCCGTGCTGGTTGCACGCCGGAGGCAGCCTGAGCCGGCCCATGATTGACACTAATGCACTGATAGCAGTTTCCTCAGGATGCTGGCATTGTGCTGTTTGGGGGAAGCTGGTCAGTACGGAGAACAGGAGCCGTGTCACTGATGCTGCCTGTCAGTGATTCACAGAGATCTCTTCAAGTGCCCTATTTTTGGAAACAGCGTTTTCAGATAAATGTTTTTCCGATTCCAGAGGCATTTTGACATGCTGGCAAATAAACCTTTACCTTGCCATGGGTTTAAGTTGCATCCCTAGCGTTCTAGAAAGTACTAGTCATTTGATTTTATAATCCTTTCTATGAATTATAAAGATGGCGAGGGCCAAATAGGCTTAGTCCTGTGCTGCCACTCTATCCAGACATGTAACTGAGTCAGAAAAGGCACATTTAGAAACCAGGAGCCCCTTGATGTGTCTGGCAAGCTTAGCTCTGAAATCCTCAAAAGAGATCTGTCTTCCTTTTCCCTCTAAATTTAGATGAAGAATTTTTACATCCTTGGAGGAGAGAGGGAGGAAGGTGGGAACGTATAACACTGCGTTGAAAGCCGATCGTAGCGCTGTCGGATGCCCAACACTTTTCTGTGTGGCTTCTCCCACGCGCTCCCCCTGCGCTTGCAGCAGCCTCCGCTGGTGAGCAGCCTGCGCAGGAGGCTGCCGCCTGCGGGTCCTAGGTCAAGAACCTTAAACTCATCTCACCTTTTCTTTTTAGGCATTCAAGCCAATGTTTTAGGGGCCTCTCTGTCTTCTACAGGACCAGGTAGAACTGCTTTGCCATAGGGCTTTTGTAAGCAGGCCTTTGGGGTCTCACGGGTTTGGGTTTGGGGTGATTTTGTCCCTGTGCAGAACGTGCAGAAAGTGGTATTGCTTGCCTACTGATAGAAACGGAGCTTGCCGGCTCTTTGTAGCTTGTTGGCATTTCTGAAAGGAAACCAAGCAATGGGACTTAGGGGTAATTACGGCCACAAATATTTTAATCTGGATTTAATAAGGAAGTCACCCTTTTTGACTCGCTATTTTTAAACATCAGTAGTGGTAGTGTGTAATGTCTCACCCCAGCAGTCCAGAGTGCTTGTTATTAAGGACTTGTGCATTTTGGATTAGTGCTTCCCACTGAGAAATTTTAATTCCTGTTGCCAAAGAATTCACATAGCCGTGTATGATTAGCAAATCTAAAGGATTAAAATAACCGCATAGCAGGGTTAATACGCTCCCAAACTATTGTTGTTACCTCAGGGACAACAGCACAAAACAAGGAGGCTCATGGTTAATAAATCTGGCTGTGTTAGCATCGCTGTGTGCTGGAAGCAAAGCTTTTAACATCATTAAATGCCAGCTTTTTGCTTCAGCATCCAAGGCCGGTTCCTCTGTTTGCATCTTTATCTACAGAAGTGGATATCATGGAGATTCTGTGAGATCTAAGTATGCACTCTATAATTATGTCTCCAATTGGAATGGCTGTGGGCTGGAATTGAAAGCACGAGCAGCACAAGGCTGAACTGACTAAGCAGATGAGAGAGATGCATTTGTTCACAAGTTTCCAGCAGACATTGGACATTTCTCCACAAATTTTTGCTCTCCTGGTCTGGATTCAGCAGCTTGCCTTAAGATAGCCGCTCCTCACTGAGATGAGCCGAAGGCTTCAGTTCTCTTTGAGCCCTCCATGCCAATGGATGTGGCTGGCCCAGCTGCCCCACTGCAGGAGGGCTGGGGCTCAGCTGTATGCCAGGACCTGCCTGTAAATGCCACTGACAAGCGCTGTGAATAAATAAGCCTGTTGCAAGCAATATCCTTTTAAGAGCCTAATGAAGTTTAAAAGATGGGGAGTACTTACCATAAGCATGTCGTTTCAGTGAAGAAAAACCTCTTTGCAAAATGATTTAGTTGTTAGGATTTTTTTTTCTTTCATTTAAGAGGGGAAAGAGAAAACCGAAACTCCTACTTACAGTAATCTGTTTTTCTCCCTTTTATTTTGTTTTATTTTCTTATCTGCGGAAGCCGTGTAAGCAAAGTTCCTTGCTAGTGCTGGGGATTTGTGTGCTATTTTTTCAAGGTGCCGGTTGTAGAATATCACACATTCATTTTTAAACACTTTTGCTCTCTGGTATGAACGAAGCACAGGGCAGTCAAATGTCAGTGGAAGCTTAGCAGCTCACTTTTCTGCTTCTCTCCACTTCCTTACTATTAGCTGTGTTTGCAAAAGAGGAGCCTCTTAAGTTCTTGGCTTTGTTACTGTTTTTGGAGCTGGCAGTGTTTCTACTTTGAGGTCTCCTCAAAGACCCAAATTCCCAGAAAAAGGACGTATCTGGACACAGTCATTTTTAAAATTACTGCAGCCTTTAACTTGCCCCGTTCTTCCCTGAGTGCCGATCCTCAGAGCAATTTGTCAAATTCTAGCAGAGGCTGCCATCCTCTCTGCCCTGCTTGGGCCTCCTGCCCAGCTGCCCAGTGGCACAGCCTCAAGTCACAATGCTCCCTGGAGCCTCCATAGACAGCCCCAGGTGCAGGTGGCCCTGTGGGATGGATGTGGAGATCCCATGTACCTCCAGTGAGCCTTTCCCATTGCTGCCCATGCCCGGTGCCCTCTGCTCTTCCCGGAGCAGATGTCACCTGCTCCAAGGGCTTTCCTTATTTCTTCTTCTTTGGTGACGTAGTGCTCCTACTGCTGGGGTGATGTGGGTTTGTGCACGATGAGTTACTGGGGGGGACAGCCAGACTCACAGGCTGGCATCACTACATTTATTTTTCTCCATAACAACATATTAAAAAGCTGTGGGGTTTTCTCTCTTGGAGTTCCATGTGCCCTGCATGTCTCTTAAGTGTGATAATTGTGATTTTTGAGATATTTTCTCATTGTTTTGTTTCTAATGAGGGAAAACTGACCTCGATTTCTCCCCTCTTCAAAATACCCTAAAGGAAGCTAGCCAAGAAGCAGAAGGAGACTCAGACCAGCACACAGAGAGAGATGGGTCCTGTGGCCGCTTCAGACAAGGCCTCTACCAAACTCAGCGCTGTTCACAATGAAGAAGCTTTCTCTTCCAGCTGCCAAGATGTTAATGGATTCAGTAAGTTTAACTTGCTTGCAATGGATATGTCCCCTTTGGAGAGCTCTGGGTTCTTGAAAGGACCTATTCCTCTGGGCACAACAGTGAGAAGCTGGGAGTGGCAGTGAGAGGGTTCGTTGCAAAAGCTTGCTAGGAATCAGTTGTTGAAATGCTTCTAATACTGCCCCTATTTTACCTCTCAGCTGGGTGGGGAGAATTCCTTCTCACTCTAAATCTACCAAGAAATAATTTATAATGTGTTTTAATAATTGCAGCAGACATTCAAAAAGGCATATGTTCATTTGTTCTTCCGAAACAGTTTTTCCTTTGTGAGTTGATGAGTAAAATCACTTAGCTGACGTCTAGGATGGAAATATCGTTTTCTGTATGGAATTTTTATGAAAGAAAACAATCTCATGGTTAGAAATGGAAAGACATCATTTCTTCTTTTGTCTGTGTCCTCAGTTTGTTCTTCACTCAACCTCCGTAAAACGAATAGTAGTTAACAATTGTAAACCACTCAGACCTCTGTAGCTGGAAGACTCTGGGCAAAGCAGCACTAAGTTACCCCTTAGCCTCACTAGATCCAGGTTGAATGCATGGTGGACTGCATGGTGGATTTGTAAACCTTTTCGTATTAAATAAATTTTAACTTAGACACTATGGGAATGTCACTCCTTCTTTTGATGCTTACCCTATAGTTTGAAGAAGGTTCAGCTCTGAAAGCAAAATGCATACTTAGAATTCTTGTTATTTTTTAACATCTTTATGAAGCGTTTTTCCCCTAATTACTAACAAGGAATTGCCTATGATTAAAAAAAAAGAAAGAAAGAAAGAAAAAAGTTTGTTATCACTGAAATCTTTCTTTGTAACCACAGGTTGATCACTACAGGCTGAGTGAATTTTTCTTCTCCCTCTGTCTATAGGTCATGTCAAATTCCATCTGCATGCATTGCTACTGTCACTCTATGTAACGTAACTGTGAGCTGGATAAGTAGGTGTTTGGGACCATCAAGGCTAGTGGTGAACACTTCTCTCTGATATCAAATTGACTTGACTCAAGATCTAATTTTCTCAGGTGCTGAGTAGCTGTGCCTCCTAAAGAAGACAGCATGAGTTGTCAGTGCCTCGTATCTTTGAAAGACAGGATAGCAGAGGGCAGCATTGTAACAGGCAGCCTAGAAACAGCAAAGATAGTTAGTTTGTTTGAAATGTATGAGGAAAACCAAGTTTTTCACTTTTCATTGGAATCTGGATTTTTAAAACTTTGTGGGTTTTGCTTTTTTTTCCAACCAGAAAATAAAGAAGAGCCTGTAAAGTGACCTCATTTCTTTCCTTGATATTTTGAGAGACTAATTAAAACAGCTGAGTCATTTGCTTGAAATAGCAACTATAGGAAATGCTATATCTAATTTTGTAAGGGAAGCATACCTTCAGGTTTTCTTTTTCGTTCTTTTAAATCAGTAAGTCCTTTGCTTGTCTGACATCACTGCAGATTTTATCACCACCTCCCTCTGTAGCACAGCCTGATTCAAGTCATGGGCTGATTCTTTCTTTTTTTTTTTCCCTCTTTATATCCATAAGCAATAATCACTGGTAAGCCTTCATGATTTCTCCACATTTTTTTTTTCTGCCAAGTCCAGGATGCTGAGGTGTTGCAGGTAAGTTCTCTCCTGTGCAAAAATGTGCACGTGCTGATGCCAGAATTTTATGGGTTTGCAGCTGATCGTATAGTCAGGAAAAAAAAAAAAAAAAAAGAGTAAAAGCCTTTATTTAAAAAAAATTACTTTAATGGAGTTTAATACTTAAAGGTTTTTATATGGGCCTGCTCTTACTTTTGAATAACATAATTGGATTACTTTGTAACTTTCCTGCTAACTAATACAGTTTTATGGGGGCTATTCATCCTAGCTTTTGAAATCAGCTCCGTCTCTTAAGCAAGAGTAAAATTCTGTCTTAAATGTTCCTTTTACCTCACAACAGAAAATAGTGCTCGTCAATGTCTCATGATAGGTGCTCATCCTCTCCTTCCTGACCTCAGTTATGAGAGTATGAGGAGTCTGAGTTAGCTGTAGCAGTGACTGGGAAATACCCCTGCCTTCTGCTGTTAAAAATGCTTATTCCTTCACCGACTGCTGCTTCATTCCTTCAGATGGAAAGTCTTTGGAAATGTTTAATATCAGCTCTTGCAAATGGTGCAGTCCATAAATTCATGCCCCGTTGGCCATGCGTAGATTGCTTGATAGATGTGTTTGTTGTCAAACGTAATTATGTCTGGAACATCTCTAGCCTCTGGATACAGGCTGGGTGGAAAATGGATTGAGAGCAGCCCTGAGGAGAAGGATTTGGGGGTGTTGGTTGATGGGAGATTCAACATGGGCCAACAGTGTGCAGTTATAGCCAGAGGATCAAATGTACTGCATTAACATATGGGAGGGGGAGCAGCAGAGTGATGGAGGGGGGTTTGTGCCCCTCTGCTCTGCGCTTGTGAAGCCCCAACTGCAGTAGTGCATCCAGGCCTGGGATCCCCAGCACAAAAAGGGTGTGGAGATGTTGGAGCAGGTCTAGAGAAAGCCAAGATGCTCAGAGGAGCAGCTCTCCTACGAAGACAGGCTGAGGGATCTGGGGGTGTTCACACTGGAGAAGAGAGGGCTCTGGGGACACCTCAGTGTGGCCTTCTGGTGCCTAAAGGAGCCCTGCAGGAAAGCTGTACTCTGTCACAGAGTGTGGTGATGCGACAGGGAGCTGTGGTTTTAAACTGATAGAGGGGAAATTTAGTTTAGATGTCAGGAGGAAATTGTTTACTCAGAGGGCAGTGAGGCCATAGCACTGCTGGCAAGAGAAGTGTGGGTGCCCCATCCCCAGCGGGCACCAAGGCCTGGTTGGATGGGCTCTGGGCACCCTGAGCTGGGGGGCAGCCAGCCCACAGCAGGGAAGGGCTGGAGGGCTGGAAAGGCCCTTCCAGTGCATTACAGAATGCAGACCATTCTGTAATTCTGTGATGGTATGCTGGAGCAGGGAGACTTCAGATCTTGGTGAAAAGTGGAACAGAAACGAGCTCTTAAATTTTCTGGCCCAAAGATAGGCTCTTTATCCCCCTTTCCATCCCAGAATGATACTTGTTATTCAGGCCAGTTTCTGACTGGTACTTAAAGTTTTAACTGCAGAGTTTTTATGGACTCAGCCCATGTCTCTGCCACAACATGGAATCAGAATAGATGTTTGCTGAAAGCCAAACTAGTCTAACATTATTCCAGTTTGTCTGGTTTTACCCAAAAGTCATGTGAAGTGAGATGTACATTTTTCTCAAAAGCAGTCTTTAAAAAAAAAAATTAAAAATTATATATTTATCTTAAATCTCTACAAGTAAATGCTGATATTTGCAGTATTTGAGACCACTCCTTATCTTTCAGGAGTGTTTGGAAAGCAGTGTCATTTTCCTCGGAGTGGCACAGCATGGCCACATGCAGATACTGACTCAGTGCAGGGTTGTTGTGGAGTGAGGTAACGAATGGCAGTCAAGGAAGACCCGAAATTATCCCACAGTATCTGTGCACTGACCAGAAAGGTGTGCAAGGGGTTATTATTGAATAATTTATGTGCGATTTGGTAGCACATCTGTGTGAAGAGAGAAGCAGCAGTACATCATCTCAGCAAAGTTGTGCTGCAACATCGTGCACGGAGGACACTGCTTTCCAAATGATCCAAAGGAGTGACACTGGTACAGTCCAGCTGAATAGCCTTAACATTACTGGTAGAGGCGCAGTGTGAAGGTGCCTTCTAGGATACTTTAAGGAATGGAGATTTGCATTAGTAGTGGTATTGTTATTGGCATGAGTAGGGTGGCCTCTTGTGCCACTCCTGTGTATAGAGAATTTGAAATCGAGTTTTAATCTTTGATGTGAAGTTCTCTTTGGAAGTGTCTCTGTGACTTGCACACACTGGTGCTGGTGGGTACCTCTGATGAAGCCACAGCACTGTGTGTGCATCTCTCCTACAACAGCCACCTGGCTGACTTTGACAATAAGCTCTCTGAAAGTCTGAATTCACCTCCCATCTCACAAATATGGTTTCATTTCCTTTGTTGGAAACATTTTTAATCAAATTCACTGATGTGATGTGTCTACATTTGGATGCCTGAGTAAGTTATAGTTGGCAATTCCTGGAAAAGCTGTGCCCCAATGTACTTTTGTACTCCCAAATTTCAGGAAATCAGAGGATTTACTCTGTGACTCTGGCCAACCAAAGTATTCTTGATAGTGCTTGTCTTACACATCTGTAGAAGTGGCCACATCACAAGTGTGATACAAAGAAGGTCTTATTTAGGCTAGCTAACAGGGGAGAAAGTGGAAGAGGTCCCAGATGAGAGTTGCATTACAGCAGACTAAGCTATGAGAAATTGCATTATCTTAATGTGTTTTCATATGGTCAAAGCCTGACAATGTAGCAGAAAAATGCAAGGAGGAGCAAGTTCATTATAAGTTGATGATAAAGTGCTTAGGAGGTAACTCTGAAGACTATCCCTAGGATAGTGCCTTCTTTCATTCACCCCATAGAGGAACTTTAAAATTATTAGTGGTGTTTTTTCTAGAGATACAAAATTTGCTTCTGAAAATGCTTTGATGTATACTGACTTTTATCTACTTCTGCTGGATTATGGAATACTTTTTCCTGTGTTTATCTATTGTCATCTTTCTGATGTACTGAGATTCGTATTAGCTTGTTTCCCAATGTTTTGAGGAGGAGATAAATGTCTGCAAGTCTAAGAGTGAATGCAGAGTGATAACTAAAGAATATACATTCAGAAATGATGGATTATCGTAAGAATGTACATGTATGCTATTGTGGATATAAACAATCTCGTACATTTGCTAGCAAGGAAAGATTCTGCTGTGAAGATGTGGAGCCCTGGCTACTTTCCATTAATATTTGATCAATATGGGAATTATTTGTGGATTTGTTCCAGAGAAAGCTAATGCTTTAGATGGGAGAAAATAGGGATGTATGTCCTGCTGAAAGAACCCATCTCACAAGGGAAAAGATTATAGGATTTACTATTAAGTGTTCTGCATTGAAAAACAATTGCCTTCTTATCTTGTATGGTTTTAAAAAAATTTGCTACCCTGCCTGTGTATTTTTGTGCTACTAGTGTACATTGTGCTTAGCAGGCTTATTTTGCTGTTAATAATGCATTTACTCTCTGTAGTTTGTATTTTGGGTGTTGTTTTTGAGTATTTTTCTGAGATGTTCCTTTGGTTTAAAGAAAAAAAAGAGGTGTGTAGAATATAGTCCTATATGTGTAGGAACACACTGATTTACAAAAACTGCAATACTATATTTGGGGTCTGGAGTACTTATATTAAAGAAAATCCATCATGATGACATTGTAATAAATGTAATATGCATGTTGAGATGAAAAATATAATTCACTTTGATAAGCCTTATATATCCCATATTACTGTGTTCTTTGAGGAACATTCTCCCTGTTCTTTCTCTCTCTTAATATATGTCTAAAGTCTTTTCCTTATGTCTTTCCTACCTAGCATCACCCTCTCCTTGTTCATTTTCTGTCCAAAGCAAAACCCTTCAGAGCAAATCTTTGTTGAATTCCTACTACTCAGGTACTAGTGCCAGACTTTTTTTTCTTTTCTAAATTTTCTTTACTTTTGTGCATTTCCTGATATGACCTATAGACTGAATCTGCTGAGTATGAGATGAAACTAACCTTGTTTTCATTTTTTGTAACTTTTTTTTTCCTGCTGATCTTCTGTTGATTTGCAATGACCCGTGTCGTGTGGGTGACTGGAATTCCTTCTCAAAGTATCATCAGACACAGTTCCATCAACCACGCTGTTAGGTAAGACAGGTATGGTGGTATTCTCTCATTGGAGAGAAAACATGCTCATTGCATCTTGCAGATAACTTAGAGAATGCTGTTAAGTGGCTGGGCTTCAAAATCATAATTAATCCTGTGATCATGTACTTTGTTAATTGGAAAGTCTTTGGTTTCACTCATGCCTTCTTATCGCTGTTAACTGGTTCTATTTATTTGTTTGAGAAAAGACAGTTCAAAATATACAGATGTAGGTGGGAACCAAAAGGTAGGTTTGGGAAATGGGAGTCAAATGCTAAATATTGCAGCAGTCTGGTATGGACGTGACAGGGTAAAGAAAAGGCAGGTTCTGAGAGGTGGAGGCTGTGCTGTGGCTGCTGGTCACTTTAGAGGGAGATGGTTGTGTGCTGCAGCGTGTGCAGCTCCTAGCTTTTGGATTTTTAAAAGTATGTTAGCACAGTAAGTTAACAGAGAGAACAAAATTGACAGAAACTGTAAGCTGATAAAAAGAAGCTATTCAGAACCTTACTGGAGGTATACCCTTGAAAGTGAGTAATAACAGCCTACAACTTCGGGCTCTCCCTGGAGGATGCTGCCTGCGTGTGGAATTTGAAGAAGGCAATTCCTCTGCTATGAATCAGAAAGATGATATGTAGTTGATCAGAATCTAACCAGTGGTATTTATGAAACCTGTCATTTTGGATTATCTACAGTAAATGTTCAGTTCCAGACACAGTAATCTACCATGTCTGCTTTAAACATTACTCTGGGCACGCTGAAGGCCTATAGTTAGACCAGGAAGAAATTACAACCAAGCACTTAAGTGCTTTGGCTTACAGACTAACAGCCAGAGAGGCTTGGAGGGACTGCCACAATACATACATTTATCCTGCTATATATCAACGTGCCTGATGGCGATGAATAAGCCCTCTTTTGATGTGATGGGGAAGAAGTCGTCTTTTCCAGAAGGTTTCTTCTTGTTTCCCAGAGACTCGTTGTCAACAGGAAGGTCTGAAGGTGGATTTATCTTTTGGCTGTGCTTTAGAAACAGTGCTCAGACCTGCATTTTGCTCTCACTGGTGCTCAGCATCTGTGAAAATGGGTACCAAAGTCTGAGGGAGGTGTTATTAGCCCTGTGTCAAGACAGCAAACTGCATACTTCTGATGCTGAAGCTCAAGGAGTAATAGAGTCAATCTGTGCCTCTCACAGGGCAAAGAAAAAGCCAAAAAGAACTCTCAAAGCTTTCAAAACACCACAATTAGAGAGGAATAATAAATAAGAGAGTTGGGAATTAAAGTAGTCTTGTGCTTCTGTATCCAAAGCTCTACATATTTAAAACTCTTTAAAACTTAGCATCTATTAACCATTATCTCTGAGCTGAGTAAGGATTGATATCCTGGTCTTACACACAAGAAGTTAAGCACAGAGCATTTTAAGACATGATTTACACACGCTGCTCACTCTTGAATTGCACCTGCACTGAGCAGCCACAGGTGCTGCAGAACAGCTCTTAGCACCAAAGAAATTTCTCTCTTGTGAGTTGCAGACAAATGGAAAGCCTGACGTTCTGACCTCTCAGACAGATTTACCAGACATTGGATGATGCTGTATGAGCAAAATAAGTTTAATTTTTGACGTTTATTAATTCCTGGGAAAGAAAAAGATCTTAAAAAGAGCATCAGTCATTTCACCACCAATATCTGTCTCTGGGCACCACCTGTGCTTCACTGCTATTTGTTCCCATCTGTTATGCCTTCTGCTAATAAATGTTCTATATCTGCCATGCTAGATGACTCCCTAGGCTTGACTGTGACATGATTTCTTGATATTAAGATACAGGGGATTTTTTTGTGCCTCTGCCACATCTTGTGCTTGACTAACACTTTTTTCATGTAATGCATGTTTTTAGCTCTGTAATTTAACTTAGAGTTGTAGATTCCATGACTTAATGGCCTTCACAAGCATCTTTGCTGGGAAAGAGAGTATTTAATACTAGCAAGTTAAGGAGGCAGTTTCCTTGCTTTTAATATTTGAGTAAGGTTCATGCTATATGACTAATATAAAGTCTGAGTGAGAGATGGTACCACATCAGAGCTTGTTTTTGGAGAAAACGTGCATGGAAGTCAAAGTCATTCAGCAAATGACATCAGTGCAGGCTCTTCAGGGGAGCCAGCCCACCTTCCTCTTGCATCCCTTCATGTCATCTTCTCAATTCCCTTATGCAAGAGTATCCTAATAAGGAGAATCCCTACCCCCCCAGGAGGATAAGGACAGTAGTGCCTCGTGGTTCCTTGCAGACGGGTGGAACAAGCAGAGGAAGCTCACTGTTGGGATGTTTTCAACAAATCCTGGCTTGCATTAAAAAAAATAGAAACAACAAGAAATTTGCTCTGAATGTCACTGCTCTGTAGCTTGGGTGGGCTTTTGCTCATGCCTATCCAACCTGCTCTGAGTTTATCCACAACCCTAACGTTTGAAGAAAAGATGCTTAGATGCTGATGTTGCTGATATTGCTGCATTAGCAAGTCTGACTTTGTAAGTTGCATTGAAAACTTGAAAATCAGTGGCTCAGTCTATTCAGTGCTTGTGGCCACGTCAGTCTCGAAGAGGTTGTGGGAGAGTCTTTCACTTCAGTTCACTGTGCTCATGTTGTCCTGCGCCAGAGGTGTCTGACATTAAGGGCTGCTGCTTGAGCTGAATTTCCCTTACATTTCTTTTTGAATACAAATAATAAAACTGTCCCAGGCTTTAGTGGCTTTTTGTGTTGTGAGTGCTGGTTTGAAGTTGCCAGTAGCTCTCCAGCTGATGAATTGCTCTGTAATGCAGGCAGATCTGCCTCTTTTCACATAGGCTTGGAGAAACCCATACATCTGAAGAGCTGCACAGTGACATGTGAACCCGGTAGTCCCAGTTTTCAGCCCATATCACCAAAGCAGCTTTCTTACATTTATAGCAGAGTTTTCCTGTGTGCTGATGGAAAAAATAATTGTGTTCCATAGTCCTATTAAGATTAAAATGCACTTTATGAAGTATTTACCAAGTTATCCTTAAAAAATCTTTTTAAATATAGAGAAAATAATTTACTCCAGCCATATGGCTTGTTTATAGCCTTTGAAATGAACAATGTATGCTTTGCTCTGTCAAAACTGATCTCAGAAGGCTTTTTGTTAAGGAACTTGCCTTTTATAGCTCAGCTGATATCATTAGGGAAATGATGTTTTGACTTTGCTTTGCCATACCACTGATTGTATTGTATGTAGCACATTATAGCTAGATATTTATCATAAAATCAAGCCTTGTTGCACTCAAAAAGCAAATTAGTTTTACCAGGTGCCACCTTATTTATCTCTAGTGGAAGGAGAAGAGATATTAGCCATCCTGTAGTCAGCCTTGGAAGATGTCAAATAATTGGCAACCCTTACTCTAGTAGAGACACTGAACATGCATGCAATAAAATCCATCACAAACAGTGCTCAAATTTTATTTATATTTTGCTAAAGATATTGAAGCAAAACTTTTGAAATAAACTCTGCATGTTCAACACACATTAGAGCAGCATTGCTTTCACTTGCTTGAGGCGTAAGTTTGTTTTCTAGTCAGTCTTCTAATCTGAAGGCAGCATTACAGTGTGTGTCTACGTATCTGTCTTGCAGACTAACAAAGCCTTTGTTTATGGAACAAGATAACTTCTGTGAAAAAATCTAAAGTTTCCATCCCAAAAGCTGCCCCGGGTGGGCAGGTTCTCTCCCAAGAGCAGAGGTTGCATGGGGCTGCACACAGCTGTTTGCAGGCTGGGGCTCTCAGTTCCTCAGCTCTTCTTCACCTCATCATTGACATCTACAGAATTTTTTTTTTTTTTTCTGTGGAGGGAGCCATTTATTTCAGTTGTCTGGGAAGCAGCAAAAGTGTATAATAGAAGGTATTGTTGCAGCAGGTGAGCAATATTATCTTGCCCTCAGGGTTACCCACCAAATGGGGAAAGATGTCACCTCGTCGGCCTCTGTGTGAGCTTTTCTCAGCATATGGTGCTGCTTTTTGTTTCTCTTGGCAGAGTAGGACCTCACAGTTAACTTCAACAAGTTTATGATTACTTCTCCAGTAAAGCAGAGAGTCACAGAAGTGCCATTTCATAGGCAGGGAGAACTTGAGAGTATTAAAAGTGTAGTCAACATTGCTAAATTTTATCATCTGCAGTTCCACTACCAAACAGATAAGTTGAGATGCCTGAAGAGTTCCACAGTCAAGCAAGTTGTGTGTGAGCCAGTGAGCCATTGATTTAACATCTTCTACAAAATTTCAGGGCATTCCATGTACTATTTGACTGATAATGAAAGTGCCAGCTTCCAGAAATCAAAATATCTACATTGGCAACTGGTGTCTTAGCGCGGGGACAAAGCATGTTGTGCTAACAAGGGCTAACAAGCAAGCTGACAAAATATTTTGCTGTTGCAGCTGCTAGCATTAGAAAAGAGCCTGTTACGAACAGTGGGTTTCCAGCAGCACACAGAATATCTGTTTTGTTTATGGCTGCACAAAAAAGACTTTAGAAAATTGGAGATGTCTGGAGGAAGGAAGTGGGGTCCTGAATGCTCTGCCCAAATGAGACTTCAGAAGCACCCAGTTGATTTTCCTTATCGAAGAGAAACTGGAGAAGTGATTTGATCAGTGCCTGCACAGGTCAAGATTTCAAATACTCAGAGGGCTCTTTAATCTAACAGGGGGTATAATAAGATTCAGTGTCTCGAAACTGAAGCTTAGCAAGATCAAATTGCAATTAAGAAATGTTTAGACAGCAAGGGTAATTAACCATTGGCACAACTTTTGGGGTCAGGATGAATCACCATCTCTTGAAATCTTCACATTTGGATTATTTCTTGATGCTAATCTGTCTTTGGCATGAAGTCAAATGTGTTGGTTTGTGTTCCTATCAACAGAATGAGAATGTTTGACTAGAAATAAGAAGGACATATGAAATATCATCCTAAAAACCTGATTTGCAGTCTATATGTTTACTAGTTTCTGAATATTACAGTAAATTATTCCATGCCTCTTTCAAAAGAGATTTTTAATTTATTTGGTCATCTCATTGAAAACTCAGGAAAGGCACAAGTGTTCCAGAAACACCAGCAAAACTTCAGTGTCATCCCCTCTCAAAGAAAACAGGGTGGGTAGTTGTGAGATGGGGACAGACAGGAGGGACTATGGTAAATTTCTATGACTTGCCATCAGTACAGCCATTAGAACACGTGGCTGAGGGGCTGGTGGTTCTGTTGCCTTTTCCAGTAACAGCAGCACCAGAAGGCACAGGTCCCTTCTATTGCTGCAACCAGCAGAAAGGCAATGCAAAAAAGCAAAAGAAAGGTAAATGCTTGAAGGCTGCTTGGTTGACTGTCCCAATGAGAGCTGGATTTGCTGCTGCCTCCCCTCCTACCCTCCATTCCAGATTGCTCACTGCACATCTTGAGGGAAGGGACAGTGCCTTGCCTGAGCGCCTCATTAACCATGCTTACGTTCCGACTCATGGTGTGATTACACTGGGAAGGAACAATATGTTTCTGGAATTGGGCTTTATTAGCAGAACATATGAACGCTAAACTCGCCTCATACATAGTAATTTATCTCTGTAATAATCTCCACTGATCTCTTCCTAGTCCCAGATAAGATGCTTGTGGAAAGAACTGGCAGCCGTCCCGTGCTGGTGCAGGTCTCAGGCTGTGGTTTTCTGTTGGGCAGTGCACAGAGGCCACCTGGGATGTATTTGTCACAGAAATCCAGCAGAGGTGGTGTTCCCTGTGTCAGCTCTGTGTGCTCTAGGGTTGAGGGCAGGGTGACTCAGATTGTGTGACACGGGGGTTTTTTAGGAGAAGCAGTTGGCTAGGTGAGAGGTGATGCTTCAAGAGTTGCTGCTGCAATCAATAGATTTTGTATTTCTGTCTGACCAAAGAGACCAGAAGCACAGCTGTCACCATAAACTTAATGGCTGGAGTCAGACCCTTCACTGCTGAGCTTCATCTACTTCCAGTCTAGTTGGAAGGAAGTTATTCTGGAGAGGGGACTGGTTTCACCCCTTGCTTGGATACTGCTTGGAGGAGAGACCCAAAAACACCAGAATTAATAAATGTGAAAAAGAGCCCTGCTTTACAAATAGTCTGTGCTCTGTATGTGCCCTGACTCTATTAGCACTAGTATCGCACGTAAGTTTTAAGTCTCCCTCTCGAATAGGGATGTAGTAATGTCTTTTAATTGGGGCTGATAAAAATGTGGCATTACTTGTAGGTTCTTCAGAGAAGCCAATTGTGAAATTGGGTTTGTATTAAACCTAATGATGGAAAATTAAGCATAGTACGTCTGTCGGAAATGGTCCACGATAAAAATCTTCTCCTCTCCATTACAGGAGGTTAATAGGGAACAGGGGAGGAAAGATGCTCTGGGAAAGCGAATCCAACTAGGGGAATTAATAAGCCTTGAAATTCCCTCTGTTCAGAGTTCTCACACTATCATTAGTCGGAGCATTAGGGATGATTATACAAATGCTTTGGATGTTACTCTTCCTTAAATCCCAAATTTATTCACATTTTGTATGTGAAGGTTGCTTCACTAGAACCACAGGTCTGTAAATCTTGTGCTGTCCGAGGAATGTGACTGTTCATGAGGATCTTGGCTCGAGAAATCTTTAATCCAGTAGCCTCATCTTCAGAGTGAATGATCGATGTGATGGCCATTTATTTCAGAAGCAGCAGGACATGTTCAGCATTTCTCATAATTCAACCATCAGACTCATCTATCTATATCTAATGTTCTATATCAGCTGTATCCATGTATTGTAGGGATAATTTGCCCCGTGGCAGTGCATTCACTGCAGTCATTCCTTTCTCCTTCTCGTAGTCCTCCAAAACAGAGCATATGCCTGTCTTGATAACTTACCTCCAATATAAGACAGAACCAACTAGAGCATAATTTGTCAAGTTTTGTCATGTCATTGTTTTGTCGTTTGCTGAAAAGGCAATCTAATGCCCTAATCTGTCTGCTCCTGCCCAATTTTGCAATGAGGAACAGAGCAGAGATCCTGACTGCTTATGAACAAAATTTCACGGTGGTTTCTCAAGGATAGCAATGTTTACAGTAACTCTGGCCATATTTCTATCTCTCAGAAATCACCCTGAAATTGCAACTTGATTCATTTATTTTTTATCCCTCCTAAAACATGACTGTACTACTGCTGACAAGGAGTAGTGTTGGGGCTCTTTTTCAATCTGTGTTCTGTATGAAATGAGCCTGGTGTATGCAATCTTCTACTTTTTCCTTTCTTTTTCTTTGAGCAGTGAAAGAAGGGTATATTTTCAGTTTGCTAACAGGCCCTTTTGGGGGAAGACCAGAAAGAATGCATGCAGGATGTTAAGGCCTGTATGTACCAAGGAACCCAAACCCATCAGGAAGAACTGCTGTACTGTGTCGGTGCTGGAGCTCTGGCATGGAGACCAGAGAGGTGTTGGATGTCCTCCTTGGAGATCCTTAAAAGTCAATGAGATGTGGTGCTGGGCAGCAGTGCTGGGTGGCCCTGGTGGGAGCAGAGTGAGACCAAAGAGACCCTGAGTGCCTGGGAGTTTGTGATCTTAGATATCTGTAACCATAGGAAAAAGAACAGTTGTTTCACTTGGTAAACTCTCAATCAGGTCAATTCTGGTAGATAAACCCCTAAACTGTTCATTTATTCTGAGTTTCTCCTGTTAAGCATAAATATTTTGGTAGTCTCTGGTACAGTTGTTTAAGCTTCTGTCAGCTCAACAGGAAGTTTTGCTGTGTCTTTGGAGTTTTGCTGGAGGATATAAGAGATTACAATTCCAACTCTGTAATGATAGATACTTTTAAAATATTTGTTTCAAAAAGGTCTATATCTATTAAGTTTACATATGTAAATGTTAAGATTGTGCATGCAAGGTGACTGTTTCTATACTTCTTTCTACCTAACATTACAATATTGCAATTGACATACATTTTAGGCTTGAATTTATAGACCATTTTAAATTGCCTCTAACATCTTGCGTGGCTTATCTGAAATGCTGGTGGTTTGTTTGCTGTTAACTTGGGCCCCTTTCACTCATCTCATGCTGTACGCCCCAAATCTCCCTCATCTGTTTGTATCTTTTGCAGGTTTGTGAAGGAAGGTATGTAATCCCAGTGGGATTGTTATGCAGAGCTCACACTAAGTTTGCTGTTTCACTGTATGTGCTATATCCTCGTGCCTGATTGGCTGTTCATTCCATTCCCTCTTCTGGGTTTGTCTCTTCGACGCAAAAAATAATTGAATGGGAGTTGGTCTTTCTGGGCAGCAGTCAGCACTGTGTGCTTCTTTGATTTCTTTACTTTCTTTTGCCTGCACCAGCCAGTGGGATGGTGGAGAGACAAGTGAAGCAGGAATGAGAATGGCAGTCACAGATAGGTGAAAGCTTGTTTTGCCTCCCTGTCTTTAAAACAGACAGTAGCCATGGAGAGATGACTCAGCCAACCCTGACTATCCAGACCCACCCGTATCGGAGCTGCGAACCAGTGGAAATGTCCTACCCACGGGGGCAGTTCCAGCCAGCCATCCGAGTGGCCGATCTGCTGCAGCACATCACCCAGATGAAACGTGGACAGGGCTATGGATTTAAAGAGGAATATGAGGTGAGAGGAACCTTCGCTCGTGTGAATCAGTGGAGAAGTGACAGTCTCGAAGAAGTGATGCTTGCAGTGGAAGGTTAACTGTATGCAGAGCTCCTTTTCCTTAATTCACTTACTCTCTTAGTCATTGCCTTCTTCCAACTTATTTCTGTTGATAAGACTAGGATTTACAACACTGGCAATCTTTGGTGGCTCCCTGGTCAAGAGAAAATGTGTTTACTACATTGTGAGAGGATGGCATTGTGTCCATGTGCTCTCTCTCCCCTGGAGAGATAATAACTGTTGCTGAACTCAGTGAAAGATTTGGAGTCCTGTAGTCCCTTACTTGTTAATGTGCTTTATATGACAATAGTGCAAGCTAGGCTTGAAGAAAAAGAAGGCTTTTTGTACTTTGGAACCTAAATGCTCTGTAACAATTGATCAAATTAAATCACAGCTTAATGACCTCTGTGTGCCAAATTGTAAAGGCAAAGGCAGCAACCTCGTGTAGTTGAAATGGAGTTTTTCTGTATACTCATACCTCTGTCTCAGAGGACGTGTAAATGATCTGCTCTTGCGACTCTACATGAAAAGAGAGGTGAGCAGTAAACTGCCAGTGTGAAAGCAGCCCCTCCACTCCCCTGCCACAGAGCTGGAGTGACCAGAAATGTAATGCAAATGACAAGAACAATGGCACTGGGGAGGGGTTGGAAGACAATTAAACGTTCAGAGGAGAAGGAGAAAATGGGGAAATAACATCAAACATATGTGAGACTTTGCTGTAGCAAGCGATAATTATAATGAATGTAGTAAGCTGGTGGGAAGGCAATAAGTAATTAATATGCATAGTGTCATTAAAACTACTTAAAAATAACTTAACAGCTGTGAAAAGTAAGTTACTTAATGAAAGCAGCTCACTTTTCCACCCTGCAAGTGAGAGTCCATAGGGTTTGTATCACTGATGCTGGGGTTTGCCATAATTGCAAATAATCTTTTCCTGGTTGTCACCGGGGAGTACTTGTTTTAGTCAGATGGCATCAAAGATTGTCATGACAAATATTTCTGGTAACTGTATGTTAACCAGGGCAATGCATTCATGCGCCAAAATCAAGGACACTAATTAAAATATGAATTCAAAGAGCTTGGTTAAATATTGAAAAAGGGTAGTAATTCTCTTGGGAGATTCACTTAGCCTCTCTTGGCCTCCACTTCTATGAACAGTACCCGAAACTACATTCAGCTCAATTACAGATGCCCTCAGTTCTAGTTCTTGATGTTCGGAAGAAAACAGGTGCTGGCATATATGTGATTTTCTGGCACTGGCATTGGTAGTTATCAAAATAACACATTAGCATGAAAAATGTCAATGCAACTTTCAGCTCCACAAGTTCTGCCTTTCCCAGAAAGTGCTATCTAAATACGTATGTAATGACGATGACATTATATACATTTGCATAATTCCTTCCTTCACAAGAAGTGGCCTGGAGAATGCCACAAACTCTTAAATCGCTTGCACTGTCCTACCCTGCAATCAGAGGCAGTTGCCCTAAGTGGCAATCCTTTAAGTTGGTGGAATTTGGTTTTCAGAGCACAGCTCCAAGCAGCTTTCGGCCGCCAACAGCATCACTGCAAATTGCAGGGAGGATGCTGAAGGGTTGTAACTTCTAGGAGGAAGAGTAGTTTTAAGTTGGCTGGAAAACCTGCCTTGCAGAACATTGTGCAAAATGATTGGTAAGCTCTGATAAGGAAAAGGCCTGAAAATTTATTTTTGTCTCTTAAAATCTGTTTTTACACACTTATATCAATGTCATCTGTGTGTATATTTTTTCTTCTAAGAAGCTGCTTTTCTACCTACTTTGCAGATTGATAGCATACATGGGAGCCTGTTTAGTGACATGTTCCCAAATAATTGCACTCTCATGAACAATCACTTTGAACAGAACCTATCAGTCATACGTGACAGTTTTTTATCTACGTGCATTCCCACTTCCGCTGAGGAATCAGGGAGTTGCATTCAGGCTTTTCTTTAATACTCCTTCACCTGCAGAACACTAGGGCACGTGTTTCACCGATGACATCTTGAAAGGAAGGTTTTCAAGTGCTTGCATCTTACATCTAACTCCACACTGAGAAAACGACCAGGATGTGATGGTGCAAGTGGTGGCAGTGCTCGTATGAATTGGCTGGTAACTGAGTGTGAATGTAGGAACCTGTCAGCACTTGCAGTGTGTGCATTATTTCCTTCTGCCAGCTGCACCTCAGGCCGAAGTGTCTGCTCCTTGTGGTTGGCAGGAAAACGTGTGAGCCACGAGAGAACAATCCGTCACTGACACTGGATGTAGATGGCACTGTGTGGGATTAGGCATGGCCATAAACATTTAAACGGGACTTGTTTAACTGCCACCTGTTCCTTTCTCAGAGCATATCAGCCCTGATTTGTTGTGAGCTGCTACGCTGGTCCCTAACTGTACTGCAAGCTCCAATTACTGTCTGCAGAGATAATAAGCTTAAGTATCCAAATTTCAAATATGATTTAGGGTGTCACTGAAGCATGTTTCTCTCATGCATTACCAAGACTGCTTGCTTACTTTGGATTCTGTGGCTCCTTCCTGAAGAGTCTTAATGACTTAAAAATCACCTCAGGATTTTAACCCATTCATTTCTGGCTGCCCACAATGCCTCTATCTGCTCTAAAGACCAGACCCTGCCATTCAGCCTGTGACACAGCACTACGAAATGTCAGCAGGATTGCCATTAGATATGCTGTCCTTGGATTACACTGGTTTAAGGCTTTCTTTGGCCTTGCTGTGTACCGAGTGGGGAGCTGAACTGGCTGAATTATTTCTTTTACATTGCTGGTTTGTTGTTGTGGGGTTGTTTTTTTTTCTCCTACTTGTTTGTTTTCAGCCAAAGCAGTTTTAACCCTGGGTCACAGCAGAGTTGTGGGAAGAGCTTTGCCATCTCTGCTGAGACAGCAGCTGCAGGGATTCAGGACTACATGGCAGGGTGTGGGATGGGCAGTGAGGCTTTTAACTGATAGCATTGCACTCAGCAACAAAGCTGCAGCTTTGGGATACATCAGTGCAAAGGAATGATTCAGGTTTTCATGCTTCTAAATGAAAACCAAACTGCAAACTAATTAAATGCCTCCATTGGAAATTTATATTGACTTGCTCTAAGCCTCGACTGAATGTGAGCTCTTTGGTTATGTATCCAAGTTTTGGTGCTTGGAAATTTTGATTGAGATGAAGCTGACTTTTAGAGATCTGGCCCTGTAATTTCGGATAAAAATTAGATCAATTTAGTTTAAAAAGCATCATTATGAATTCCACTGCAGAGAAGGTATGTCAGTATGCATTTCACTACTCTTCTCTAAAAGAAGACAAGAAAGGAAGGCTTAAAAATTAAGCCCAGACTTTTGAACACCAGCATTTTATAGTTAATAAATCGAACAAAGAATCCAGAGTGTTTCCTATAGAAATACCACATGTGGGTCAAATTCTGATACCCAGGAGATCCATCTTGGTCTGCCCTCTTTCATACTATGGAGAGAAACAGAAGTGTTCCTTTTGAGTGCATATTTATGAAATATGCTGTGCAATTCACTGCACAAAACCCATTAGGAATGAAGCTCTTTTTCTGGATACAAGTGGATCATAATTGGTGTTTTTGCTTTTGTGTCTCTAACGCAGTTTTGATGCTCAGTGCTACATTGTCAGTGATCTCATGGCAGAAGTGTCAGTGCTGCACCACCTGTGTATGTGCAATTAATCTAGTTTGTACAGCTGCTTGTATAGAAGAAGAGGTATGGTTTGTGTTCCTCACCAAGCAGAACTGCCCTTTGTCTCTCCAGAGATGGAAAGTTTCATGAAAAGTGGCGATTTCTTTGATTTTGAGTGAGGTGAATTCAATCTTTGGAGTTCTTCAGTCTGTGGAGGCTGTGTGAGGCAAATTGGGAAACAGGAATTTAAATGGAGAATTTCAACAAATCACCTGAAAGGATGGCATTACTTTGGAAAGAGTTTTTTCAGAACTGAAAGTGTATTCTCTGACCAAGACAGCCTCCTCCTGGTGAAGTGATGAGGAAGAATTTATTTTCCTTTTCACGTGGCTGTGATTAGGTGTCTAATGACTGTTGCCATTCTCTGGTCTGTCTGCTGTAATTTGATATTAGTGGAAAAATAAGGCACCTTTTCCTTAATCTTTAAAGACAAAAATGAACTGTCCTTATCTCTTCCCTTTTACTCAGGGATTTTTTTGTTGTTTAATGTGGGTTTGGTATTCTTGTGGGTTTGTTTTTTTTTTGTACTCAGGAGATGAGCTTCTGTTTGGAAACAGCTGTCTGTAAAGGAAATATATGTGTGATCAAAGCCCTTGCCAATTACAGAGTTTATTATTCTTTCTCCTGGGCTTTTGAATAGGAACTTGCTGTCCCTGTCTTTTGTCAGCAGGCTCATGGTAGTGCTGCAGTGCCTGACATTTTCTGTCCTGGAACCCCTCTGGGGGAAATTCACAACGATTTGGTCTGCAAGAGGGTTGCTCTTATTAAATTTATTTGTAACGCCAGTGTTGTAGATCCTAATAATTGTGTCTCTCTGCTATTGCATTCAGGAACTGTAATAGACCTGGATGGCTTGTGAAGATGAATGTAAATTCATTTTCCAGTTGTCAAACTACCTGCTGCTAGCCAAGGCAGATATGATTCCCCCTATGAGTGCAGTGTAAAAACTCCATAATTCCCTTGGGATTATGAATAGTACAGTTTGTAATGTTGTGGTTGATTTTAGTAATACAGGCTCACGTCAGGGCATAGATCTTGGAGAAGGCCAAGAAAACACAGCCAAAGCTGTTTTTTTCCTCAGCTTTGCATGCAGCACAAGTCAAGGCTGGGCTGGCTCCAGCTGCACCAGCTGTGTGCAGGTTGTGGCTTTCTGTCCCTGGAGAGACCATCCCTCATGGACAGCTCAGCCCATCTCCCAAGGAAAGCAGGGCCAACCTCCAGCCAGACACCATCACAGCTGCCACTTTCCTGGCTCTGCCTTTATGACTTTAAAATCCTCACTGGACATGTGTTGAAGGGAAAGTAGCTCATTTGCTTATGTTCAAGCTATATGGTAAAGCAGCGCTGTCTGCTGCTTGTTTCATGGAATCACAGAATGGCCTGGGCTGAGAAGGAGCACAGCACTCCTCCAGTTCCCCTGCTATGTGCAGGGTCACCAACCAGCAGACCAAGCTGCCCAGAGCCACATCCAGCCTGGCCTTTGGGGATGGGGCATCCACAGCCTCCTTGGGCAACCTGTTTCAGTGGGTCAGCACCCTCTGTGTTTCCTTGCCTCCATCAAAAGGGTAAATCTGGGGAAGTTGACCATTTATTTTCACAGTTTGTATGTTTTACCTTTTTCTGCCTGTTTTCTATAGACATGATCTAAAACTCTGAGCTTTTTGTTTTTCCTTAGAGAAAATCAGCGAGTAATTTGTATTACATCTCCCCATCACCAATATAGAAATAGCTGAAACCACTGTATGTGCTCAGCTCAAAGCCTGAGCCCTTTGTTTCCACCATCTGGGCTTCCTTAGCTGTGCACAGAATCGCAGACTGTCCTCTCTTGGATCCCTGCTCACAGGGATCATCGAGTCCTACCCCTGGCTCCACACAGCACCACCCAAACCCTATGGCTGAGAGCGCTGCCCTCCACTCCCTGTGAGGAGCTGCAGCCGCCATGAGGCCTCCCCTCAGCCTGCTCTGCTCCGTGCCCAGCAAACACAGCGACCTCAGCCACCCCTCTCACACACTGAAGCCCTCACACCCTTCCCCTCTATAGCCTTTCTCTGGATGCTTTCTTATAGTTTAATGTATATATGTGAAATCTCCCTGTTCTGCAGGAGAAATGAGCTTAACCTGTGACTGTGCAGCCAGAAACCAAGTCTCCTCATCCCTTTAGATCTGCGTTAGCAGCTAGCAGAAGCCAAGGGATGCAAATGGTCTGCACCAAGCTCTGTTTTCGTTGTTAGTAAATGTGCCCTTTCCAGAACAGTCATTTGCATGGTTGACTACTGAATTATGCAGTATTGTTATTTTTGCCCTCTTTTGCCATCGTACCCCACCTGCAGGCACTGTCCAGATTTTTATAAACCCTCCACTGTTGTTTTTTTTTGCAGGCATTACCTGAGGGGCAGACGGCATCCTGGGATACAGCCAAGGAAGATGAAAATCGCAATAAGAATAGATATGGAAACATAATCTCCTGTAGGTGTTAAGTCATATTACACTGAGCTTTCTGTATGATTTCATAAGCGTCTTATGGAAACGGGGTGTGCTTGAAAACCTCACTTCAAACTGGTTTATAGTGCTGAGCATGCAGTAATTCAGTCTGATTGTTACATGCTATACTTAATTCTAGGATTTTTTTTTTGTTTATATTTTTTTCTTAGGTCTTTTTAATGCTTTTTCAAATTTATCTTTTATTCAAATCAAGGACAAAGTCATCTTTTCAGATTTTCACAGTAGGTGATTTTGCCAATTTTCCATTCTTTTTTTTTTTTGTTATGTAACTCTGATCTTTCAGTTCCACAAGCAGAATTGGAAAAGGAGATGTGGAACAGTGGTCAGTAACCAGTGCAGCAGCTGCTCCTTGTCTACACAGAGCTGTTTTGATGACTAGGACAAGCTTAGCTTCTACTGATCATAGAAAGGAAGTTGAGAATACACTAGAAGTTCAGAGTTGTGTTTAATTCTATAATAAATTATAGTTGGTGTTATAGAGATATTAATATATTGCAAACTGCAGGGCAGGGGAGGACTCCATAAAACCACTTAGATCTATTTTGTTTCCATCTAAGGACTAGTTCTACTTCTGTCATTTTTTGTCAGATCTTAGTGATTTTTTTTTTCTAAAGATCTCCAAGGCAAAGCTTTCCGAAAGCTCTCCAGGCAGCTTTCCCCAGTGTTTCATTATTCCTTACAATGTCTGGGAGGAATGAGGAGAGGTACAATAAATCATCCTTTTTAAGGGTTGCTAAGCAGTATCAAATTGGAGAAGCCAGGCCTGAGACGATCAGAACAAGCAGAATGTAAATAGATGTGCCATACATTTATGAGACTGAATAAATGTATGGAACACTGTAAAAGCAAAATTAGGTTGCATGGAATTATACGTTTAGTGGTGTATTTCTTCTCAGGTTAAATATATACTTTCAGTAGGACAAGCAGACTTTAACAAAGTGGAAAAAATCTTGGTCACAATGAGGTGTCTCTCACACAAGTTAACTTTCCTCTCTTTCTTTTAAAGACTTAAAAGAAGTGATTCATGTAACAGTTTTGGGGGAATGGGGCAGAACGGCTAAGGAACCTCACTGTAAAGGTGAAGAAGTCTGGAAATTAAAATGAAAGGTTTCTGAGCTGTAATCTAATCCTGCATTTGCTCCTGTCTTTCTGCATTGATTGTGAGCTGGACACCAGATCCATCAGTCTTTGTTTCTCCATGTGGAAAATAGAAGTGGTACTATTGGAGCATTGTAGTTAGCGTGGGAATCATCTCCCTTATCTTCAGCTGTGTAAAAGCTCTGCCTTGCTGTATGCTTCCTGTGTTGCTAGTGGCAAAGAAAGATACTTTCAGACAGAGGTTCAATTTGCCTGTCTAGACAATTAGCTTAGATCAAATTAGTCTGAGAAATGAATCATCCAGCTATAGCAACTGAACATTGGTTTTTGAAGGTGGAAGTGCCATAGTGTGCTATAAAGAAGCTAACATGAAAGAGAATGTTTCTTTGGAGGGTTTTGAAGAAGCAGTTGACCTAATGTCAAGGTGGAGGTGAAAGAAGGCAAGACTGTGCGAGAGCCAATGTTTAAAACTCAAATTTGAGGCATGTGGGAGAAAAAATCAGAAGGATGTTGAGGCAATGGAAAGGCATAGTTAAGAAGGACAAAAATAGTGAAAGAGCAGAGGAATGCTGACGATTTGAAGGTAAACAACAAGACCAGATGGATTTTCTTCACTTCAAGTATGTATGACATAAAGACGTTCAGAAAGAGAGAATAATTTGTAGGTTTAGTAACATGCCAAGAAGAGTGATGAAGTAAAATGGATTGAAATGTTTGCTTCACTTTGAAGATGCCTGGAAGAAGGAAGAGAGGTTGCCTAAGGAAGGGGCATAGCATTTGTTAGACATTTTGTCAAAATGGTGGGAAGTTATCAGTGATGTCTTTGGCTAAGTCTTGAACTAGAACCTACCAACGGGTGATGTTGGGCAGCTGTCCTGAGTAAAGGGGCGGGATCCAGAAAGGAGAATTGACAGCAGAGCTGAAAATAGCAGGAGAGCAGTTCCCTCCAGGCAGATCATGAAAATGAATTGTGCTCTGTGGGTACAAACTGTGCAAAATCCTGAGCAGAGGAGAGGAGGCGGAAAACGATTACATCCTTAGCTGATTTGTTGTGCTAAACCTACAATTGCTGGTAAAACCCGGAGTATGCACTGATTGCTCTTACCAGTGCATTTGGTAGAACGCTACAGATGGCAATTAACGTTATTTGTTTAATCACAGTTGCAATTTCATCAATCCTGGAACAACGTATTGCATGCTTTTTGGGGAGAGAATTGAAAAGCCAGGTTGTAACTAACTTTTCTAACTGTTTAGGAGACTTTTGTTAAAATGTGAGGTTACCAGCTCTTGCAACAACTAGTGTAGCTCAGGGATTCACAGCAGATTGGATCTTGTCTTTGCTGCCTCCCATGTAATAGGACACTCGCAGGACCTTTTTACTCCGCTCGTCTCTTTCCCAGTACTTTATTAACACTGTGACTCTATGTGAAAACCTAAATTTTACTGCCAGCCCCAGTATCTGATGCTGCTCTTACATCTGCAAACCAGTCTTTGCGGACCAGCTTAAGAGGCAGAGGTAGGTAGTGGATGCATTTATGTATGGAAATGATTTATGTTTGATTAAGTGTCTAGATATGGATGCTTTGGAAGTGCATCAGCGAGCGATGGTTAAGGGAGAGACGTAGCACTTGTGAGTTGAGCTGATCTCATTCCATAGAAGAGAAAACATCGCAAAGCTGTGTGAGACCTTTGCTTCTATTCTATTTCTCCACATATTATCCAGATTAGGAGTAAAACTCTCAGGCAAGAGCTCAGAAAACAGAGACAAAAAATTGTGCTTTGCTTTAATTTACAGGAGAGCGCCATCTTTTTTTCTTCTTTTTTTTCCCATTTTTGAACATGTTTTCACAGGAGGTGCTTAGCACTTTCAGGGATGCTTTGACCAGCACTGCTTTGGATGATTCTCCCAGCTGCAATGGAGCTTTACCATCTTCTCACTTAGGCCATTGTATTAACATCCTGTGGTGGACCGTTAAAACCTATTGAGTTGGTGACAAAAGGCCGAATTGAGACTTGCTTTATTTTCTTTCTGCTCTGACTGCTATATGCTTTTGGACTCTAAGACAGCAAATTTATCAGAATTGTGTGGTGGAACTGACAGATATCAGAGAAAGATTAAGAGAGCTCCCAGCTGGAACACCTCACTGTTGTCCTGTTCTAAAGGTGTCTAGGGCTGCTGATTAGAGGACAGTGTCCCTTGAGAGGTCAAATCATCCTTTCTTACCAGAACTATGTTGATTTATTTCCAAAGATGTCTGTGTTTCTCCATCAACTCAGTGGAGTGCCTTGACAGCCAATTTAGACTAGCTGCATAATATTTAGATGGCGAAAGTTGCATGAGATTAATCCAGCACTGGTGTCAAAATGATATGTGGAAAAATTGCAATGATATTTCAAATGATCACTAATGGAGATTTTGACAGAGGTATGAAATGATAACATTTTTGTGCTAAAATAGGAGCACAATGCTTTTCAGTGAAACTCCTGTCACTTTTGAAATCTGTTTGAAGACCAATTTTCAGTCAAAGTATTCTTCACACAGACTTCTGCTAACTTGCCTACCAACTGTAGGCAACAGGGAGAAGTAAGCTCATGTATACATTTGTAAAACTACGTCCATTTTTTTGCAGCCCTGAGATTTCTGTAAAGCATTTGTGGCACATGGAGATTTTGTGATGTCTCTTGAATGTGTAGAAGGGTTGAGTGATGTGTTCATTTCAGTGTGCCAAATCTTTGTCTCTTTGGCTAGTGTAGTACTGTGGAAAGAGTGCAGAATGAGGGATTTCTTCTGATCACTGGAAGCCATTTAAAGTCTGTAAGTTAAAAAAAATAAGCACAAGACCCATGAGCTTCTATTCAGAGTGGTCTCCTAAACTTATGAACTTTTGATTAAAGATGCCATTAAGACATCATTATTACACATATACAGTTTTTCTGCTGCACAGTTTGCACTATTAAGATAAACAAATCACCCACAAGTATTAATCACTTTCCTGTTATTTCCAGTAAGAATAACTGTATTTGGTTCAAGTGAATGAAAGAAACTCTTTTTATTAGCTGCAGAGCACCTGTCATTTAACCATAGCTGTCCTAAAGGCATAGATCATTCTGCAGTCCTTCTCAGATCTCTCTCAGCCAGTTCCCTTAAGGAGGCATCCATTTTTTTTTCTAAGTTTCTAAGTAAGGATTGGCTCAGAGAGCTGAAATGTGATTTGTGAGGTTGGTTCAGTTACATGAGGAGAGGCAGGTTCTTCCTTAGTGGCTGTGCAAGGCACTTCAGCCACACACTGTGTGAAGACAGCATCTAAAACCCACTTTAAAAAAACCAACTTGAGATTCTTTTCTGTCATCAGGGTCATTTTTGGTCTCACAACTTTTCATTTATATTACTGCAATAAGTCAGGACTTTCATAACATCGCTATCCTGTGGCATCACAAGGATGATTAGTAAGTGTTTCCCTCAGAACCATTAGCTCTAGGGATTGCTTTGCTTTGCTTTTGTTCCTGCATGGTTCTTAACTAGCTTAGTTTCCTGCCTTGAATTGCAAGTGTGAAATTGGCTACGGGAGACTTGGTGTATTTCATCGAGATGTCCACCTTAATCAGCCTCTTGTCTGTCTGTGTGAATTGCTCTAAGTATAAATTCTTTTGTTGTCTGTCTAACCACATGATTTACTGCAACTCCTGGTGTGCTTGCCTTGAGCACCGGTAATTGTGGAGAGCTGGGAGCAACATCAGCACTTTGGGAAAGATATCTCCTGCATTTACAGCTTGTATTTATTAATGCAAGTATAGCAGAGGTTTTGATGGATTCACCAACATAACCATTTCTGAATGCAAATATGGCATTTGAGAAATACAACAGTGTGGCTGTCATTTGTGGTGTGAAATCCTTACCCAAATAATGAGCGAAGTATAGAATCGTTTTACATGAGCAAATGAATATTTAATGTACATCGAAATCTCAGTTTTTGGAGCTGTAGGTACATCTGCCTCTGATTCTGTGTTTAATTAAGTCATGGCTAAAACCTTTTTGACTGAGTTACTGCAGAACTCCGCCTCACGTTTTTGTTTTATTGTGATGATTCTTTTTAATTGAATGTAAATCATGCTTAGGCTCATATTTTGAGAAGTGTTTCTAACCATTAATGCTTTACTGCCTGGGAGCTACTGTCTACATAGCTAGCGGGGAGGAAATAAACTTAATGGAATCTGTATTCTGCTTCATTATAAAAGCCCTTTAGAAATGAGCCCAGCATGTCTGGCTGTGACCTCCGTAACCCGGCTGCCTTTCCCAAGCAACTGGTCCTTAGATAACAGCTCTGCAATTAATTACATGCCAGCACTGGGACTGCCAGCCCCGATCAGATCAACGCCCAGCTCGCTCAGTATCTGCTTTGACAGAGCTCAGCACCAGCTGTTCCAGAGGAAGATCAAAATATTCTCTTGGTGGAAAATTATGACATAATTTGCCCGCTGGGGTAGTTCCTTTCTGTATCTGAGCTCTAGAGCATAATGGGAGAGGAAAAGATTGATATCTGTCATTGCCTTATCTAAAGTAACTTTGAACGTCCTCAAAAACACGAGCACTTTGTTTTTGCTGCAGTGAACCTGCCATTTTGCTGCAGTGGGTTCTGTGGGTTGTGTAAAAGAGCTCTGATTTCCTTCAGTATTTTCCTTCTGTTCTTTGGATTACATCACTTGTTATTTGTAGGATTTCTCCTTTAGTCTTCCATACCTCTGTTGTGGCCTGTTTATGTTTATCCTGATTGTGTGTTAGCTCTTGTCTCAGTTTCCATGGGTCTGAGAAATCCAGGGGGGCTGTCACTTCCCAGGATGGAGATGGCTTTTGGAATGGAGATACCTCCTGAAAGACCCCCAGACCAAGCAGTGTCTTTGGTCTTTGCAAAAGCTCTGTAACAAATTATAGTGATGGCAGTGAACTTAATGAGCACTGAGTATGAACAAACATTAACCTAAAGATCTTATGTACAAAAAAAAGGGTGTATAGGAACTAGAACAGCTCTGATATTCTTTCAGTATTTTTTTTTTTTATTATTATTATCATAAGTATTCAATTACTCACTTGCAGGAACTGGCAGATAAAATAAAGCACTGACAACGTCCTCTTTATCGTTACTGTCACTTTTCTCTTTCCTTCTTTCAGATGATCATTCAAGAGTGAGATTGCAGCTGCTGGATGGGGACCCTCACTCTGACTACATCAACGCCAATTACATAGACGTAAGGCTCATGGACGTTCCCAATGTGACAAACAGTGCTGCTGACAAGTCTGCTCACCACTTTGTGGTGCATGTTACGTAGGGACAGACTGCTGGTCTGATGTGAATGACAGATGAATGTTATACAGACATCATGTTGTGACAGGGAGAAGGTTCTCGGTCTCCAGTCTCTTCTTTCTGACCAGTCTAGACAAATGGAGATTTCCTATGTTTGACAGCTCCACAAACACAAGTGGAATGTGGGGTAAATGCGTGATGTATGTGGAAATCAATATCAGCCCCTCACAGTAACATTAGCAGATATCTGATTCTTACTGACTGCATACAGAGTCACAGTGCAGAAGGTGTGAGTGGCTTGACATTTTTTTTAAGCATTGTAAAATAACTTTTAAAAAGCTGCCTTCCTTGCACAAAGAGAATGCTAAGTGACGTGCACTTCTTGTATGCGTCTCCTCATGCTTAGGAGTATGGCACTGTTCATAAGAGTATCTCTAATGGAAGAAACTGAAACATGCACTTACTAAAGTCACATACCACTGGCATTTAGTGTTATCATGCAGGGAAAAACTCACACCTTTGTTGTTTTTCAAGCACAAAGATTCAGCTTTTTCCAGTTTCCAGAGCTACCTGTGGGTTAGGCATGACACTTCTGTTTCTTGGAATGAGTAGTGGAAACTGTTCCATTCCTGTTTTCTCTTTGCTATCGTGAAATCCTGACACTGTGAGGTTTTTAATTAAATTACTTGACCAGAGTGAGATACCATCACTTAAAATCTAACAGGGCAACCTTGTTGCTTATCTTCAGGCACTCAATAACCAGCGTTGGTGCAGAGCAGTTCTTGCTGCCAGGAAGGTGAAAATGCATGTTGCTGTGCTTTGTTTAACTGTGACCTCCAGCCATCACATATTTGTCTTTTTTTCCAGGGGTACCACCGGCCTCGTCATTACATTGCAACTCAAGGCAAGTTCATTCTTGTATGTCTAAATATTTGTAAAATCTCTGCTGTTCTAGATTGCTACAAGAGTTATTTATAGGGTGACATCTTCTGTGTTGGGAATGTATGAAAACTTGGTTTAGGGGAGCAAAAGGCAAGGAGATGAGATGTTCCAAGCTACTAAAGGCACTCAAACAAAAAAATCTAAATTATAAGAGTAGGCATAGAGATGACAGAACAATCTATAATGTGCCCTTTGTGCATGAAATACAAGGTTATAACTAAAAGGGACTTCATGGAGCTTGAGTTTACCTGGTGATATGAAATTGCTGTGGGAAGGCAGTAAGAATATGCCTGTGACCGATGAATTTTTGTTAGTGGGAAATGGTAGCAAATTGCATTTGAACAACACCTTCTGTAAATTAGTTTGCTCTGCCTTTAGAAAGAAGCAAAAACCTCAGCTACACAATTGAACACTGAGCATGTTAGATGATGAGCCTCCTAACTGCGGTTCTTTGCGCTGGATTGCTGTTTTCCTACATCACCAGGCAAACTCTTTGGCCATAACCACTTTCCCTACAATTATTCATTCTCATTTCAGTGCATTCCTTCCTCCTTTGGAAATGTGATATTCACATAAATGACTCTGTTCTTAAATTCCACTTCATGATTTTTTCACGTTTGTCTCTATTGAAGGAATAAAGAACATAATAGAATAAAATTGGTGTATGGGTTTATAAGGGTATAGAGAATGCATCATGGCAAAGAACATGGAGGCTGCAGTTTGGGCAGAGTGGCTGAAGGTTTTCATTTGCAGGCTAGAAGAGAAAGGGGGAATAAGAGAAGAAGCTCTAGTCTAATAAATTATCTTTTGTGGATGCTAGCTGTTTGGCTGTTGGAGCCCAATGATTTTCCTTGTAGGAACTCTCAAAAAAGGACTAATTTCTGAATGCTTTCTCCTTCATAATTAATAAACTATTAGGAATTGTACTGTTGCATCTGGTACAAATCTCAATACTGCCTTAATTGCAGAGTGACCGTGGGGTTCATCCCCATCCCTTTGCTTATACATTATTTCCTACTGGAACTGTCATCTCAGCTGTTTACAACACAGCCATCACCTCTGTTTCTGGCATGCTGGAATCCCAGATACTTACTGCAAGAAAGGTGAGGTGTCTGATCCGTCAGAGAGCTCCAGGCTGTTCAGTGTCTATAGTCCTGAGTCACAGAAAGAGGCACTGAAAGGGAGAGTAGGATCCTGTGAGAACAGCACAATGGCAAGGGAACAACTGGAATGGGTTGTTGGCATTAGATGTACTCTCTGAAGATGTCTTTTTGTCTTTTCTCATGCCCCAGGGCCGATGCAAGAGACAGTGAAGGATTTCTGGAGAATGATTTGGCAAGAAAACTCTGCAAGCGTTGTCATGGTCACCAACTTGGTGGAAGTGGGCAGGGTAAGGGGACCATTTTCCTATCACAGAAAAACAAAGCATTGCTGGGTGTAGCGCTGGTGTTGATGCTGCGCAATGCTCAGCAAGTGAAATTCTTTTTGCTTACTGTAGCGAAGAAAGGAATTAAACCACTCAGGAATTTTTTCCTATAAAATGCTAGATTTTTGTAATACTTAGCTGCTTCCCTTCCAGTCTAATAAGGATCTTGTTCCTGCTGTAAGTCTTGCTTTAGCAGAGTTATACAAATTTATGCTAGCTGAGGAGCTGTCTCCTTTTTCAGTACAGAGGGAAAAAATGTACTTCTGTAATAATTATTCTTTATCTGTGTAATTTGAGTAATTTTCTACCCACAAAAATCTGGAGGCATGAGGACGTGCAACTGGTGTTTGAACTGATCAAAAGAGATTTTTAAATGATATTTCAAAGCTGAGAGTTGCTGATCATTTCAGAATATCACCGTTCTGTTGTGATGTGAGCCCATGCACAGCTGGATCCTGGGGCCACCTAGGGGCACTGGGCTCTTCATCATACACAGCTTTGCTCTCTTGGACTCAGCTAACCAGGAGTCTCTGCATTAGCACAGGGCTACTGCTAAAGCTCACAGTGGGAGCAAATGTGAATGACTCAGAGGGACAGAGCAGCTTCGGAGAATAAGAAGGAGGCACATTTGGGATGTGCTTCCCCTGGCACGTTCTTCCCACTCCTGGTAGTCTTTGGTTTAGAGAGATTCTCAGCCAGAAACCAGCACTTCAAAAATATTCTCCTTCTGTTTGTCACCTTCCATTCCCTTTGTACTAAAAGAAATGTTTAAGCAATATCTTATTCACAACTGCTAGTAATTCAACTGCTTTGTGTTTGATTTCCTTTAGATCTCATGTTTGAATGCTGCCTGGTTCTGTTCATTTATTGTTATTTATTCTATTCTACCTTCTACTGACACTTCAGTTTGAAATAAACTCCTCTGTGTAAAAAACAAACAAACAAAAAACCCAACAAAAAAATTCCAAATCCTAAACGGATCGTATAATCACAGCCTCTTTCTATGACTTGAAGTGCGATTTATAACCTGCTTTGCAGTAGCTGTTTGGTTGAGATTTTAGGTGCTGTTCCACCTCTTCATGCTGGAGCGTTTAGTAACGTTATATTCTTAACCTGTATAAGCTGCTCTGGCATTTATTTCTACCGTTAGTTTGGCACGTGGCTTGTAAACGTGCTATGCGCTCACATGATGAGGTAATTGTTTTCATGAGCCTTAGCTCATGTTGTCTTGAGAGTGAGGTAAAATGTGGATCAGCTCTGCCTCACTTGGAGCTAGTTCCTCTCAATATTTTCTTTCCCTTCCCACCAGGTGAAGTGTGTTCGGTACTGGCCAGATGACACAGAGGTCTATGGGGATATTAAAGTCACATTAATTGAGACAGAACCACTGGCAGAGTATGTCATACGCACATTTACAGTACAAAAGGTAAGGAAATCTTCAGTCAGCTGATCTTTTGATGTCACACTCAGTTTGTGATCTGAAATGTGAACTCTGGGTGGAACATCCAGAGGTATGGAGATGGGAACAGTAGCTGTATGGCATGTTTTCACTTCTGGAATCTAAATTTTTGACAGATATTCTCATTTTACTTAAACGTCTTGATGTAACAACAAAGGTAAAATCCGCAGTGCCTGAAGCTTAAATAAATCCAAAAGCCAGCAGGTAGTTGGCTATCCCAATTCACAGCAGAAAACTGTAGGTGAAGAAAAGATATCAGCTAAATTGGTTACCAGAGAGGTTTCTTTTTCAAGAGAAATAAAGTAATAAAAGCTCAACTATTAAAATTGTCCCCAAATTGGCAGGATTTGGAAGATTTATGTTATATACAATTAGAAATTGAATATCTAAATGTCAGAGTATTCCAGGTCTGTCCAAATTACTCTCCAAACACTCAGTAAGTGGTTTTAAAGCTTTTCCAAAATACCTACTAAGCCACACTGGGAATATTGTTCAGGTTTTCTAGCTCATAAGGTCCACATTCCATTGAATCACTGAAAAACCTGACAGGAAATGCTAATGCCAAAATCTGACATATTAGTGAGCTCCACATACATTTCCTATATAGTAAAAGGTCACAGCTAACTGATATTTCTGTGTTACCCTCGACAAAACAAATACAGTTACAGTCAGTTTTCATGCACAAGCATAATTGTCTCACCAGTAGGGCAAGTGGTGGATCTAGGTACCACTTTCTATCCTTTTCAGCACCAGCTTTAATCTCAAACTTGATATTTTTTGGCAGGAGGCAACAGAAAATCTACAGTTTCCTGGAGCCTCTGTATTTAGCTGTTCATTCCCCAGGCTTTTGCTTCAGTGTCTGAAAAAGGATTTGAGAGTGGTGGTTTATGGAGGTATCACCAAAGGCGAGATGGGCGAAGTGCAGCCCTGGTACGCTGGGGCAGAAGTCATCAGTGAGCTGGTTTTGAACACTGAGACTACAGGTTTGAATCAGGAGCTGGCATTCACCTCCACAGTCCTCAGCTGTACTTTGCCACTTCGTTTGTAATTGGAGTGCATCTTGATCCTTCACCTTGAAATCTCTTGGAGTGAAAAGTATAGGACACATTCCTGCACACGATTAGAGCTAAATTGTTCAGCCTTCTGTGTGAGAGTAGGGAGCAGTGGGCAAAATGCGTTGACTGCAGTCTGGTGGCAGAAAAATAGAGGCTGTGCTGTCTCCTCAGAAAGGCTACCATGAGATCCGAGAGATTCGGCAGTTCCACTTCACCAGCTGGCCAGACCACGGGGTTCCTTGCTATGCCACGGGCCTCCTGGGCTTTGTTCGGCAAGTAAAGTTCCTCAACCCCCCAGAGGCAGGACCCATCGTTGTGCACTGCAGGTATGTGAGCTCTCGGTGCCTTTCTTCCATCAGGTTATTTTTTTTTTCTGCTTTTTTTCGTCTTTTTGTCCAACAACGACAAACTACATTTTGGTTGTTTAAGAGTTTAATTTGTTGGCTTTGTGGGAAGTGGAGTCTGGTTTCTTTTCTAAAGTGGCAGCTTTGGAGCTTAGCCGGCGTGAATTGGAGATAAGTGGGTCAGAGAGGGCTGTTGGAATGTAGAAGACTCTCTGGTGGCCCATAGTCTCTTAGATGCTCACAGCAGAGCTGGGAAAATGGTAAATATCTGGGACAGCAAGTCCAGTCATTATCCGCAGCAAACCTCATGTGGCAGTAGGGATGATGCCTACAAACAAACAAGGCTGCAGAGAGGGATTTTAAAGCAACTGTGCTTTTTTGTACCCACATGTACTGAAGTTTAGCTTTGCACGAGGGTCAGAGGTTTTATCTCATACGTTTCTCTGCCTTCCTTCTATTGATACCAGCCATATGCATCTCAGCCTCCTCAAAACCCAGTCTGAATAAGAATTTCAGACTGAAAACCTGCCCAGTGCCTTCCAGATAGGAAATAAGAGGCAAATGCCTGAGGAAAACTGCTTGGCTTTACAGCTGTAAGAATTCAGATTATTGATTTGCATTCTGGCAGACTCCTGGGCTGCTGCTGCTGGTACTGTACACTTTTTGCACTGTCTTCTTCCAGCTGAAGGCAAGTCTGTGCTGTGCAAGGCAGTACATGAGTAAGAAGAAGAGAGTCCCTGGCTTGGGGAACCCGCAGTTGGAGATGTAATCAGACATGCTGATGGTGTTGTGAGAGCAGAGGCACCCAGGGCACAGCAGAGCCAGGCAAAGAAACCAAATCTCCTGAGCAGGACTATGCTAATCCTTACCACCTTTCTACATCAGCTTACAGCACTGGAAAAACTGGGGGAAAAGGTTATACTGGATTGGATCAGTAGATTGTATCATTTATGTGGGTCATTGTGAGGCAGAAGAAAGTAACAGACCTCAAAACCTACTGTGCTAGTGAGTGTTAGATATGGGTCCATGTCCTTTTTTTTGACTTTACAGTGAAAGCGGTTGTGATTGTAGCATACCTGGTTAAGAAAGCTCATTATTGCATGACTTCAAATGCAGAAAAAGACATTACTGCAAAAAAAGGAATTTGGGTTTGTAGAAGGTGATTCTGCAGTCACAGTGCATCTGTTTTGGAAAGGAGATATGGACGCAGCACCAGGCCAGAGAGCAGAGCTGAGCGTCCCAGAATCTCAGCCTGAGCAGTGCACAGGCACTTACCTCCTAGTGATGGCCTCTGCCATCAGGAGGACAGAGAGATTATGTCCCACAGTTACTTTGAAAAGGAAAATCAGCTAAATCTTTTTTAACTGTTTGGAGTGTTTGGGGGTTTTTTTTTTTTTTTTTTTTTTTTTTTTGTGTTTTTTTAATTTTTATTTAGCAAGTGATTAATCAGATCCATAATAAAATGCAGCTCTGCCAAAGGAGCTGTAGAAGGGAATTCTTTCAGAGCTTTCAGGGCTTGAATTTGCTGCCTTGGTGCTGTGACATGGAGCTGGCCTTGGAAAAAGTCTGAACCTGATTCATCGTTACCAAGAAAGCAAGAAGAAATTTTTCATCCTTCACATTTTAATGAATAAATGCCATTTCCTCTCTGTTATTTATCTGCTTTTGAATTTTAATGACTTGCTTTAAGTGGTAATTACCAAATTCTCCCTACCGATGCCTGGCTGGATATTATCACTATTCGATATTTATGAAGTGCTGGGGTCCTCTAAATATAGAAGTGTTATAACTATTTGTTAAAATTCTGAAAAGCTGAGAGATAAAGAGAGAGGAAATGCCATTTATTCATTAAAATTCTGCAAATGAAAAATATCTTCTCTCTATTCAGCAGTTGATTAATCTGGTCCATTAATGTATGGTCATTCATATCTCCTTGCTTTTGGCTCTGCTGGAGTTTTCATGCAACAGAAGTTTCCCCGATTTGAGCTGAGTTTTCCTTTTTTCCTTTGGTGTTATGTTTAGAGACATTCTCCTCTTTCTATCCTTCACACCTAAACAGCTTTGGATGATTTCCCAGGAGGGAAAGAGGACACGATGACAACACGCTTTGCAAGAGATGCTTCCATTCTCATGTGCAGCTGGGGGGAGGTCTTAGCTGAAGGTTTTGAGTGGCCTCGGGCTCCTTTCTCTATAATGTTATACAATCCATAACTTGAAATCATCCTACTTGGGACCCAACCTTCTCATTAAGGGAAAAAAAATGTTTGTGGAAATGAACTGATCCCCTCCCATTGAGCCCTCTTGAGTACACATGCATGCTTCTTAGTAGTCCCATGAGAAGGAAAACCTTGGAGAAGCAGATCCAACTCCCACCCCTTCTGAATTGGGTATCTTTGCAACCCAGAGGCTGCTCTCCCACATCCTTTGTGATGTGCATGCAAACTGATCTGTAAAATCAGAGTGACTAGTCTTGTAGAATGATGTTTTTGTTGACATTTGAGAAAACAAAGCTTTCTGTGTCCCTTCCTGGGCCCATTGCCATTCCCAGAAATATTAGTTCACCTCATTCTCTTAAATGCAAAGCTAATTTAACTAAGCACAAAAATCACATCATGGGGAGCAACTTTCAGGAGAAGCAGCTGTGTCCATGCAGCTATTTTCTGTATAGCTATTTTCTGTGTAGTTATTTTCTGTATGTCTATTTTCTCCTCCACAAAGCCCTGCCTCCACTCAGTCCCTTGATTGTGTGGACCTTCATTGCCTTCTCTTTTTTTTCCAGTGCTGGGGCTGGGAGAACAGGGTGCTTCATTGCCATTGACATCATGCTTGACATGGCAGAGAACGAAGGTGTGGTTGATATATTTAACTGCGTGCGAGAGCTGCGCTCCCAGAGGGTCAATTTGGTGCAGACAGAGGTAGGTGCCAGCAGGTCTCCTTCCACCTGTGAAGCTCCTCTGCTTCACAGGGGCCCAACACTTCATTAAGTCAATGCTTGCCTCCCCTGTGATGGGATTATACAGAACTTTCTTTGCTAAGGGTGGCCAGATGCTGAATCCTGTTCACAGGCAGCTGCTCAGACCTCAAGGCAGGAGGACGAGCACTGATGTTTAGGCCTTAGCGTTGCTGATTGATTTGTTCTCACAGTAGAAGAGGTCACTGCTGAATCATTAGTAGGTGCACTGCAAACTCAGTACCTATTTTGTATCAAGTGCAAGCTCAAACTATGAAACATCCTGGATTTAAACAACGGGTGCAGATGAAGCAAGCTGCTCCTGAACGTACCATTTAGCAGCTGTATAAACTTCTCTCAGACTGTTATCCCACTACACAAGTTTGATGTGTGTTCCTCTCCTGATGGGCAGAGCAAAAGTCTGGAACAGAGAAAAGCTTTTAACTTTTCAGGTTTCTCGTACCTCATGTTCTGTTTACAGAAATATCCTTTGCCAGAGTACCAGATTCTCTGGGAGCTTTGAAGAGACAGGTGGAGCAGACCTACATTTGTGCTGTTATTGTCATTGGTCTGAAGCACAAACCAAATTCTCCGTGATAAAGAGACCATTGCCTTGCAATTGCCTCCTTGAATTCCCCCCTGGCCCAGCCCTGTTTTGTCCCAGCATTCCCAGTGCTGGTGATTTACCATTAGACTTGTAAATTTGAAATGAATACATGAGACCTCACATTCAGTGATGGATGAAATATGCTCACAAAGCTGTCACATAGCACAATGTGTAATTTGTCTCCACATGAAACTGAGCCAAATATGCATAGCAGGCATGACTTAAGAAGAAAAAAAAAAAGTATGATATTTCATGATCTGTAGTGAAAACATGACTTTAATATCTCATCTCCTCCCCTGTGCAGGAACAGTATGTATTTGTCCATGATGCCATTTTGGAGGCATGTCTCTGCGGCAACACGGCCATTCCAGTTTGTGAGTTCAGATCCATATATTACAACATCAGCAGGATAGATCCACAGACCAATTCCAGCCAGATAAAAGATGAGTTTCAGGTAATGTCATGTCTTGGTCATTGCAATTGGTGTACTGATGGTGTTTAATCAATTTCTGTGCTATTTTATGATTTCCAACACAGCAGAGGAGAGTGACACTGAGAGGAAGTCTGATTTCTGGTGATTTTTGTTGTGTTAGAACTGAATCAGGCAGAGGTTTGTTTTTAAGCATGAGATTTTCAGCCTTTGGCAATGAAAAGTTCCCATCACTTCAGTAGAGCAAGGATTTTAATTTCCGCAGATAACGTTGTACTTCTCATTTCAGCAAATATTCAGTTGTTCATTTCCTTCTGTAATTTATGCAAAAACATTTATGCCTCAAGGCCCCTTATTAACTGTTCCTGTGGCTTGTCTGTTGCTTCAGAGTCTTGACAATCAACTTGTTGATGTCCTTCCATACAAAGAGGGTGAGCTCCGTGAGTGCTGCTTTCTCTCATACTAATTTTCAGTGAATTGAAGCCCTCTGTTCACCCGGAACGTTTTTATGAATACTTTGTGGCCAGAACTGGAATGTCATATAATAACACTCACAAGTCTGGAGTAGTATTGTTTGACTGGAGCAAGAAACAAGGACTGCTGGGCTAACAGCAGTACTTATCCCACTCTGGTAAAATGGGGCTTGCGACACAGAGGCTACCAGCTCTGTGCAAGGGTGCCTCCAACACAGCAGAGAACTCACCCTTCAGAACAGTGAACTAAGCTTCCTAGGCTGATTCTCAATATATCTGTAAGTCCCTTCAGGATTTTCAACCAACAACATAATGTTGTTGGAAATTTAGGGCAAGATGATTTTGACTGCAAAGAGAGACTGCTATTTATTAAGAAGCTGTTCTTAGTCAGCAGTGAAAAGATGGAGATTGCTTTTATTGTGGGAGATGCCCCTCTGTCCCCCAGCCAAGTGTCTTTTCCAGGAGGAAGCTGTCAGGAGCTTTCTGAGCTAGATGCCTCATTTGCTCCCTCTCTGCACGAAGACAGAATGTGTGTGTTTTATCTGAAACCTTGCAGGGAATCATCAGGGTTGATGTAGTGAGATAAAGAGCGTGGATCCCAACTGATGACACTTCAATTAAAAAAAATATATCTGCTTTTATCAAGTGATATCAGATCTGTAAAAGCGTTTCTGGCTATGGACGCTTGGCATGAGGGAGCCGAAGCCTGACTTCATCAAGTGCTGCTGTACTATTAAAAAAATGACACTGCTCAGTGTGCTTATTTTGTCATGATAGGAAGTGAGATTTGTCGCCCGCGTGCTTGTTCTTTTGAGCTGCCAGGGGCTGGCAGCTCCTTTGGGTAGGAGATGCTCCTCCATGCTTTGCATAAGAGGTTCGTTTGCTGTCTAGTACTAAGATGCTGTTTTTACAGGGGTTTGGCTTAAAGCATTCTTCAGCCTTAGCTGTTTGGCTTTAATGCATAGGATGGTAGCTTTTGCTACAATCTTTATGAACCAGTTCATCTAACTGTATCTATTGGTCCAATCTGTATTATTTAGGTCTCGCTGTCCCTCAGGTAAGACTGGATAGATTTCTCATGCACTGCACATTGCCTGAACATATAAAAGCTCATTCTGGGGAGTCTTTATGTTCTGAGTAAGCTACAAAAAAACAAGTGAGCAAGGGGAAGGACATAAAATAGTCAGGAGTAAATCACTAACAAGTTACTCACCTAATTATCTGCGCTGTCAGAGATTTCAGGTTTCATTACTCTTCCCTGCCAGACTGCCTGCTTCCCATCCTAGGTAAGGGGACTTGTGTGCATAATTTAGAGCAACATGATTTCTGATGTTACTTTTCTGTATGTAACTTCCTATAACAGATGGTCTGACCCTCCTTTCTCCATTCACAACTTCTCTTTGGATGAAATCAACCTCTCTGTAAAAATGGTTGGCCTCTCAGTATTTTGTGTTCATCTGTTGGTTGCAAAGGAATTCACAGCATGACTGCTTTGCTCAGGAAAGAGAACATGACAAGTGGAAATAAAATGCCATCAGATAGCTACTGATCTACCATGGCTTAAATGACAGTGTTAAAGATGTGTTCACTTGGATTTGCTGTTTTTAACAGCTGCTGAGTAACCTGGGCTGGTTTGTGGGTGGATAACACAAAAGAAAATTACATTTAAAGAAACACATTCTGTAAAGCTGTGGGAAAGACAGATAAGGGGAAAAGACCGACAGCAAGACCCCAGAGATAAGGTGTGACTGGGGAAAAGAAGCAGCCTGCATGTCTCTCCATGAGGAAAGGAGCAATCTAAATAACAAGGCAATAGCTTGAATGACTGTTTAAAACAAAAAAAAAAAAAAAAAACCAACTCTTTTCTCATAGGTGTTTTTTTGTTAAAAGAAATCAATAGTTTGCCTGAGGAATCATGAAGTGGTTTGAACCCAGTTGGCCTGTGGGTGAACTCAGGATCTTCTCAAAGAGCAAGAATGTGTGCGTCCACCCTCGAAGGCTTCACTCCTTCACCAGGTCAAAGCTGCAGCATACCACTGTGGCAGCCATTTCCTGCTTCTGCAAAGAACAGAAACATTATCTAACTGCTGGGGTGTTTTACAGCTGGAATTTGTTGCATGGTATTTAGTGCCCTGCATTTATGCTGGAGCTTATGGTGTCTGGGAGGGCACCTCAGGAGGATGTGCAGTGTGATGTATTCTAGCAGCAACGAGCTTCTCCGTGCTCGTTCTTTTTCCTTCTCTGGGATGCCAGTTCCTTCTTTGGGATGCCAGTTCCAGAATCTCTGTTCTTTGGCGTAAGCATACAGTGGAGATGGCATTGTTTTTGGAAATGAATTCAAAGATGCTCAGCCTGCTTCTGTATTTCCTTCCCTTCTTCCCTGCCCCTTTCACAGACTCTCAATATCGTGACACCGCGGGTTCGGCCAGAGGACTGCAGCATCGGCCTTTTGCCGAGGAACCATGACAAGAACCGCTGCATGGACGTGCTGCCCTTGGACCGGAGCCTGCCCTTCCTCATCTCTGTGGATGGCGAATCCAGTAACTACATCAATGCTGCGCTCATGGATGTAAGCAGCTCTGCACATCCCCCCTGTCCCCTTGTCACTGCACTGGGTTTATTCCTTCTTGGGTTACTTTTCTGGGAGAATTGAATCAAAAGCAAGAAGCCTTTCCCCCTCTCCCCCCCCCGCCCCCGTAGTTTCTGAGTCTGATATCTCCAAACTGGGCAAAGCCACGTGGATTTTCTCTCCTTCACAGAAATGTGTCACTTGGTAATGTGATAAATCACAGCCTGTGTCGTTCTGCCTCGGGCTGCTGCAAAACTTTTGGCTGAGAAGCTTGTGAGCGTGCAGTCTGAGGGTGCGTCTTAGAATGGCAAATGAATGAAGGGGTGGTGGGAGAACTCTTCCCACTGGTTGCTGCACAGGTGGGAAGGGAAATGCTCACCAGGAGCTGCCACGTCAGCTCTTTGAAAAGAACAGTTTGTGGCATGGAGTGAGTGATTTATCTGAGCTACTGCAGTTAAGAATATGGGATCAGATGTGCAAAAAGCTTTAGGGATGACAGACATGAGCTAAGCTGATGTGAATCTGTCTGAAGGCATTTTCCCTTGCGTTGTTTACAGACTCACAGCATGGGGCGTCTATAGTGGCTGAATTATGTTGATGGTTTCTTTTTATTGTAGTACCTAAACTGCTTTTGGACAGAGGTGCCTTTGAACTGCTAATTACTACAATTGGAGTATATGTAAATATGATCTGGGGAGGTGTCATCATTTTTTCCCCAGCACAGTTGAGTAGAGTCGGTCTCTGTTATCTCCTCTTTCAGGTTTTGGGTACAGTGATACTACTGCATTTAAGAGGTTAAGAAAAATGGTGATAGAATTAATTTTAGATTTTTTGTTCACAAAACTGTGATGTTTTTATTGCAAATACGCTCAAGGAAACTTTTAACTCTCTTTCTTTAAAAAATGTTTTGTGCACTGACAGATCTGCACGTGCACAATCAGTTGTCTCATTACCTAGGGCTTGGGAATGTGTTTGCCTGTTGTAGCTCCCCTTACCTTTAAGGCTCTCATCTCCTTCCACACAAAACTCTGCTAATCACTTTTATTTTGTATGAAGAAAGAAGAAGAGCCCTTCCAGACTCATCACTTCCCAACAGCTTTCCTTTTCCTTCTCCGTACTTTGCAGGGAATCACCTGCTCACCTATGCGCCCCAGAACGTGGTGCAGCGACTCTGCAGAGGGGTGCAGGACATGCACAGCACCCCTCCCACCATGGGCCCATTGCACCCACAGCTGGTTCACAGGGAGGAGAAAAGGCAGCCCCTGCAGCAGCTAGCTTAATACTTACAGCATTTCTGTATTTCTTTACTTTAAAGCCAAAATCCGATTTAGGGTTTTTTTTTTTAACCCAAATTATACCTTTTGATTCAAGTCTACTTCACAGATGTACAGCACAAAGGACGGAGCATTTGTAGGCTCATCTAAGCATTGCATGCCGTGGTTGGAAAAAGAGATAACGTTTTGAGCTGCTGCCCTTTCATCTCAAAATGCCTCACAAACATTCATTACCACAGCTCTGCAGAGGTTCAGACCACAGTTTCTCCGCTCTGTGGTTAGGGAAATTGAGGGCAGAAGGCTCTTCTGATGTGAAAGAATAGCAGCAGAAGTTGAATGCCAGCAATGTGACTCTGACCACTCCCCCATGTCCTGTTAAAGGATGGCTGCCACCCGAATGTGCCACTTGGAAGCGTTATGCCACTGGGGAGCAATGGCAGATGGGGGCTAATCCCTGCTCTAGTTTCTGGAGTCCACTGCAGGAGAAAGGAGTGCCTTTGCTTCTAGCTGTTTTGTTTCCCATTATTAACATTACTGATAGTAGTAGTAGTAGTAATAGTAGAATTAGTATTATTTGCTGAGTCTCAAAATATAAATAATTGATTTGGGTAATCTCTGCTCTTGTGACACCTCCTTAATGAAATGTCTTCATTGGGTGCAAAAGAATCCCATTATGAGACATTCATTCATTGCACAGCGATAACAAGGAGAAGGATATGTGATTTGTATAATCTGGTTAAATGGCTCAGATTGCCTAGCCATAGCCTCGCGGGTGTAATATTCGTTTGAATAAAAGTTGATTGAATTTTTTTTTTTTTAAACTAATCTTATTCTTTTGTTAGAGCCACAAGCAACCTGCTGCCTTTATTGTAACCCAGCACCCTTTGCCCAACACCGTAGCAGACTTCTGGAGGCTGGTGTTTGATTATAACTGCTCCTCCGTAGTGATGCTGAATGAGATGGATGCTGCACAGGTAAGGGATTTTTCTTCATCTCAGCCACATAGCTTTATTCTTAGATCCAGGTCTTCAGGGGGTTTCTACGGCCATTTGCTTGTGACCAATAAATAAAACAAAATAAATAATGGGAAACTGGAATGTAACAGGCAATGTTTTGGGGTACTGTGGAAGAGCAAGGTTCAGGTCTACATGCTTGACTCCTTCTAAGGCAAGTAATTCTTACTGCGATTAACAGCGATTAACTATCTGCGTATGCTGCTGTTGTGGGCCTAAGTTTCCTCCCAAACCAATTCCCATTTCCTCCCAGGCATACGTACTCCATGCCTGCCTGCTCACCCATTATTTCCAGAAGAATAAAACCCAGCAATACGCGGAAAACACTGTAAGGATCTTCTCCCTGAGCTTTCCAATGAGATTTGGTAGTAGTGAGACGTGCAGCTCACACTGCTTATGGAGCAGCACGTTGTGCTGTGCATTTCTCATTCTTTTCTTTCAAATGCCATGTGTTCCCTGGTTCCTTGGCTGCTGACCACAGTGCTCTTTTCAGAAGTCGAGGTGGCAGGGCTGGAGCTGCTGCACTGGATTGCAGGCACCTTGCTGATGAGTGGTAGAAGATAGCAGCTTTCAAAAAGGTGCAATCATGCAATTTGTGTGGAGAGTACGTTTGGCATTGCTAATTCACCCATTACAGCACTTGTTAAACAAGAGAAGAGCCCTCAAGTAGCCGGTGCTTCTCGGATTAATTTTTCATTTGTCTCTTTGCTGTCTTTGAAGCCTCAGCAGCCTTGAAGGCAGTGGGATCGTTGGTCTCTTTGGCTTGCTGCGCTGAGGGGAGATCCCTTCAGTGAAAGCTGTGGGATTTCATTTCTGTTTGTGTAAGGGCTGTGCTCAGAAGTGACCCTCCTGATGACAGCAAGTCACAGTCGTCTGTGCAGTCCTGGAGCCCACATGTGGGAGCAGATTGCATTTTTTCTTTTTTTTGCAGACTCTGTAAAGCACAGCATTTTCTGCAAACCTGGAGTTCTTTCTCGCACCTCGTTCCTAGAAAGCACAAACCCATCAGCCTCAGCCTGTTACTTTTGCCGACTGTCTTTCTGCCAAAGACTTTACCTGTGCTTTTTTCCCCTAGAATGTTGCTGTTTTTATCAGGTAGATTGCAGGCACAGGAGAGGAGGAGAGGAGGTTTGGCAGTGCATTAAGTCACTTTGACAGTCATTCCAACGTGGTGTCACCTACCTTGAGTCTGCAGCCAGTGCTGAATGCACCCAGCTACCGCAGGAAGTAAGGATAGCTTTAAAGTTTGTATCTTAAAAGCTCTCAAGGCAAGGTGTGAAAGTTTGATAGTAGTTTGAAGGTGAGGTTTCTGAAGAGGAAGTGTAACTGTGCAGCAGCGTTATGCTTGCACTGTTGCTGTACAGCAGTGTTGTTATCTAGCTGCTCATTGTTGCCTCACCCAAGTGCGAAGCATGACACAGCTGTCGGTGTACAGTTGTGTGCAGAAGATACCACATCTGTGTGGCTAGGTGGAACATCTCACTCATCTACCGGAGTAAAGCACAAAATACAAAACCTGCTTATATAAAAACTGTGATTAAAAATAAGTATGCAGTTAATAAATGAAAATGTAGTAAATAGGGAAGCAAGCAGGGTGCAAAGTGCAAAGCAAACCGTGTTTCAGAGAACACAACAGACCATTTTAAGCACTGTACAAATGTCAGTCTGAGTGATCATTCACAGACCTGCTTTATGAACAGTGATTTTTAAAGTTAAGTTTAATCTTTCTGTTCTTCGGACTGCACCTTGAGGATGGTTCCTACAGCTCAGTTCCCATCTCCTTGCCTCTTGGGCAAATGCTTTGAGAAGAGGTCTAGAGGCTGCTTAAAAATCTGGATGAAGAGTGAAGATAACCTTCAAAGGAGAGCTTGCTTATGTGGGCTTCGTGTGCTTTTGTAATCTTGACAAAATAATAAGGGCAAAGATGCATAAAATCTCATTACTATCCCACCCAATTTCAGCCCCATATGATCAAAGGAAGAGCAGGAATAGAGAGTTAATGCAGTAGTATGCACACATTTGACATTATTACTGACAGTGATTGAACTTGAAAAGCTCGAGATCAAGTTCAAATGAGCACCTGGTGGTTGCAGAACTTCTCAAAAATTACTCTTGAAAATAGGAGGAAAAAAACCCAGAAAAATACAATCTCAGCGGAAACTCTTAATGAGATCTCATGCAAAATATTTTCTTGCCATGATCTATTTCCAGATGGATTTGAAATACTTAGATCGTAATTTGTGTGAATAGTAGGGTTTTGTATGCTGTGAATTCAGTAGTATCAGCAGAAAAAGTTCATTTTGCAGAAAAATTCCTCTTTGCTTGAATTAAGATTAATTTTGTTGGTGTGTGCCATTTCCTCATTAACACCACACTTCTGTGATTTTATTGCATTTACCTGATCTTTTAATGTTCTTTTCTAACTCCATTTCCATGTAGGAACTTCATTTTTCTGCCACTTTCCTTCACCTTTACACCCTGGATTCAATGGTTTTCATACTGAAAAAGACAAAAAAAAAAAAGTGAAGCTTCTAAAATACGTTTCTTTTTGTCTTCAGACTCATAATATCAAGAAGTTTCCTGAAGCTAGAGAGAGGTCTTTTCTGAGCAAATGCATTCTGTAACAGGATTGGTTATGGATTTTGTGCTGGCTGCCCGTCTGAAGTGAGACAAGACTGATGATATATTCCCTTGTTAATATTAAGGTGCTTTCTGTTTCTTTTCGATATTCTCACCAGCTCTGCGTGCAGTACTGGCCAGAGAAGACGTCCTGTTGCTATGGCCCAATTCAAGTAGAGTTTGTTTCAGCAGACATCGATGAAGACATCATCAACCGGATATTCCGGATCTGCAACATGGCCAGGGTAAGAGCAGTGAAATATCACATTCCTTATTTATTCTCACAAATGCATTTTGGCATGGGAAAGAGGCAGAATCTAGTCTGTGGTTCTGAGATGCTGAATCGCTCACCTAGTAACAAAATTCCACTGCAGAAATTTAGTAGCTACTTCCTTTAATTAACATTTAGTTGCATTAGTCTATATTGGTGAAAGCCTTTTGGCTGAAAGTAGAAAATGGATGGTATGAGCTGAAAATCTGGATTCGAATGGAGTGCATTTTTCTGTATGTGTTTGAGAACAATTAATCCATTAGTAGAAACAATAAAAGTATCAGCATCACAGGAAATAAGCTGGAATAGTATCAACTGCTCCCTATCTGTCAGCTGCTCTGCAGTGTTTCTGAAGATAAATGCAATATTTACCAGCACGATTGGGATTCCTAATTGCCACTGTTCTCCTATAAATAAGCGGCTGCCATTTCTGCAAGCAACTTTTTGTCTGTATCCCTCAGTCCCTGTATAGCTGGCATGATAGAAGCGAGGTTTGTCTGCACTCTAGACCCGTGCAATACAACTTCAGGGCTGCGGCAAGAGTTTCAGCAGAGGATTTTTCTCCCATTAATTGTTTCCCAGATTGATTAAACTCTTTTTTGTTCTTTCTTTTTTTTTTTTTTTTTCCCCCAATCAGAAGTGGAAATAGGCTCCAGAAATTGCATTTCCATACTGTCTCTGATTGTGTAGTCAGAGCCTGTGCAGCCATTCAATTATGTCATTGTGGAGTGAGTTGTGGGGTCTAACAACGTGAGCAGCTGAATCAGTTACCTCTGCTCCACCCCACATCCCAAGCTGACTGCCACTGAGCTGGGGACAGCCTTGCAGTCCCGTGGCTGATAACACTGCATGCTGAAGCTGCCTTGTAAATGCGCAGCTCTCAGGATGGGTGCTGTAAACTCACATTTCTCACACCCACCTGCATTCAGCAGCAATATCCACTTCTAAATCCTTATGAGGATTTTCTGCCATAGTACCCAGAGATTTTTTTGAGGACTGTCTTTGCCATTACGTGCTTTGACCCAATGAACCTCCACCACAAGGTACCAGGCAAGACATAGCTGATCCATTCTTTGAATTCAGTGAGACATTTTTTCTCTACTGGAAATAAAACAAGGGGTCCTTAGCATCTAGTTTCTGCCTGGCTTCGTAGCACCTGAGATCATTGTTATCACCGAAAATATGGAAAACTCCTTGTTCCCTGCTGTATCATGCATGCAGAGTGCAGAATTCTAGCACTGATACCAAATTAAGATGTGTGATCAGTGCCCTCTGCTTCACCCTCTCTCTGTTTCCTGCCCCATTCCCTTTAGAATTGCAAATGCTCTTTGTTTCAGCCCCAGGATGGCTATCGCATCGTTCAGCACCTGCAGTACATTGGCTGGCCAGCATACCGGGACACCCCTCCATCCAAACGCTCACTGCTGAAGGTGGTCAGGAGGCTGGAGAAGTGGCAGGAGCAGTACGATGGGAGGGACGGCCGCACTGTGGTCCACTGCCTGTAAGTAGGGCTGGAAATCGTCTGTAACCTCATGAAATAAGTCCAGAAGGTTGATTATGTATCAGTCCAAACCTGCTGGTTTGCCAGGCTTCATCTGGGGAAAATGAAGTTAAATTACATTTGTAGCATACTTTAAGTCGAATACTGCGCTGCATTATAACTACCTGACCCAGAGTTACTGACTGTGGTGAAGAGGAGCCAAAGGCTCTGCTGCTTTCTGCTGTGAGCCCCACAGGAGTGAGAAGAAGCAGAGCAGTGCCCAGGGCTCCTTCTCCACTGCTTCCAGGGATGGCATTAGCCTTTCCCTTGTGCCATGGCTCTGCCAGCTCTCATGCTGCCCTGCAGAGCTGCGCTTCCACAAACCCATGAGCTTCCTGAAAGTAGGCTGGTGAACGCACCCCTCTCTTGGTGTACGTGCTGATTTGTAAGCTGTGCTTTCATCCCTTGCCTGGCTTCATCTGTTGCCTCTTTTCTTCTGCACCCAGGAACGGTGGGGGACGAAGTGGCACCTTCTGTGCCATCTGCAGTGTGTGTGAAATGATTCAACAGCAAAATATCATTGACGTGTTCCACATAGTGAAAACGTTACGGAATAACAAGTCCAACATGGTGGAGTCACTGGTAAGCTTGTTTCCTGCACTTTTCTCCACCCAGCATAGGCATGGGGACTTCACAATAGGTCTGAGATTTTCTAGTTTAGCCCAGCATGAATCAAAACCACACATACCATAAATGCAGCAGGATTAAAGCCAGCCCTGCTTTGGCATGTGTGAGGAATCTCCCAGTCCCACTGCTTCTCTCCTTGAATAGATGTGGAGCAGCCACCCTGGCAGCAAGGTGGGTAACATCTCCTGCACCCAGAAGATTAAACTCCAAGCTTCTGTCACCTTAGCTATGGTAGCAGGTAGAATTTGTCCTCCTGTATATGCATACAGCCTGGTGCTTGTTGCTGTGACATGCCTTGAAATCATGGAGGGAGGAGAGTGCACCTCAGACCTTGCTCCCTGCAAGAGAGAGATTAAACCATCCTGAGTTCAGACATCCCAACTGATCATGCTGAATTCTTTCCTCAAAAGCCACATGTGATGAGGCTGTGAAGCAAATAATGAATAGCCCATTGGGTAACTGTCTCTTAGAGCATTTTTCTCTTCCACTGATTATGACAACTCTTAACAATACTTGTTTACTATCACATAGAAATGCAATTAATGTTTGCCTGGTCCTGTCAAATGTACAGGACCATTAAGACCAGTAAGAAAGAGAGAGGAGGCATTTTTTTGCAGCTTGCAGAATGAGTGTCCGAACAGTTCACCTGTATCCCAATGCCACTGACTTCTATTCTCTCTTTCAGGAACAGTATAAATTTGTATATGAGGTTGCACTGGAATACTTGAGCTCCTTTTAGCCCAGCAGAGAGAGGGGAGCCTCCGACATGGCAGACCCCGACCCCTGGCAGATGCTTCTCCCCTGTCCCACACTAGAAGGAGGTAACAAGTGTGGGAAGGAAAACCTCTCCTTCTTGGAGAAAGAGACTGAGACTGGACGGACCAGCTGGAAGGAGGAGATGATGCCTGTATTTGCTGCTGCCTGCTTTCTATTGGAGCATCTACCGCTTCTTAAATAACCTACTGTAAAAATAAGAGAAATGGGAGACAGGCTGAAGGACTGGACTTTCTAATCCCTTCTGACTTCTCTCCTCTTTAGGATCGTATTTTTGCTGTCCTTGCTGAAGAGTGGGGAAAGAATGAAACCTTTAGGAAATTCTCTTCTAAATGTCTCCTTTTTAAGTTATTATTTTGTTCTCAAATCCCAGTCTTTAATTTTTGAATTTCATGCAGCAGTCATTTGGGAAAAATGAGATAGCCATAGGGAATTTATGAAATGTTTCATTATGATTTGCCTATCTTATCTGTCTTTGTTTTATCTTCCAAATGAAAAGGCCAACACCAAAAAACACTGAATATCTTTCCGCATCTGGTTCCTTTTAGCATGAAGATGGTGGAGATGAGGAGTTAGTTGTTCATGGATTTGCATCTTGGCTTCTCCACATTTCCCCCCGGTTTCTCCCAAGGCTGTGCATGAACTGGTTACATCTATCAGGTCCATGTTAGTTTCAGTGCTGGTGAAGCAATATTAATGAGTTTCCCAGCCACTTAAACCCTGAAGTTAAATATTTGCATCAAACAAATTGCATTTGTCTTGCAACTTTGGTAACGATGTTACCATATTTTTCAAGTATTTGCTGGGTTGCAGTGTGTCTTTGAAAAACAGGGTATAAAGTAGGTATTATTGATCATATACTATGTATTATTATTTTTTAATTTATTATTTGTATTGCTGTAGAACTTAGGACCCCTAGTCCTGACAGGTCCCTGCTGAACTAGGCTAGGCACTGTGCAAATGAAGAACAAAGAAGGTTCCTGCTCAAGAGCTTTGAATCTGAAGGTAATCTTAAAATTGAGTTTGATCAGGTTTTCCTCGCTGTTCCCAAACTGTTGTACAGTCAGACATAATTGAGTGATTTATTCAGATTTCCATCCCCTGCAAATTTAAAATGGTAACCCATCCAAGCTGCAGGAAGGGTGATGGACATACAAAGAAACCTGCTCTGGCACCTGCTAAGAACAGGCTTCAGCCAGCACAGCAACTTTCCATCTTAAGCAAAAAGGCTTTTCTTTTGTTCTGCAGAAACCCCTGGGCAACTCTTCTTCTTTGCAACAAACATCAGAAGGGTTTTGCCATGATTCTGGATCTTGCTTTGACTTCTTAGAAGCTAAGAAATTGTTTTTCTGAAAGAGTTTGTTTTAGGAGCTAATCACTTAGGTCTACAGGATAATCTCTGTGATTACTCTTAAAGGAACAAAGGATTTATGACATTCAGTATTTCAATTTAGCCGTTTATTTATTCTGAGAGTGCAGGGATCTGAGATAGTTCAGTGTGTAAATTAGATTCTTGGTGATGTATGTTTCTTCAAACATAGGCTTGCTTAAAGCTAGACAGGCAAGGGAAGAGTTTAAGGACATTCCACTTTCTTACCATTTCATAGTATTCCACCCTCTGGTAAGTGCTCAGAAACTGCTGGGAGCTCAGTCGTGTCAGTGCCTCGCAGAGAGCACCAGAAGCTTAAAAAATTTACCAATTCCATATATAAATTCAAAAGGCACCTCTGCTTCATGGTCATTCTTTGCTTGATAATTATATCTTTGTCTTGACAATTAAATCTGATTGGAACCCTTATTGACTCAGATATAGCAGTACCTACAAAAAAATTACCATCTCTGTCAGGACCTGCAGCAGTCTAAGAAACAAGGCTCGCTGTTTGGAAATGGAAATGAGAGATTTGCATAGGATGCTGAACCACCGAGCTCTTGTTCTTTCCAAGAAGCTTTGGATTCTTGGCTTCTTCCAAGGAAATACCTTGAAGGTCTCAGGCAGTTGTGCCACAAAGCGTCAGTGGGAACCCCCTTACTGGTGCCTGTGCTGTGTGTCAGGTAGGGCCCTGCTTTCTGCAAGAAATCACTTAATCAACATTGGGTTACACAGGGGCAGCAGGTAAATGTCTGCTGTTTCACAAAATAAACTAGTTGTTCTATTTTTTTTTTCTGTTGCTGCTAAACTGCACAAACAACTCTGCTGTAGAATAAAAGGCAAAGCAAAATTATGACATGTGAGAAGGAAAGGATAATATTACTGTTTGAATTACAGGTGGTTTGCTTGGGGGCCATTTGCAAAGAAGAGGAAAGAGGGAATCCTGGTCCCAGGATAGGATTTTGCAATTGCCAAGGTGTGAAGAAGCTACCAGCAAAATGTTTGTGACTTCACTAACTCCAGAAAGCCAGAGGGAATAACTCCCTATGGATGCTATGGAAAAATTAATTAGTATTTAGCATTCTGTTAATTTTACATGGAAACTAGCATACCCATTGGACCCTTTCAGGAGTTACTGAAAGTCTAGTTCAGGCACTGAAGCCAATGGCCTGGGTAAAAGGAATAGAGAGGTAGAATAAATGGCAATGTAACCAAGAAATGAAGGGTAGAAGGTAGTTTCAGGCTAAGCAGTAGCATGGAGGAAAGTGAATTACAAAGGCAGCAGTCAGCCTATGGCAGGGATGTATACATGGAGAGAAGCAGGTGTTGGATGAGCCAGGCAGAAGAGCTCTTGCAGTGAAGTTGTTTAAGGTCCTGAGGTAGGTTTAAATGTATTTTCATGGTATGAGGCATGCTAGTACAGGGTCAGGTGCAAGCGTCAGCTGGCTCGCAGTAACCACACATGCACCACATGCTTTTAGCCCTCTGCAAATGCAAAGTGATAGCATAGATTTCAGTTAAGGGTCTTTAAGCTACATTTTACCTTATATTTGCAGGGAACAAGTTCAGTGCAAATCATGGTGGTTCATACAGCCCAACTGTTAGCCACAACTGACTGTGTGCCAGCTCAGGTCTGTGTTTCAGCTTTCTGGTGATGTTCAGCCTACAGCCAGTGTGGAAGGATGCAACCACTATGGGTGATGTTGGTTGTGGTCCAAACTGCTCCATCATCACACACGGGTACACTGATTTTTGGGAACCCAGCTCCGGTCTGTATTGGCTCAGGCATCTTTGCAGTGTTCTTTGCTGCACGATGCTTATATGTTGAATATGAATTAATGATAAAGGGAAAGAGAAAAGAACTCGCTGTAAATAACTTTCTTACCTTGAGGTTATTTAAACAGTGGAGAGGAACCTGTAGCAACATAGGTGATGTGCTTGAAGCAAGATTGTGGATGTTGGGTCTGTTTTCTCTGAGAAAGAGAGAAATTTTGAGATAATAAAGGAGGCTTTCTCACTCTTGAAAAGATTGACAAGCAGGACAAGCTTTCCAACCTAAGTATTGCCTGCTGCAGTTGGGGAGCAATAATGTAAGGTAGAAAAGGGGAGTTCCTCAATGACTGAGTTTTAGGCTGTGTAAATTTGATATTGACAGTATTTGAATAGTCCTAATGAAAACACTTGTTCCCATTCTGACATCCTTCAGGATTGGGTGAGAACTGTTTGTTGATAATATAGTATTGGTCTGAAGTGTAATCTGAAATTCAGAAAACTAGAAATAAGAAGAGTAAGGGTACAGGGACTATGCCATACACAGGGCCTAAAACATCTTAAGTTATTAAGAGGTGTAACTGAAACAAAGAATTCCAGATCTACCTAGACCAGATGCTGGAGAAGGAGGAACCTGAGCTGTCAGCAGGAAAGAGGTAGAGAAAAATCTCTACAAGGTACAGAAGGTGACAATCTGTTGGTTTTTTGTTTTTTTGGTGTTTTTTTTTTGATTTTTTTTTTTTTAATCTGTGAAAACTGCATCCTTTGCTGCCATCTTTTGTTATTTTTTCCCCCCAGGGGAAAGAATAAATTTTCTTTGTGAAGGAAAGTGTAGTTGACCTTCTGTAGATGGACTTGAGGTACTTGTCTATTAATGTGAAGGAAACAGACTGGAGTTGGTAGTACAATGTCAGTGTGAAGGTAGGGACTACTGGTGGCAAACAAGCAGATGGGAACTGGTGGTTTTTATTTAGTAAATTGAAATAACTGATGTTCTCTGATCAGGAAAGTAGGAGACATTGCAGTTCATGATTGAAATTCATTAGCAAAGTTGCCTAGAATACTGCCATGCTTAGTTAGCTTCAACTAGTTTTATTAGTGCACTGGTTGATCCTCCTTGGTTTATTTGCATTAGAGCCACTTAAGTGAGCTAGAGTTGTCCGTGTTGGTCCACAGACACCAGGTAATTAGCAGTGAAAGATTTTTCCATGCACAGAAAACCCTCCTATCACCTTTTGCACCAAATCAAGCCACAGTTCTGCATCCCATCTCTCCCATTCAGCCCCTGTCCACACGGTGCCCATATTTTAAGAATGCCCAGGGAACTCCCAGAAAGTTGGCAGATATCATGGGCAATGTCTGTGAGCCCTGAGTGGTGTGATCCGTGCACTCTGTAGGGCAGAGATGGGAATCACAGGGTGTAGCTTTTGCCTAGGGAAACACATATTTGTGTGTCAGTAATTTTCCTGCCTTTTATTCTGGATCTGTAAGCTCCCTGTGAAAACATCCAGTGGCAACACAAGACCCCACAGCAGTGGATTTAAGCCTGCAGATGGTAGCGTTGTTTTCCCATGTAGTTTGCATGGGTCCTTGAGGAGTAGTTGGTGGGATTTCCCCTGGGAATCTCAGGCCAGGCACTGTGGATGTGCTGTTCTTGGTGTCCCTTGGTCGGAGGAAGGAGAGAGGCTCCCATCTGCTGCAGTTGTTCTGAAGGCAGCAGTCTGGAAGAGGAGAGGATAAAGAGAAAAGCAAACAGTGGAGGAGGATTAAATGGTGTCCTGAAACAGGTGAGAAACTTCCACTTTGTTCTGTCTCTTATTCTTGCAGGGATATACTTACGTCTTTCCTACTCTTCAGAGTTTGTGCCAGGATCATAAAAAAACAAGTAGTAACACATTCCACTCTGCAGAACTCTCTATTGAGGGAGCAGGCAGTGTAACAGAGGGAATAAATCCCGAGGGACAAAGATAAAAGATTTCTTTCAGAGGAACCTTCAAATCTGCGGTGCCTCTGTCTGTCACACTGTCAGAAATCTTTGCAAGTCAGCATGGAGCATTGCACAGTTCTGGCATATTCCTCCATTGCAATTCAATGCAAGTGTTGCAATGTTTTCCACATCCTGTAATAAATTTAAACAATGTCTCATTGGTAGCGCAGTTCACTTTTAGTCATTGCAAAGGGCATCTCAAGAACTTGGTTTGATTCTGCTGTATTCTAATTTGAGGTACAAAGTTCACTCCAGCTTGTTAGGAGCACGGATGGGACCTTGTACTGAAAGTGCTTCAGGATGATCTCTGCTTGTGAGTGTGAAGCTCCTCCTTGAAGTATGCCTCCTTGAAGACCAGAAAGTGATAGAACAGAATACTGCACCTTCCCTGCACAGACCTTTCCAGGAGCAGAAACTGAGAGAGCCAGCTAATTAAGGTTTGGTATACAGAGGAGAGTAATGAGGATTCTGTTAAGCCTCCTACATTCATACTTATTTAGATTGCAGTCTTCTATAGCCATACATACATGCTATACAATTTAAATGCAAGTGCCCTTCCTTTCCCTGTTCCCCAGTTCCCTGTAGCTCTTCCTCCATTGAGGGCCATCCAACAGCATAGAAGCAAAGCACACTTTCTGCAGTTTTGGCAAGGGATGCTAGGGAAATGTATCATGTAGTATATGTTTATTGACTTGGACAAATATCAGTCATCTTCCTCATCATAGAAATACCTGAAGGATGTGCAGCTGAGTGTAGCAGTTGAGCACATTCATGCATTTTCATACACCAAGGCCAAATCCTGGCGGTTCTGAGTTTGATGCAGAGACAAAAAAACTCACTGACTTCCAGTGGTCTCAAGTCTGTAATCTTTATTTTCTGTGTTAAAAGATTTTTAAAGTCTCCCTTGTAAACAATACATGGCATTCAGTATCTACAGCTTCACATCGGAGTTGTGAAAACCTGGCAGCTTCTTCCAAAACAAGCAAAATCTTTCCATCCTTGTCCCAGTGCATTTGGCAGGTTGTTCACCCTTATTCTCTGGTTTCAACCCACACCTTAAGAAACAGAATTATGCAGCAGACTGAATGAGAGATGCAGTGTTTCCGTAGTATTTCTTTGCAGAGGGGAAAAAAAAAAAAGAAAAAGAAAGGAAAAAAAAGGATAAAAACATTTTTCCTGCAAACCAGTTCAGTGTGAGCGGATGCGTGGCCATGAGCCAGTTCACGCAGTTGGCAGTGAGGTTTGCTGGTTGTTGTGATGTGATATATGCCATAGGTGTAACCTTTGGGATCAGTCCTGGTCTGTTCTGTACAGGTTTCCAATAGAATAGGGGTCACTGGAAACAGTTATTGCAGGTGATGGTATTTCAGCGAAGGTTTTGTAAGGGAGATCTGTTGCCCTGGAACACAACTGTCTGGGGGACTTGGTGAGGTGCTTGAGCAGGTGGCTCTGTGGAGGTGTATGTCCTTCTGTGAGCACTTCATCCTTCACTGGGCACCTCCAGGAAATCTTGCTAGTGTGCAGTTATGAAGGAATGCATTTGCAGGGGTGTTTTTGGGTGCATGGCTGGCGCTTCACAAGCTTCAATGAGTTTAGCTATTCGGAAAGCCTCTCCAGGGCACCTGATGGTTCTTGGCATTGCTGAACTAGCTCTAACACTTCCCATGCAGGACTTCCATGTACATGGCATGACCCTCCTCACCTCTGTAGTCTGTTCTTAAGTCTCCAGCACTCCTGCTGCATTTCAGTGCAAAAGCTGCAGCTGTGCCCTTGCCACATTTAACTCGTACTGATTTAACACACTGACAGAATTCACTCCCATGTTGATTTCATCTCCTTCCCCCTGTGCCAATCCTGCTGAAATTGAAATGCTGTAGCACCACTTGTTGCCAGAGCTGTTACTCCTGCAGTCAGGATGCTGTGGCCGCATTGGGGTGAACAGGACCCTGCCCAGCACCCCACACGTGCTGCATCAGCGCGTCTCTGCTGATGGATTCTGCCCCCATCTCCCTCTCCTTTGGCCTTTATGGATTACTGGTGAAACTCACTTGTACAGTTTGGATGTTTGATAGATAAAGCACGTATGAAAAAAAAAAAGGAAAAAAATATAAATGCAGAAATCTCAACACTGTGCATTCAGTGTCTTTTCTTTCTAGCTTAAAAGAAGGAAGGTAAATAATGTCAAGTCAATGAATATCAGATATATTTTTTGACTGTACATTACAGTGAAGTGTAATCTTTTTTTTACAACTGCGAGTCCATCTTATTTATTCTTGTAAATGTTCCCAGACAATGTTTGTAATATGGGCTGTGTTGCAAATCCATAAAATAAATCTGTGATCTGAGATTAATGTTTTACTAAGAGACTCTCGTGCTCGTGCCTTTTCTTTGCACATGCAGGGAACAATATATTGCAAGCAATACTATTAGAAACAGCGGGGTGGTGGCATGAGAAAACACGAGATAGCTTCTTGTCACACTGATGGGCAGCTGGCTTTATTTCACCGTGCTGTTCAGAAGTGGGTCGACAGCAGCAAAGAGAACGCACCCAACATTTCAATCTAGCTGCAGCTTTTGAGACAGCCCTCTCAGAAAGCAATGTACGTGTGCCGAGTGCTTTTAAAAATTACAGTCTTAGAAGTGCAAGTTAGAACTGAACATGTTCTTTCAATGTTTTCCATCTAACAGGTATTAGTGCCTTGTTTCCTTGGTGTTCAAGTGCTGCATTGCTAATGTTGATATTGCTAACGTTAAGCACACTTTTCTGGTGCTATCTTGAGGCGGGTATTTTGTGTGCAGGTGTTGTGTGCCAAACTTGAATGTAGAATGAGATGTCAGTAGCAAATATTTTCACACATCCACCAGCAGGCTGCCGTGCTCATTCATCCACAGCCACGTGGCTGTGCTTGGCTTCCAAGGCAGTCTGTGAAAGTAGGAGGCTGCAGGCGAGGAAGTAGACAGGGATCCTCTACACCAAAGACCATTTTATTCCCTCAATGCAAGCACAGGTACATTGAGATTCACAGCTTAGCGCCAGGAGAGCCGTGTCTTACTACACTCATATAGCCCAAGTGGTAAGAACTAATTTGTTTTACATTGTTAATTAGCCTTACTAAACATAAACTAGGATGATGTGGCTCCTGGTTTTCCTAAAGCATGGTGAATCTACCTCAGAAGCATACTTTCTCTGTGCATGTTTTCTTTTGCAAATACTCAGCTTTTTTCATTGATACAAAGAAAACTCCACAGCACTACACTGGGTATCTGAGTTTGGTTCAAACATAGTGTTTGCTCACACATTTACTGTTGTTCTGGGCAGGTAAATAGGAGGCAAAAGTCGATGCCAAAGCAAGCTCCTCACCACAATGTTGCACCTGGCACGTGCAAGGTGTGAGTTCACAATGATGCCATCCAGCTCCATCACTGCCTTCGAGTACAGCTGCTCTCATTTGCTAAGGTTTAACCTTCAAACACCACACATTGTGTTGATATGCAGGTATTGTTTAAAAGCAGATGTCAAAAATGGGATTGGTCTTATTGAGCCATAGCTGTCCACGTGACATCCAAGTCTAGAGAGGGGATGGGGAGGATTACCTGGATGGGAAAAAAGGACCTTTCCAGAAGGTGAATCCAGCTCGGACAGCCAGGTGGTTGTCTTCTGGATGTGCTGTTTTCTCTACTTATGAAGTTAGCTTGATAACCAGTACCAACATGGACCACTGTGAGATGTCTGATGTTAGAGGAGACGCAGCCTCCACATTACTGCACATCAACAAGGAAGTCATGCTGTACAATGGCATAGAGAAGGAACAGATTTAATTCTTCTTGTCTATTCTTGGAAATTAATTATCTAAGTCATCTGAGTTGGCCACTGCAGGTCCTCCCTCTTTGATCAAGTTCAACATTTGAAAATGATGAAAATATAATAAATAATATTTTTTTTTGCGGGGGGGAGCACTGTTCAGTATCAATTTTACTTTTGTACACTGATACATAACTTTAATTTTACAGAACTGGCATACGTTTTTTCTTGTGTTTTGTTTAGCTTTTGTTTTGTGAGTCATCTCTGCGTGTGTTTAGGAGGATGTCATATTTCTTGCAGAGAATGTTTGTAACTGGCTTGTAAAAGTTTATCCATTAAATGTTAATGTACGGTGAATCAACAGCTACAGAGCATTTATGGGACAGGTCAGTGGGGTTACTTAAAAGTCTGTAACATTCAGTAATGTGTTTATAAACACCTATAATGTACTCCTTATGCCAGAAGCAATATAATATTTAGTACTCTTTTATTAATATGATACCCTGTAAATGATATACTGGTAAGATAAGCTGCAACCAGATGGATTTTTCAGCAATATGGTGAAATAGCTTTTTTATTGCATGTATAAATGGTTCCCTCTAAAACATCTGTGAAAGGAAGTCTGGCTTGCATAGGGGAATGAATGAAATATGCAGAACCTTTGGAGGTGGTTAGAGCCAGAAGTTGCTAACCATAATGCTCTCTGTATTCTCACATGTAGGATGCTAGGAATGGCCTAGGGCAGCTCTCAGCTCCACCGTGGACTTAGCAGCCCAAGGAAAGTTATTTTGTTTTCTTCCAGCTGTGTGATGCAAGGTTTGAACAACATTAGGAGATAATCCATTGATGCCACCAGTCTCACAGGATGTCTCTGATATTGGCAAATTATGTAGGAAAGGTGCCAGTGGTGCGTGCATTTGTAATGGTCTTCTCTGATGCAGTACCTCAGCGTGGGATATCACAAATGAGAAGTGATACCCACAGGGATCTTTCTTCCAAGTGATGTTTTGATTTGTTTCTGATCTGACATAGGCTCTTTCCAACCCTAGGATCCATAGAAACAGAGACTCACCAAGGTTGGAAAAGACCTACAAGATCATCCAGTCCAACCATCCATCCATCACCAGTTGTTCCCACTAGAAGCCCATGCAGGGATTCTAACCTAATGTTGGAGTGTGCCAAGAGCACGTGAAGCACAGATCCCCTTTAGGACTTGATGCTGATTTGTGCATCTTCCATGCAAACAAGTCTGTTCCAACAGCAGAGCAGGGAAGTGATGGTGTGCATGAGTGTTTTTCTTCCTTCTGCCAGCTCATCCTGCTGCTGGAAGCTGAGCACAACTAATCTGCTACAACAGGAGCTACTGGAAGGCATTATTGGCAGTGTTTGTGCAGACATGGCTGCTGATGGAAGGGTCAAAGAATGAAAATGATTGTCTACACTGGTGCCATAGGAACTATCTTGCAAAAAAACAAAACCACAAAAGGTATAACAAAGGTAGGAATGAGTAACCCTAGCTCTCTGTAAATGGGTGTACTCATTAGCAGCAGTCCCAGTGCATACATATCAGAAGAAGCATCACAACTTGCAGTAGCTGTTCCTGTGCTGGCTGTGATTTGGAGGACAGATGACCTATGTCAATAGCAGAAGTCAAAATAAGTCATTAGGTTTTGCTTTTGCTTTGCACCTTCATAAAATTGCTTGTTATATGTAGAAATGAAGTTTGTCTTTATAGATGTAGATTGCAGCATACTCCACATCGATGGCAGCACCTTCATGTTTGCAGACAGAAGCTGTGCTTAACAAACAGCAGGTTACAGTGTTCTGTGATATCTGAGGGAATTTACTACTTTTGGCCATGGAGGTCCTTCCTACATGCCTCGAGACTTTGGCACAGAACTGAGACCTGTTGCTTCAGTCTTGTGCTGCTCAGGGATGTTCTGTATCCAGGCACAAATAGTTAATTGATTCACTATTCGTTTTCAGTAGCATTTTACACCAAAGTCTAAAGCTTGCACACATTTGTAATGGACACAGCAAGGGTCCCACCCTCCTGATAATTTCCAGAGCTTATCAGAGTTACAACAGTTTCCATCCCCTACTCTCTGGGTCCGTGGGAGAAAACTGTGGTTTGCATTGCCTCTGACCCTGCCCACTGCTCCAGATGTTTGCTAGGGGTGGGCTTGGGGCAGCCTTTCCCATCAACTGCTGTGCAGTGCCCAACACAAACAGACTTTGTTCCCCACCTTGTTAAGCAAAATAGCTGCAAAAATATCAAGCAGTGAGAAAGTATGAAGTCAAGGTTGATTTTAGGCTGCAAGCATGCAAATAATTCTCACTGGCAGACTCCTACTGCTGCTGTTGCTTACATGAATCAGCTTTGCAAGTTTGGAGACTAATTTTGGAAACTGCAGTTTGGGAGTGATAAGTCCAGGTTACGAAGACACTCCAACTCTGTGTGTCTGTGTGTGTGAAAATGAGAAGCAGATGCAGCTTGCTGAAAGAGAATGGATCCCTGTCCATCCCAGACACTGTAACAGCTCTTGGTCTGAAAGCATGTGGGATGAGGTCAGGATTTTGTACTCATCAGTCCATGGAAAATACTGCCATTGCCTTGGTGCTTCTTCATGGTCCACTTTTACAATAGGAATCCCACTGAGGACTCAGCACGAAGCTGTGTGAGCAGTGGCAAGTCTTTGCATGCAGGGTGCAGGGAGAGATAGAGGGGAATGTTTTATCCTGGGAACGTGAGTGCAGTTGTAAGATCACTCGGGATGCAAATGCTCACAATTTTCTTGTGCTCCCATGGAGTTTAGAAAAACGTGGGGCTTAGAAGTTATAGGTCCCACATGCAGCTCCGAGGAGGAGATAAGAACACAGCACATCCTCTGAGCCCAGGGGTTACTTTTAAAAGAAACTACAGAGATTTTTTTTTTATTTTTTTTTATGAATTCACATGGAGTGCAAAGATCAAAATGTAACGTTTTGCTAATGCGTTCTGTGCAGTTTTAAATTACTTAAGCACTGAAATCATTCTCAGCTGCTTTATCCTATTCTTGTTTGGTCTGTTCATTGGGAAGCAATTTGCTTTGGCTATCAGAGCTGCCCCCAGCCCACCTATCTGCCTCACTGATGGATAAGGGAACACTGCTGCATAGGACACGCCATCAGCCTAGCTCTCTTGAAAATCATGCTCACGTGGATAAAATATCATTCTAATGTTCCTGGCCTTATGCACTTTCACTTTTGGGAAATCCAGGATGATTTTTCTCCCAAGTTTTGTGACTAATGAATCTTGTGTCAGTCACAT